CATCATCATCATCATCAGCAGGAGCATCTTCTTCTTGTGCTTTTGAATTGCTAATAATTTTGTCGCAAGCGTTTGATGGTTTACTCACTCGGAAATGAAGGCAACCCACCCGACCACCACCACCATTCCTGATGTTGCACCACCTTCCAGTTCGAGTCCAAGTACGAGTCCAAGTCCTAGTCGTAGTCGCAGTAGAACCACCCACCCGTGGAGCCCATAACTAGAGTTATGTACATAACTGAATATATAGCCATAAATTTAGGGTAGGTCAGAGTCACTCTGGAGAGTAATATTGTTGCATATACTTATTACGACTTACGACTGTCCATTAATGCATAGAAAACCACCCTTTACGTCCTACCCCATTCGCGGCCCATTCGGGGGTATATTTGTATATTTTTTTAAAGCTAAACCTAAACCGAGGAGCAAAAAACCCAACTTGATGATTCATACGCCCCCTCAAATTCAGACCAAAAATGTGCGAAACTACCACCACTACATCATACTATATGGGGTGTGTGTTTTTGTGGGGGGTGGGGGAGAGGTCTCTCTTCAAAACCCCTTGACAAAAAAGTGCAATGCAATTAATTTTTCGCGAAACTTTTTCTCAGGGATGGGGGAACTGCTCTCTGTAAGGGAAACACTTGGGGAAATAATGTCATTAAAGTATCTTAATTGGAGATATTAAAGAAAAATATCTAAAATATTTATATTCCTTTCATAAGTCTTACTTTCATTAAGTGCTTAATTAGTAAGCTTGTAACGCTGTGAAGGAGTCTTTTCCGAATATATAAATCATAAATATTCTTGATCAGCATCATCAGACGATTCTATCTAGACATCTCAAGCAGAAAAACAAAAATGGTTAATATTTTCAAAATTTTATAAGGGGTTACAGAATTAAATTTTTCAAATATTTACAAAAATGTTCATTTTTAAAATTTGAAATTGATTATGCAGATTTATAAACCTAATAAAAACTAATATAGAAAAGCTTTCCAAATAAAAATTAATGATTTTTTGGCTTAGTTATGAGTTTAGAAACTTTGATATGTTGAAATATATCGATTATCCTTGAGACCCAACATTTATACCTATTCCTTTCTTTATTACATTTTTTCTCAGTGCATTCTTTTTCGCTTCCCTTTTCATCTTGCTCAAGTGACGTTTTAGTGTTTGCATTTGACGCAGCGAACGAGAAATTCACCATGTGAATGGATCACCACCAGTATATGCTATAGCTTTAGCTATATAGTCTATATAGGGTTGTTCTTCTGCCTCGCATCTGCAAAATGTTTATTTTATTGTTTACCCATCGCCCTCCTCCGCCCCCCGCTGCTGTCGTCGTCGCGGTTCATTAAATTAAAAACGGCCAATTCGTATTCGAATTCGGAGTAATACATCAAAAAACATCGCCGTTGTGGGGGGAGAAGTTCGAAGTTGTTTTTGTTGCTGCTTTGCCGGCTGTTGCAGCTGATCGAAGGGCCTCCAGTGCGGGGGAGTTGCGGGTGGAGAGAGAGTAGAGAGAGCAGGTTAGCAGAGCAGCTGTGCGGCGAATTCGCCACACTCTCTCTCTCTCTCTCTCTCTCTCTCTCTCTCTCTCTCTCTGTGAGCCCATCCTTTCGCCGCAATTGGCGAGGGTTGTTTTTTGGGTTCTGCTCCTTGTTTCCTTGCCTCCGTTTTCCTCATTGTTTCGCCGGCTTTCAAAAACAACGGGAATGTTCGCCCTCGGTCGCGTGTTTTTTTAAACATTTTCGTTTGTTTTTTATGTTTTCGCTTTGCCATTCCTGGAAATTATATCTTTCCTTCTAATTTGAGTTACGTCGTTTGCTTTTTGCCGAAAATTTATGCTGCGTTTGGGGAAAGGAAAGGAGTTTGCCTTCGTCCTTCGGCCAGACGTCGTCCCTTTTGGACTTTAAGTTGTTTGTTATTTTTACGCTTTTGTGGTCTCTCTGGAAATTTCCCCGAAAAAGTTTATGCAATTTATACCGGGCAAGAAAAACAACAGCAACGAATCATCAGAGTAATCCCTTTTGGCATGGAATAAAGCTTGAGAACAACAAGGACTAAGGATGGTAAGAATCAGTGAATTCAGGAATTATGGGGAGATGTTGCTTTCAATTTCGAAAATGGACGTCTGTTGCCACCCGCCGTTCAATCCGCATGTTAATTAATAATAAGCGTGCTCATATTTTCCTTTTTGAAAGTCGGGGGTTAATTCCACCTCTGATTTTACAGCGATCGTTAAGCAGGATTCCCCCTTTTTTTATGTGATAAACTTTCCTGACAGGACAATGGATGATTTTTTATATGGCAGTTAAGGGAGATATACAGTAAGCAACAAATGTTGTATTTATAGATAGAAAAATATCTTATTTATTCAGGCGCATCTAAAAGATATTTTAGATTTTGTAGCATACTTTTCAGCGTCGTTTCCGTTCATTTCAAATCAACATCACTTTTAAGGATGTAAAACCCTGTAAAATAGAAATAAATTAATAATATTTAAATATAAATTGATATATACCTGGTACAGGTTATTAATTTCCATGAATTTATAATTTCTCCCTGTGCATATTTAAGCTCAAGTCCTGAAGGGTGGCCCTGTGCCCCGGACATCTTACGGAAGTACGTTTGCGGGTGCAAATGGCCGTATGATGTGCCACCCACAACCACCACCACCACCAATCCTCCAATACTGCGACTGGTTTATCCCCAGGACACGGGTGCAACATGTTGCCGGGATTTGTTTTGTTAATTTCTGTTGCCTTGTGTTTGGGTTGGGGGGGTTAAGCCAAACGAACCCCTAAATCATTTTTTGGGGCCACCCTCGACGAACTGCAAGCCGCATGCTAATTGAAGCCTTTGCGCGGCGGAGTTTCGCTTTTGAACTCTTCGACAAACAAAGTTTCACTGTTTTGCCTCGATTAATTAATAAAGAATTCATGTCTGATTTTATAACTTCATCAATAAGCTTTTGCGTCGGCACCACCGCTTTCGTTAGGCTCTTTTTCACTGGCTGACTCCCCACTCCCCACTCTTCAGTTTTATGAGGGAAATTCACAATGAATATTTATGCGCGTCGCCTCTTGAATGGGAAATGCGTTCCAAGAGGGGGCGGTGGGTGCAGTGGCCAACAACAGCTGCCGACAGGCGCACCAGTTGCCCGAAATAGCGTCTTGGGTGGGAAAATGGAGGCCAAGAAAAGGGGCAGGGCGCATGTCTTTGAGAGTGGCCCAAACGTTTGGGCTCTCTAATTTTATTAACACGTTCATCATTCCAACGACGACGACGGCGACGGCACAAGTGGCGCCCGAGGACGGCAATCAGTCTGGGGGAACCCCCGAAGCCACCCCCTTGCGACCAACGGCTGCCGCCTGCTGTTGCTCCCAATTTTCTCCTCCAATATCCATCTCTGGTCTGACTTGGTCCATACATGAAGGCGAATTAATAAAAATTATTGCATATATTTGTAATTCCGGGTGCGCCTCCCCACTTGGACCAGGGGGGAGGGGGTGTAAGTGTAATGAGGGGGCGACTTCTTTATTGGCGCGTGCTACTGCGTTTTATCGCTCCCTCTACTCTACGGGAGCGATTCCTTCTTCCCGTTCAAAACCATTTTATTATTGCTCAGCTCCCTAACCCTCAGTCATTCGGCTGCTGTGTTGCAGATGAAAGCGTTCTAGACATATTTCCCTACACAGAAAATAAATTAATGAGCAATGTCAATGGTTTATGGTGGGTTATAGTAGGGCTTTTGATGGTTTATAATCCCTAAATATTATAATAGAGCTAGGAAGCTTCCTAACCATATTCCTGAACTCTAAACCCAAGAGCCTTATTCTTTCAATTTTGATTTAATTAATATTTATAATAGAAATCTGAATAAATTCACTCAGTGTCAATGGTAGTAGGGTTTATGATGGAAAAATGAAGACCCTTGACTAAGCAAGTCTGCATGAGTTATCCCTAGATATTATAACAGAACTAGGAACCTAGCCATACTTCTAATCTGTTAACCCAAGAATCTTACTCTTTCTTATGGAATTTAATAAAAATTTAAATAATAAATCTGAATAAAATCACTGTTAGTCTAAAGATTTACTTTCTCTGTGTATATATTAGGGGGCGAAACAAAAGAATTGCAGCAGCAAAGTCCAGGAATTCTTGGCAAAGTGGAGCGTTGTGGAGTGGAGCTGCTTCACTCCAAAGTTCTTGAGAATTTTAGGAATCCAAAAGTCGAATGCATAATTAAATTGATTAATGGCCGCAGAGGAGCTATTCACCTCAAAAAGCCACAAGGAAGTGGGTATGGAAAAACTCTCGACTGGGCAAACAAAATCGACTCTTATCTATGGCCAAGTGCATGATGTACAGACTTTATACATAGATATATATTTGTCTGTGCTGTAATCTCAGTCTTGTGTTGGCACTTCAATAATAAATACGATATTCAACGTTTCAACGTAGATGTTGATGGTGTTTTGGTTGTGCCGGTTGTCATCCATTTTGTTAGCACTAAAGCAAACAATTTATAACAAACTGTCTGGGTCTAGGTCTGGGCTCTAGGATGGATGTGGATGTGTTTTATCGTCACGTCACACAGATGAGAAAGTCGTGATGTAATTTTTTATCGATTACAGTTCGCGCCAAAGGAATAGAGCTGGGTTTGGGTTGTTGACTCCGGTGATTTATGGTGTTGCATGCAACGGAGTTAGAAGCTTGGTCTAATGCCCCTGGTCATGCCCCATGTGTGTGTGTCGCCCCCTTGGAATTCCCAAACCCCCTTTGTCGGTTCGGGCTCCTTTGTCGCTGTCCATTAGCTTGTAAAGTGCTGCTGATTGGCACTGTGATATGGACAATTAAATTGTCGTTCTTAATCAGCGTCGACTGCACTAATTTATTGTGTTTAATTTCCATCACATTTTATTTAATGTTTTTTCCCCCTTCTTTTCTTCTTTTTCATCTTGTTTTTCCCTGGCCAATTGCACATTTTCCAGAGCCAATGCGGGTCGCCAACGTTCGAGAAGGAATTGCGCGAACAAATTGAGAAGTAAGTGACAAATAAGTTAAATTGTTAATCACGATAAGAGTGCAGTGTGTTTTGTGTGTTTTTTGCTGTTTGGAAAGTAAAGAAAGAAGGTTGGAAAGAACTTACATTCAAGCTCCATTACCTCGAGCATTCCGCAATAAATTGCGCGTACCGTCTAAATATTTATTTAATTTCGCCTAGCCGGCAATTTTTAGGAGTAGTTTTTCGCGCTCTGCTGTTGCCAAATCGCACGTAAATAACTCATACCGCCTTGAGTCGTGACTGGTCACGCCCCCTTTTCGGGGTCTGGGGTCTGGGGTCTTGGCCATTACGCACAGAACAAGTTAACGGCGAACGAAAATGCAATTTTCCAAATTGCCCAGAACACTCTAACCGTAGAGAAGAAAGGCAAGGGAAACGCTTACTGGCAAAGCCCATCAATCAGACTGAGCCTCAGTGTAATTACCATACCACCGGCTTGAAAATGGTGCAAAATTCTGGTCTAGTCGAGATTTTCAGAGCTCTCTTCCGACCCTTCTTTCTTTATGGCCAGAATTAGCTGTTAATTTCCAGGCAACTTATTTATGCAAACTGTTTTTAAAACACACAAAACACAAAGAGTGATTTCGGAATGTGGATTTTTATACTGATTTATGAGTATTTGATTATTAAATTTGATTAAAATAAAAAGTATGAAACCTAGACATTATTTATTTTGAAGTTGAAAGATTAAAGTCTGTTATGGGAGTGTTACAGTTGCTGAATTAAAGTTTCAAATACGAAATGTAATATCTAAAGATAAAGAAAATAGATTTCTCATACTTTTACCTTAAAAATACAACTTAAATTGAGAGCTCAAATATAATGCATCTGCATTACCAATAGTCTAGTGCAATCAAAACGCATTTCCATTGAGAGGCTGGCAAACTCATAAATAAGTAATCAATACTCCGAATTCTCAGCTGAACACTCGCCATATTTCTTCATGATTTTTGCAAAACTCCTTTTCATTTATGCATTTCTATATTTGTCCTCCTTTTTTTCTCCCCCATTTTTCGTTTTTGAACCTCCACTTGCTCCATTTGCTCCACTTGCTCCTGTGCGCCTCCGCTCGCCATTCGCCATCCGCAGCATGAATCGCATTATGAAATCCAAAGAACGCAAGCAAATGCAGACATGTCGGGATCACAAGGCACTGCAGGTATGTATAAACTGTGGAAATGCGAGATGGGAAATGGAAAATGTGTAGGGGTAGGGGTAGGGGTAGGGGTAGGGAGGGACCAGCCGCAAGGAGCCACGCAGCATGTGGAAAATCAATTTGCACAGCGCGAGTTTTGCTGTGGGGTATGGGGATTGCTTCCAGCTTCCAGCTTCCCGCCAAGTCAAGTCATAAATAAACGCATAAATTCATTTTTAAGAACAATCTCTCCCCTCGCTGCCATTCCGGCGCATACAAATTGTCTCTTATCCGGACGGAATAACCGGAGACGGAGACGAAGTCTCGCCGACTTTGTTGGGAAAATGCTTCTTCACTGTTGCCGGAATGGACTGTTTTTTTTTTTCTTTTTGCCCGAATTGATTGAGCGTTGGCATTAGAGACGCCTCACTGCGCCCTAGTGGCAGCTTTTCATTACCATTTTCATTCACCATTTTCCGGGGATTTCCTTTCCCTTTCGTCGTTAACTTCTGGCAATCTCATTTGCCCCGCGCCAAAGTCAAAGCCCAATCTTGTAAAGCCGCGCTAATGAAGCCCAAGGTTCCGCAGTCCAATGCTTGCGTTGCATCTGAATCTGGGCTTCCAATCTGGCTATGACCTTCGGGCCAGTTAACAACAACTTGGCTTTGATCGAGATTGGATTGGATATTTGTTACATGCCGCTACTACTACTGCTCACTTAGCACTTACGTCCAGAGAGTACCCCCGACTTGGCTTGATGGATGAGGGAGTCAAGGCATGTGGCCTCTTTTTTTTTTTTGTTGGATATGTGTGTGACCCTCATCAGGGCAGCTGTCACAGGTTGCGAAGGTTGCCCCCCCTCCAGACACTTGATAAATACTTGGATCTAATCAGTTAACCCTTTCCCTACTCGGCGCGGATCGCTTTCAACTTGATTTTGTAATGGAAATCTCACAGGTAGCTTTCGCACTTCGAAATTGACAGGAAAAGATTCCTGGTTGAATGAAGATTTATAGGCTTTGGTCTCAGAGGAACTCTATGGGTTACCATAAATACTTAAAACCTTCTTAATAGATCCCTAAAATATATCCCCTTTTCTTTCTCCCCCAGACTCGCTTTGCCCGCCAGGAGAATCTTCTGCAGTCAATGCAGCAGGAGAACCGTGCCTTGCTCACCCGTATCCGGCAGTATGAGCATTGCCTGGATGACGTGATGCGCAAGGTGGTGGATGCCATTGTGGCTGAGGATAATCTCCGGGAGGAGGTGAGCATGCTGAAGGGCAGGGTGCGTGACCTGGAGGCACAGAATGCGGCCTTATCTGCCAGTCCGGTAAAGGGACGAGACGAAGGTTACTGCACCATGAGCAGTGGACAACCGCAGCCCTCGAATGGACATCTGGAGGATCTGCCAGAGGAACCAGAGCAGTGGCTTCTACCCGCCGAGCCCTGCTCCACGGAAATGGAGGACTGGAGCATGTCGCAGGAGGAGCTGGCTGTGATGACCTTTGACGATGAGCGGGATCAGCAACATCATCTCCTGCAGCAGCAGCAGCGAAGGAAGCGGGATCGAGAACACGACTGGCTGTGGCCCTCAAGTGACTTTATTAACTCTACCACCGTTGAGACGGATTCTGTGGCCGATGGGATTGCCCAGCTGCTACAGCAGAAGGTAAGACAGAACACCTAGATCCCTTTCCTTGTGGAAATTTTAAAATCTCTTTCATTTTTAGATTGTTTACTCCGAGGACGAGGAGGTGGCCTGCACGGACTTTACCAATGACTTTTACAAACTGGTCAACATACGCTCCAACTCCTCGCGTAGCCTTTATTCCTACTTAGAGGGTGAAACGGATGACGAGGATGACGAGGAGGATGAGGATGGCGAAGACTCCAGCATGTCAGAGAGCCAGGTGGGACCTGTGGGACGCACTAATGGCGGTAGTCCTACACCCAGCGAAGCAGGCAGGGCCCAGCTGACCAGCTGTTCCTCCAGCGAAACGGAAGAACTGTCCCTTAGTCAGGTGAAAAAGGACGAGGAGCCTGACTATGCGGTCATCGATGAGTGCCGGCGACGGGTCAGCGACATAGAGATCGAGGATGTACCTCTGATTGTAAGCAGTAGTACACCCATGAAGCCCTTGGATGAGCAGCAGTGCATAGCCCAGATCATCAAGAGTGAACTGCGTAGGCCTCCGCATGTCCTTGTCAAGTCGAAATCGGTGCTGGAGGATCAAGAGCCCAGCTGTATCCTGCGACACAATCAGCGCCGCGAACTGGAGTCCACCGTGGTGCGCAGCGATAGCATCAGCTGTGCCATGATGTCGAAGATGGCCAAAGAACTGGTGCCTCCGTCACCGGGAATGGTGACCAAGCTGAAGGAGCGAATGCTGATGAGGCAGGCATCCACGCCGCCAACGACCAGCTCGTGGCGAAGGAGTAATGGCTGGAAAAGGGTCACATCGCCAGTGCATCCACCAGCGGCAGTTTCGCCAAAGAAGGTAAGATATAGAAGCATAAATCTATCAGATAATAATATTTTCACAACCAAAATTCCCCAATATTAAATCAATAAATTGTTGATAAATTCTTTACCACCCATTTTCAGAAGGAAGCCAAGTCAACGGAGCTGCCAAAGAGTGGCCTGCCCACCAGAATTCCAACGAGCATACATTCATCGGTGTCCTCGTCCTCCTCGATGTCCTCATCCTGTTCGCCCTCGCCATCCTCCCCATCGCCGCAGTCTCCGCAGCAGCAGCAACAGCAGCAGCAAAAATCCCCCGGCCAACAGCAGCCACAGCGAAAATCCAAGATTCCTCCGCCCGTTCCCGTGCGACGATCCTATGCGAGTTAAGGAACCCGCCACTCTGCGAAATCTCAAATCAATAATCGTCAAGCTAACAAATATTTAAAGATTTAAAAGACTAAATTGTGATATATTCAAACAAAAAAACAAAACAAAACCGAACAGACACGTTGAAGGAGCAGGATTAGGAGGAGCAAGCGAGTATTTATATGTATATTGTACATTTTTTGGAGATGTTTTACCTTGTAAGCGGCACTGCCAACAACTGTTTCCCCCGAGATACGAATTACCATTACCAAATCGCAGGGCTCGCCCTGCTCTATGCCGTATATTTTGTAGAGCAGGCGGACGCAGCCACCAAATCAGTGGGTTATACTAACTAAAATGGGACAATTTGATTGATTTCAAACTGAATTCAAACTACTTACTATTAGCTATGAAAACTAAAAACTGTAGTCTTCCGCACACCACTCGAGTGTATTCGAAGTAATAGCATTTTGTAGGACATGGTTAATCACATAAACTAAAAGGGAAACTAAGCTAAATCACACACAGACACAGCAGTTGAACATTTGCATTTAAGGGTGAAATATTTCAAAGTGTTTACAATGCAGTATATGTAGAATGCATATAGTACGACATATATATCTATACGGTTTCTAAGCGAACATTAAAAAACGACAAAACATAACAATAAATGAAAATCTGTACATAAAAAGGCTCTTCTCTTCAAACCGTAGTTGGCGTTAGCTCCGGCTCCTCAGGGGCTGCTGCCACCGACTAATTTATCGCAGCAGCATCCCGCATCCTAATTATATAACTAAACTACACACCCTATCTATGTAGAACAGAACAGGCACTATTATATATGATCGAGGTGGGAAGAAACGTGCGTAGTTGTGTAAGCTCGTATATAAACATTATAAATGTATTTTCTTAGCGTAGCCAGTACAAATAAACAAAAAAAGAAGTTACAAAAAAAGAAAACATCAATTATTGACCTAACCAGTAGTGGTTTCTGGTAAAATCTTACAAACATGGTAAGTGTACATAAACGATAACTAATCAATGGGGTAAAATACAAACAAGGGACGACGAACAGGCACGGACTGAGCCGAGAAGGTGCTCCAGTTCATGCTTTAGCTGGCCAGAAGCTAAACGCGATTCCGGGGCGCTGACCCAGCAGCTTTTGTATAGTCTGGTGTAAGCGTTTTCCAGGCACGCACTCGTCGCCTCTGCTGGCGCCGGTCCCTCGAAGTGGAGTGCTAATCGGTTCTGACGGCGCTCTTTTTTCTTTTTCAGATCACGGCCGGCGGTGTAAGATAGATCGAAGCTCAGATTACGACGAACAGACGGTGTCATAGTCGCCCGTCTGCCGGTGTTTTCATTGAGGTAATTTGGCGAACAATCGCAGCCGATTCGCATATCTCTGGCTGTGTAATCCCTGGCCAAATTCCTCATCTCTTTATAGCTATCCGGACGCAGTTCGTGCTTGACCACCTGGTAGGCAATGGTTTCATTGCAATCCAGCAGGTGATAGGGCACTCGACGGGTCTGCAATTGCCACATGCTGATGCCCAGAGAGTAGATGTCAGAAGCTCCCGATAGGGCATCAGATCGCAACACTTCTGGGGACATGTACCGCAGGGTTCCACTGGTATTTCTCGTTCTCTGCTTGGCCCACATTTCGCCAATTTCAAGGGAAGACCCAAAGTCGCATAGTTTGCAGATGTAGCTACGCTTGAATCTCGAGAAATTCTCTATACTAGACTTTTCTCCCAGGGCAACCAATACATTGGTTGGCTTCACATCCAGATGGAGCACATTGCGGGAATGACAGTAACGCAGAGCGGCCACCACGTCCAGGGTTATGCTGGAAATATAGTTTGTTTAAATAGGAAACACTCTGAACTACAAGTGGAAACCTACAGGACTCTGTGCATCAGAGGCAGGGCCAAGCTATCAATGATCCTCTGCAGGCTTTGTCCCTGGGACACTCCATGATGACCAAACCAAACTCAGCGGCGGCCTCCAGCTTCAGGAGTCTCACAATATTTCGGTGCTCCAAGTTCAGTAAATGGGACTCATTGTGCAGAGTGGACACAGCTTGAGCTCGAATGATCTTCACGGCAACCGAACGATCTGCGAGACATTTTATTTTTACTTTTCTATAAGTTTATAAGCTCCCACTTACCCCTATAGATAGCTTTAAAGACAGTGCCATAAGCTCCACGTCCTAGCAGTTGACACCTGGCAGTCGGCGGACCATCCTTTAGCAGCTGTTTTCTCTTCGGCGTGGTCAGCAGCAGCTCGCTTTTATGATTAGCAACCGAAAACGACCTGGGTGTACATTATATTATATATTTTATTAAATTGAAATTGGAATTCCGCATGGCTTACATTTTGCCCGGCAAATAACGGTGAATACGTTTAAACAGCTGAGTGACAGCGTTGCCATCTAGTTGGAATGAACTAATGTGGCGCCAGTGTGCAAATATAGGTTCAAACTAGATTTTGAAAGGTTTTTTTTTTTTAAATTTAATACTTTATTATTTAGAGTTTTTATAGCAAACATTATCCCTCGCAGTTAAATTTCAATTTGTTTATATTTACACTATTTAATAATGCACACGGTTTGACTTAAAGTGCCTCTCTCCGGCCATTGCATTGCAATAACCATAATAAAATTGAATTACAATAAACGAATTGCAGGGGCCTCTCGAGGGTTCATTTTGAGCTTAATACTATACAGAAATAAATAATTTTACAAATGTACGCAGCTGTATTCTTCCCTGATAGCTGGCTAGTCGCGTTCTCTGTGCAATTTCTCCGTCTCGGCCCTCAAAAACTGCAAAATAAAAAATGTAAATATAATTAGAAACAAAATTTAAGGGTTTAACTGAGTTTAAGCTCACCCGAAAGGCTTCCTGGATTTTGTCTGTGATTAGCTTTCGCGCCGTGGGCTCCGGCACTTGTCTCTTCTTCAAGTCTAGGATGAAGTCGTTAAGATCCAACGGCTGACCCACATTCACGGTGATCTTCTTTCCACGCTGCAGCACATAGGGCTCCACATTAGGCAGCATGTCGTCCATGCCTATGTGCCACAGGGGCAGGATGATGGGAATTTTGGGGGATTCATAGATAATCCGGCCGACGCCCCACTTGAGGCGCAGTTCCTCCTTCTCCATGTTGACCTTGCCTTCGGGAAAAACGTGAATCCAGTGGCCCAGAGCGGCCTTCTCAATGCAGAGATTAATGGCCTCCTGGTAGACACCATTGCCGCGTACGACAGGAATGCACTTGCCTGGAAATAAAAAAGGGGCAAATTATTACCTATTAAAATATTTTTTACATTACGGAGCAAAGGTCTCTGTTAAATGGGCATTTAGTTTATTAAACCTGATTCTGTAATTTAACGACAACCTTGCTCCTTAACCCTAATTTATCTAAACTCACCGAACATAAAGAAGAGAGAGTGCTTCTTATTTGTAAAGCAGATATCGTGGGCGGCCATGGACCAGCGGATGCTATAGGTGCTGCACACAATGCTCATAGGTAGGCAGCCCCAGAGGCCGGGATCGTCGAAGCAGGAATAATGATTAGACACGGTCACCAGGGGAATATCTTTGGGCCTTTTGGAAATCAAGTTAACCAGGCGCTCCTTGTTGTAGACACGGGTTTTATTCAGGAACACTGATGAAAGAGGGCAAGAGATCAGCATTTGCATAATTGTTCAGAGACACCAATTAACACGGCACACGCTTGACCTCGCTGAGCAACACCGAGCGCCATCGTCCACCGTGGGCACCGTTTATCAAGCGAGAGATTCACACACATTCACGGTCAGGGCCGAAGATGCGACGCGATGCTCTCGAAGCGTTTCTTTTCGCTCGGCCAAAAATAAACGTGCCTTTGGGGCCAAATGAATATGATGATGGTGGTGCTGTTGGGCAAGGTCGGAGGTCGACAAGGTGATACTCACTAAGCAAGATCTTGCTAAAGATACCGACTGCAGCGACAACGAATTGGCTGGCCGCGTACCAAAAACTCGTGGGATTCCGCAGCCTGGGGAATATCCAGTCGATGTTGAAGGGTATCGCCACACTGGGCGATACACCCAGGGACGGATCTATGATTCGGTCAGACATCGAGACCTGCGCTGGCATGGAAGACTGTGGTGATGGTGGCAATGTCTTCGGCGGCCGCGACAAAGAGCTGTGCGCGGTCTGTGTGGCGGTATCCTTCCGGTCCGTTTGGCCGGCCGGGAATCGCTCATCGGGCACTGGCCGGGCCTCCGGAGCTGGGACGTACTGCTGCAATTTGGAAAGGGGTAAAAGACGGAAAAAAATGTTACTAAAGGCTTTAGCTCAGGCAGATCCCCCTTCAGCTAACCATTGATGGCACGTTTAATCTTATCGGGAGCCCCAAGAGTAGTTTTCTTTTGTGTTTGTGTCCGGCCAGTCGGATTTTGAGACTCGAATTTGTGGCATTTCCATTGTCAGATTTATTTATTCGTATTTTTTAATGTTGGACAAGCAGCCACCCCCGGAAAGGCTGCCGGGTGCCACAGGTTAGCAGCATGCGCAGTGGATGCAGCGGAGAAAATTGCACTTTCATCTCGCCGAGACAAATGAGCGCGAATATGCATAATGAAAACTCACGTCGTCACAGATCTAAGCCGGAGCGACCTTCGCCGGGTTAGAGATTCTCCTCTCTGTCTCTCGGCACCTGAGAACCTTTCGCAACCGGACGGCGGCAACTTTCGAGCGTAACTGATTTATGTCTGGCGAAAATCGTCAAGTGCAGCAGCGGCAGCAAGCACAGAAAGCACGCATAAAGTTGAAACAAGGGCGGTTGCCGCCAACAAAGAGAGAGACAAAGAGCGAGGAGCGAGTGCGTCGCAGTGAGGCAACAGTCAAGTGGATGCGGAGATTGCGAAACTATCTTTATCAGTTGGCAAGGTGCTTAGCCAAGCGCTTCCGTGAATATTGATCACGTTGCTGCAGCGACTGGGCCAAGATAAGAATTTGAATTTAAGCGCCAACTATAGCCGGAAGAGTAACAGAGAGAAAGGGAGAGGGAGAGTGTAATGAAGAAAGAGAGAGTGGGATTGAAAAACTATTCTTATCAGTTAACCAAAAGCTTTTAATTTAACTGATTAAACCACAATATGGAGCGACGAAAATACAAACGAGAGCTGCATAATTATATCGTTTTGTACCCATTAACTTCAACATATAATAAGGTTACATTTATATTGTAATTTCATTTATCATTTTTACCATGTTTATGGAAATATACTTTATTTCTGGTTAATATACAAATAAAAACAACTATACCTTATATAGAGAACCTGATATTGTAAATCTTCACAAATTAATTACTAGTAGATTTTATTATTTATTACTTGAATAATATTTAATTAAAAATATATCTCCTCCCTACAGACTGTCAAACTTTTGAATTCTCGCGCCAAAGGTGCGTGGGCGATTGAAAATGTGGAGAGATTTGGAACGAGGTGGAAATCTAGAGTGAAAGCGGGTGGCCTGATTTTGTTTATGTTTATTAGGGACTAATATATTGTTAACTAAACAATTATTATTCTAATTTAGACTCACCCTGACTAGGGCTTGGATCGGGGGCCTATATCCCGAGCCCAGCGCCCAATTTAGGTTCCGCATGGCGGTCAAGGCACCCACGTGCCCGGGACGGCACAGGCTAGAACACACAACCATCAGCATGACGAGGAGCAGCACTTGGTTCCACGAAGACTACGATATGTCCACTGGCAGATATGGATATGTATCTCTGTGTAAAACGCGCTTTACATAACCAATTTAAAGGCCGAAAATTATACACTCGCAATAATTTCGATTCCGCCTTCCGCCGCTTCTTCACCTAGGTTGCAGATTCATGGGCGTGCGGCCAGGGGCGCTTTTGCGCATGTCTGAAGGGGGTTATCTGCTCTAAAGGGGGACAGCGACTGTTTTTCAAGGCCAAACTACTGTAGAAATGAAAAATTTAAAGGAAAGCACGTCTGAACAGCTGTTCGGCCTCGAGCCGATTTGCAATACTGCTTGAACAGAACGTTTACCAACACTAGTATCCTCGTTTCTGGGTATGGTTTTGTAATTTCTTCGTAAGCTTTAATTTCAATTAAAAGTGTGTGCTTCCCGGCTCTTTTAGTGCAAACATGTCTCGCAGTGCCCGCCCCCTCACATCCGCCCGTGTGCTGCACAAGATCAAGGAGTTGACCACGCCGGAGACCAGCGCCAAGTTCGTGTTCAACCGCAATCCGAGGAATCTGGAGAGATTGCGGATTGCCTATAAGCCCGGCGGCTATCACCTGGAGAAACCCGGCAGGTCCTACTGGCACACACTGGAGATCAATACCAGCGGCCGATATGTGAGCGCCGAGGTGAAGCATTTCGAGAATGGAACCATCTTGAGCGCCAGCACCCAGGAGTGGGCCATAAAGCAGCAGCTGTACAAGACCAACGACACGGCCGCCTTCGTAAACCTGGGGCGCGTGCTGGCCCAACGTTGCCTGCAATCCGGCATCACTGAGATGACCTGCAACGTGGAGGCCGTGCCCGGAAGCAAGCTCCAGAAACTGCTGCAAACCCTCAAGGATAATGGGGTCTCCTTCGAGGAACCCGCTCGCCTGCCCAACACACAGCCCTGGGATGCCAAGCGGCACGAAAAACCCTGGGAGGTTACCGAACAGGCCCTGGGCACCACGACGCCCCAGAAGTCTGATAAATAACAAACACAGCCACCGCTTAGTTTTCGTTTCGTTTAGAATAAACGTTGATTATTATGCTAATTACATCAAATCATACTAATTTACTCGTATTTGGCCTTGATGTCCTTCCAGAGTTTCTGCAAGGAGGAAAAAAATGTTATTTTGCAAGGAATTCCTCTTACATAAGCGAAGCAGCACTTACGCCTTTGTTGATGCTCTCGAAAATCGCCACTGAGGTCACATCGATGGCCCGCTCGAAGAAGAACGTAGACGCGATGATGGCCACGGCGTAAGTGGAGGTACGTTTGAACAGGGTGTTGTAGATGACCTTCATTTTGGCGCTATATAGTCCTATTAATTTTAATGTTTATTTTAAATTATCGCTTTTTCCGAAAACTTACGTCTGGCAGCCTAGAGATGGGAAAAGTTTCGATTTCAGCTATCGATATTCACGATGTTTTAGATCCAGCTGATTGGAAATGTGACAAACAGTGTGATACAACGCCACGAACAGTATCCAGTGTTGCATAGCTATGGTCATACCGTTGACCAGCAAAAACAAATCGTGAAAATGCAAGATTCCGCAAATATTTAGCTTAATTGAGGCCATCCATGGATTTAGCCACCATAGAGCTGAGCGTGGAGGCGCTGATCGGATCCCTGCTCGCCCTGGGAATCCTCTTCGCCTTCTGTCGCAGCCTCCTAGCCGAGGACTTCGTTATCAGCGTGCTCTCGGGCAAAACACGTCATAGCTGGAAATCAATAAAAGTCATCGAGCAGGTGCGTGGACTCACTTGTTGCCAGCTCCCCCACAGCCAACCCCTTCTCATCTTGCTCGTGTTTTCGTCCAGGCCTGCTTCTGCAACGTGTGCGAGATCCTACTGACCCCGTCCGCGGGCCTCTTCTGCGACTGCTGCGGCCTATGCACCCACTCGACTCCAGTGTGTCAAAGGCGGGCGGACAGGGAGTATCGCTGCAAGGACAAATGGTTGCGCAACGAGACCTCCGTGCGCCACTTGTGGGTCCACGGCAACCTGCCCATGGGCATCCACTGCGCAGACTGCGGCGAGGAGGTTGATCACCACGTAAGCACCGATCCGGGACTGTATGGCTGGCGCTGTGCCTGGTGTCAGCGATGCTATCACAATGACTGCTATTCCCGCGCCGATGTGAAGGGCTCCTGCGACTTTGGCGAATTCAAGGACATGATCTTCCCGCCGTACAGCTTCGTGGCGGCCAGGACAAAGGACATGCGCCTACACCTGGCCAGCATTACTCCGCCGGATATTGAGAACTGGGAGCCGCTGATTGTGATTGCCAACACCAAGTCGGGCAGTAGTACAGGCGCCAATGTGCTATCTCTTCTGCGCGGCTACCTGCATCCGCTGCAGGTGATGGAACTGGGCTCCCGTGGTCCCCAAGACGCTTTACAGTGGGCCGCCAAAGCCAGTCCTCGCCCGTGTCGTATACTGGTGGCTGGCGGCGATGGCACCATCGGTTGGGTGATGAATACCATCTATGCTTTGAACATCAAACCCCAGCCTTCGGTGGCCATCATGCCGTTGGGCACCGGCAACGATTTGTCGCGAGTCCTTGGCTGGGGACCGGAGCCGCCTTCGGTCCTTGATCCAGTGGAGATTCTGCGAAGTATTCGTCGCGCCCGCTCCGTAAATCTTGATCGGTACGATCTGCAGATCGAGAAAATCCACTACCGGCTGCCCATTCAGAGGCATCCCACGAAAACCATTCACGTCTACAACTACTTCAGTGTGGGCGTGGACGCGTATATCACCTACAATTTCCACAAGACGCGAGAATCTCGGTTTTATCTGCTCAGCAGTCGAATCTTCAATAAGGTAGAGCAGTGTTTAGTTCGTAATGATAAATCATGATAATGCAACCCTCTCTTACAGCTTCTGTACTTCACCTTTGGAACGCAACAGGTTATGCAACCTGGGTGTGAACATCTTGAAGAGAAGTTAACCCTGTACCTGGACAACAAGCTAGTGCAACTGCCAGAGTTGCAGGCCCTAGTGTTCCTAAACATCGATTCCTGGGGAGCTGGCTGCAAACTATGTGAGCTTAGCAACTCCAACGGCGAGGTGCGCATCGTAAACTCCATCTCCGATGGCCTGATGGAGGTATTTGGCATTGTTTCCTCGTTCCACATTGCCCAGTTGCAGTGCAATATAAGCAAGCCAGTCAGGATTGGCCAAGCCAAACAAATACGGGTAAGCTAGAGGTCATCTCTTCAACTGAATCATTGTTAATTTTTCAACCAAATTCAGTTACATGTCAAGGAGACGGTTCCCATGCAGGCGGACGGCGAGCCCTGGATGCAGAGTCCGGCAGACATACGGCTGCAGTCGCGTAGCCAGGCCAGGGTCCTTAAGCTGGCTGCATCCTAAAAGTCTTAGATAATTCCCGTAGCCACAATCCTCTGATGTGCCAGTCCCCATAATCTCAACGTACTTAATCCGGAATCTCGGACCTAATTTATCGATTCTATTAAGCTGTGGCATTTTTTAAACGTCCTCAGTGAGTGTGTCAACCCAAAGCTAGTCGGAAATAACTACATTAAAACCGTATCTGAATGAAGTCCACTTTTATTAAGATTCAATAATCTTGTGAAATATAATTAAATGTTCGACTGGTGACACGTGCTGCCCAGGAGGGGCACGCACAACATTTGGATCAGTAGGGGGGTATCGAAAGGCGGGTAAACAACGAAATGAAGAGTCACTGCAGCAATGGCTGAAGTGAGCTTTAGAGCATGGTCAGGTCCATGATGGCGTTAACTATGTCGTTGCTGTTCTTCTTCAGCGCCTTGATGGCCTTTGCACGTGTTGTGTTCGCCTGCGTTATCACAAGCTCAATGTCCTTCTCGTCGACTCCAGTGTCGTCCACCTCCTCTTCGTCCTCCTCGGCAATAGGAGCCACCGATGTAGTGGCACCCACGCTGTCAGCAGCGCCAGCAGCCTCCGGGGCCTTGAACTTCTCGGCCGCGGCCACCTGGGCCTGCTGCGACAGATCCTCGATCTTGGCCTCACCGAAGACGATGTAGGTGTCGCTGTGGGGGTTCTTGTACACATCCGGGTTGTTGATCACGAACAAGATGTTCTTCGACTTGCGGATGGTCACACGGTTGACGCCCTGGATCTGCTTGAGGCCGAGCTTCAACATGATCTTCCTGGCCTTCTTCTCGCCGCGCGATTGCTTGGCCTTGGATACCAGGTCGATGGGCAGACCGGTGGCACCGCCTCCCAGCTGTGTGGTGGCTGCGCCAGCCTCCTCCAGGCCGGGCATGCCACCGTCGGAGTCGCTATCGCTACCGTCATCCTCGACGCGAACGTCTTCGGGCTTTGCCTCTGCAGAGGTGGAGGGTGCGGCCTCGTTCTTGATTTCGGTCAGCTCAGGCATCTTTATCAGCTGCGGAATGAAAAGGAAACACATGGTTAAGTAATGCGACCCCAAAGACAATCATTTTGCTTCTAGAAAGAACATCTGGTGCCGGTACAAAGGGGCGGCCGCAGCAGGAAAGCGCCTCATCGATTTTTCAAGTTCAGTTTTAGCCTTTAATCAGGTGTTTATCTTATTGATGGCTGACTATTCTTAAGATGCTAAGTTCTAACTACAATATTTCACACAATCTGCACACCTTTGTCACGAGTTATACGGGAAAAATTAATTTTGTGCAAAAAACGCGGAGCACATAAACTCACCGGAAATGAAGGAAAGAAAATCAGTGTGACCGCGACTGGTGAAGGATGAAACGGGGATTTCCGACTTTCTTGATGACCTAAAAAATACTAAAATATACTATTTTTGTTTGAAATTTCAAAATGAGAGAAGTTTTTCGAATAGACCTTGTAACGTTCCTGTTAAAGTTGTGACATTGAATTAAATGCACAAATGATTAACATGGTTGAAAATATAGAAATATTTAGTACTTCTCGATCAATCTTTGAATGAATAATTAAAATAATGGTTATAAAATAGGTTTTAACAAGAAGTACATAGAGATATAGTAAACTTAAAAAAAAAACATTAAAACAGCAAAGCTTAGGGCTTTGTGAGTGTTTTTTACATATATATTTTTTATTATTTTATTTATTGATTTTCTTATCTTAAAAAGAAATATCCTTAGTTATCTTTTTGCTGTTAATTTTCATTATATTATTGATCGATGAACGTACATAACTCCAAACGGGGTAATTTAAAATAAACCACATTATTATTAATAATAATAACAATAATAGTCGTCACTCAAACCAGTTTTATACTTCTTAAGTTGGATATCAACACTTCAGCAGCAATTTAAAGTTCTTGATGACTTACCTTGAAAGTAGTTAGTAAAAGTAATTCCCCCGTCCACAAATATTGAATTATCGATGAGTGGACATGCAAACGAGGGACACGAGGACTCGTTAATTACTGAATAAACCATGCTTGCCCACAAACGAGCATCGACGTAAAAATCGAAAACTGTAATTTGCCTCCACCGATACTCCAATTAAATTGTGTAAACAATTTGGCATAGGCCAGAGGTCCTTAATTACACATACAAAGTTACGCAGACAGGTCCAGGTACGCCACTGGCACGGGCAGGCAGAAGGGGTAAAAAAATGACACAATTACCAGAGCAGGAAGCCGGAGGAGCATGGCCGCAAATTGAATGGGGGCGTGGCATTGTTGGGTAAACATCGGACAGCTATGGTCATAGCTCCGTGTTCTGCGGTCACGGGAACACATGTTCGCCTTCACATCGCGTCGAATGCCATGAAATTTTAATTTTCATTAGTCGAACGATATAATTTAAAGACCGCAGACAGCTAGCATTGTCTGCTACTTAGTTTCAGATACTTTTCTATCTCATTATACGTCTCGATAAAGCTTTAATTATTTTCGTTATTCTGTGTGTGCTGTGTGCGCATTTCTTTGGCCGTCGAAAGATATGCCAGCGATTCGCAACAATTTGTCAGTAAATAATTTCGAATTGTCCTCCGTCTGCGGCAATCAAAAAATCTAAAAAACGCAAGAGAAAGAGAGAGAGAGCGCGCAGATACGAATGTATCTGTATCTGTATCTGGTACTGCGTCTGTATCTTTTTGCTGCCTGCTGACTGCACATGGGAATGGGACTGGGTGTCAACAGCACTCTGATTTATTTGAGCGCATTCAACGCTTCGTTGCATTTCGTTAATTTGCCCGTTTTCCGCTGCCAGAGTTGAAAATCAGCCCAAAGATATGTCTTTACCCATACCAGCCTGATCTCAATCCTTGACAAAGTGCCAAAACAATACTAAGGAAACACAGAACCCCGCCACACAGCTTTCATCATAATTCGAAAAACCAAAAAATTATCAACGAGCCGCATAATTATATTGTAATTTATGCAATTGTCGAACCGGTGAAAATGTTTGCAATGTTTCGCTGCTCGTAAAAGATTTCTAACACCCGAACGTGACCAAATGGCCAATTGGTGTTCCAATCAATGGCATAGCCTTATCGGTTATGGCCAAAATTTTGGTCAATTACGATCAATTAAGCCATAATACATATGCAAATTATTGCCACCTGGTGTTGTGAGGAGAAGCATGGTGTGAAAAATGTTTGGCATTTTAATTAAAGAAGATTTTTTTAGGGGAGAATGCGGAGGCGGATGTGCCTTAAGCGAAGGTGATAAAAACAAAAAAGAACCTATTGCAGTATTAAGTAAGTAAGTATTAAGAAAGCCTATTAAAAACTATAAATCGGGGATTTATCTATATTATTTCCTTATTTCTTGCTAAGTTTTGGGATAAATACTTGATAGTTTTTATATCTATCGAGGGGAAACCTTTTTAAAAGTAGTATAATATAATATTATATATTTATATTTTAGTAATATTCATAATCTTACAATAAAGACGTTTTTCCAAAGAAATTTCATTTTTAACCAATTGAAATTGTATATAAAATGAGATAGAAAATTATTTAATTTACAAAAAAAAAAATTTATAGTCTCTTATACTTTACCATCTCGTTTTATGTTTTAATGATACATTGGGAAGCCTCTATTAACACAGAAAATAATAACCAAGATTATACATTGACACCTAAACACACACCTATCTAAAGTTAGGTAGTTGATAAAATATTTAAATCTTTGCAACAATATAATGACAGTCTCTATCTTCATTCCTGAAATGTAAAAAAGTTCTTTCTACTGCTAATTAATTAGAAAAAATATATAAAAATAAATGAATATAGAAAACCAATGACTCACGACGGAAGTTAGCTCAAGACACATCCACCTAATCCAGTTTGGCTTAGCTTATGATCCTAATAGATACATAAATCCAACCAACTTGAAGTGTCTTACAACGAGATATATTTACCGGAGATATCTTACCTTAAGTAAATTGCAGATACAACTCGACTCGAGTGTCTGCTAATGATGCCCGACAGTCACACCCACTGGCCACTGATGTTTGAATTTAAATTGGTCACTAATATGCCTCGCGAGAACCCCAAACCACAATCCCCGCCAAGAGAGATAGCGAGAGGAGCTAACGATGACGGCGCATTAATGGCAGGGCGTTCTATGTTCTGCAGCCCGGCGATGTCTGATTACCGAGCGATTCGAGCAGAACGCAATTACGGAGCGGGAACGGGGTGCCAAGTGAGAGAGGGAGTGGGTGGCGGTGTCTCCATTGCAGCTCCATTGCCGGAAACTGGTTCGTTGTCCGCACCACCCGGCAATTAGCCATCAGCCAATGGGACTGCTCCGTCAGACAGAGACACCAGCACGTTTGTCATGCGCCATATTGAAAAGGAGGCGGAGCCACTGGCGAGTCTTTGGTGGTGGCTTCGCCACTTGGGTGCCGTTCGCGTACGTGATGTCTGAGGCAGCTCGACAGTTGCCCGCAGATCTCTGAACGGTTCACTGCGTCGTGTCTGTCTGTCGAGTCTTGGCCCAAGATAATTTTTAAAAATATAGATATATATATTAAGATATCTCGGTAGTGTGTGTTTTGTTAAGAGGGCATCATGGAACGGCCAGCCCTGCTGCACAATGGAGAGCTAAGCAATCTTGAAACCGGCACCACCAAGCTGGTCAGCAAGCCCTTTCCCAAGCCCTTCTCCATCGAGAGCTTGATTGCCAACCAAACACCTGCCAATACTGGGCCTCCGTCGCCGCCAGAGGAGAGGGAGCACGAACCGGAGCAGGAACCCGACCAGGAGCAGGAGCTAAGTGCCCGCGCCATGGTAGCCAGTTCTGCTTTGGGGCTCACCCAGTTCCCTTTGTACAATCCCTGGCTGCACGGCTACTTTGCCCAGAACCATGAGAGATTAACGCATTTAATTGCCGGCGGCTGCTACCTGCCCTCCACTCCAGCTAGTCATCCGGGTGCACAGCAGCCGCAGCCACAGCAGCAAGTACCACAGCCGCCGCCGCCGCATCCACCACATGCCTTGGAGAAACAGCATCCACCGACGCTGCCTCATCCGTTGGATACACGTTTCCTGCCCTTTAATCCCGCCGTTGCTGCCGCCGGCGTAGCACCCACGGATCTGAGCTATCGGCGACTGGCGGAGCTCATGAACCAGGATTATGTGCACAGTCTGAGTGTCCATGCCAGGCTGCAGCATATGGCTGCCGCTGGCAGGATCCAAGAGGATCCAGCTAACTCCAATCTGGTGCAGCTCCAGGAACCAATGCCTCAGCTGTTACGCTCTTCACCGGCAAAGTCGTCCGGCAGCCGCAGTCCCGTGGAGCCAACGCTGGATGTGGGCGTGGACGAGGATTTCGAGTGCAGCGGTGACTCCTGCAGCGACATCAGTCTGACCATGTCCCCAAGGAACTACAACGGGGAGCTGGACAAAAGCAGGAATGGAGGTGGGTACAAGAAATGATTATCACCCTGCTTAGAATTTTGTACCTTAAAATTGTCCGATCTTTCCTATGGCAGCTATATATATATATATATAGTCCACCGATTCGCCATGATCCGACTTATATACTAGTAAAATTATATAGAAGAATAACTCCATAGTTTCAATATAATAGCTTGCTCTTTGTTCCAAAACAAACCTTGCTCATGAGTACATATGATTCCCAACTGGTTCTAACATCCCCGGAACGAAGTTACTTCTGCCTGCCAGGTCTTAGAAATGTGTTGTGTTACAAAAGTTGCAAGTCATTGTTTATTAGTGTTCAAAGTTAGTAACTGGTCATAGATACATACTTACTGGTCATAGATAATTACTGATCATAGGTATTTACTGTTCACGGTTACTTACTACTTATATATAATTAAGGTTCAGAGTTACTTACTGCTCATAGTTAATTACTGGTCATAGTTAATTACTGATCATAGTTAATTACTGATCATAGAAACTTCCTACTGAAAGAAACTGATCGTCTTCATTTAACAACCGTTTCTCTGGCAGTTATATTATATAGTATTTCAATTTTCATAAAACTTAAAATGAAATTCTATAATAATAAAATAAAGCTTTAAAGCCAATGAGATAAAAATATGTTAAAAACTGTAAAAGTTATAATATTTATAAACATTTTCCGATTGTTCCTATAACAGCTATATGATATAGTCGTCCGATCTGTCCCGTTCCGATTTATATAAGAAAAAAATATATATTGAAGACTAACTTCAATGTTTCATTGATATAGACTAACTGCAAAGTTTCATTGAGATACCTTCAAAACTGAGGAACTAGTTTGCGTAGAAATGGACAGACAGACGGTCATGGCTAGAGCGACTCAAGAATATATCTAATTTATGGTTCCGAAATTATTCCTTCACTGTATTGCAAGCTTCTGACTCAAATTATGATACCCTGCTCAGATCTAAAAACCACCAAAATTATATAAGTTAGGAAAATTAACATTAACACTAAGTCCCATGGGATTATCCCCTATCACCGTGCAAGTCCCTGTCCAGTTGGGTTCACTTTGTAAAGTGATGTTGTCATGGTAATTAAAATTGAGGCCGCCACGTCATAATCAAAATTAGCATAGAGTGCATTAAGACCCAATGTTCGGTGTCAATCAAATCTGTGAAAAGTTTCAACAACTCCAGACAGCAGACTCCAGAGCCACAATAGAGAAATGGTCGGGAGTGCTGACGTTTTGACAAACGTAACGATTTAGTCCCGGTCATTCAAATGAATGGAAAGCGTAAATCCAACTCTTGGGTAAGCCACCACACAAAACATCATCATCATAATCATCCACGGCCCCCTGCTGTTACTCCTTCGCCAAGTGTCTGAATACTGAGGCATCCGTGCCATAATCAATTTGCCAGTCGAGTTGTAAGCTGTAAAAAGCGCAACAAATTCACCGACTAATATATTCATAACTGGAGTCAAGTGGGTGGCTGTGGATAGGCAGTTGGGTTAAGGGTGTTATCCCGGGGGTGGCTATCAAAGACCCAGATAAATCAGTGACAGCGAGCTCCCTTGAAGCGTGTAAGTGTTAAAAAACCGCTTAACCGTGTACTTAAAATTAACAGAATTCAGAGTTGGGGAACGAGTCTTGGATTGGATTGTCACCCTCATCCTCATCCGCCTCCAATGGGGCATCATTTAACTTTCACGCTTGACTCGTGTCCGCCCAAAACAAACAGATTAAGTTTCGAGCATTCCAGCCTTCAGACACATGTATCCAGTTATAAATAAATATGTTTGCCACAAGTTATGGCACAGCCCATTTGCAACAGAAGTCCGAACTCGTTAGGGGACCCATTAATGGGTCTATCTCTTGGGGATGCAATAAGAGGGACATCAGACTCAACCAGGATGTGGGCTGAACCGGGACTAAATTATGGAATGCAATGTGTTTGCTCTGAAGTGGATGAGTCGAAACTATGATGAGATATATACAGAAAAAGCAGTTAAGATACTTTTAAGAAGGTATGAATGAACCATCAGCTAGCTAATAACAGATACAAACAGATATGGTTTGTAACTATTACAGGATTAATACTAATCCTTAAACATAATATTCACAGATACATATTATTTTAAGCCCCATAACCAATGATCCTCATCCCTTCCAGCTTATACCAATTCGGATAGCGAGGATTGCAGTGACGATGAAGGTGCCCATTCACGACATGATGCCGGCGGAATGAGCAGCAAGGACTCCCAAGGCAATGGCTCCAGTTCCAGCTCCAAGTCACGTCGCCGGCGTACAGCCTTCACTTCGGAGCAACTGCTGGAACTAGAGCGAGAGTTCCATGCCAAGAAGTATCTCAGTCTAACCGAAAGGAGTCAGATAGCCACCAGTTTGAAATTAAGCGAGGTTCAGGTGGGTTTCTCCCTAAAATGTACATTGCAAAACCAATTAACTGATTAATCCTTCCAAAAAATAGGTGAAAATCTGGTTCCAAAACCGTAGAGCCAAGTGGAAAAGGGTTAAGGCTGGACTCACCTCCCATGGACTGGGTCGTAATGGTACTACCAGCGGCACCAAGATCGTGGTGCCCATACCAGTTCATGTCAACAGGTTCGCCGTACGCTCCCAACACCAGCAGCTGGAGAAGATGTGCCTCAGTGGTCCCAAACCGGATCTCCGCAAGAAACTCTCCACGGAGACAATCGGCGGCTTTGAGAAGTTCAGTGGTGCCTCCAGTGTGGTTATTCCACCACCACCACCAGTTGTGGGTGGTGTCGGTGTAGGATTGGGTGTGAGTTTGGGAGGAGCCACACCACTTTCCCTTGCCAGGAGCATCTACTGATGGAGTTGTGTTCTGTGTCCTTGCGTGTAAATATCCAGGAAGAAAACAAAGGAGATTTCTTTTTTGTAAATAAATTAATGAAAAATCAAAAAAAATTATTCAGTGTGGTATTTTATATCAGAGAAAATGTGCTGTAATCGTTGAGTTAAACCCAAAACCAAGTAAGTTTTTAAAGAGAGATTTCCAGAGGAAGTTAGAAAGTTAAATACTTATACTTCGATAATATTTTCTCTAAACATTTAACCACAAAAAAGCACATAAATCCTTGTGTTCCAAGAACACGCCCAAACAGGAGCAAAGAGCCCGAGACCCAGGAGCCACTTAAGGGACCAACGGGCACATATCTCGTCTCGATGTCAATTGGAACAATTAAACTGCCAATTTGTGCGATTTAACACGGCCCAAAGTGGCCCTTTTGAATGTCGAAAATCGAGAAATGAGAGAGCCTAAGAACTCTACTCGATTTAACTGTGACTAATTTTTGTAATTTAACGCACCAAATTGTCACGAAATCGGTGTTCCAGGGGAGGATCGGGGAAAGCAATCACTCCAGGTGTCTCACGTGTCACGCCCTCCGGATGAGCCCCGAATCCCAGATCCCAGATCCTTCCCTCATGACTTATTAGCATCGATCCTAGGCCTCACTCGCGCCTTTGTGTGAGTTTTTAATTGCATTAGCCAACTTATTGGCCGCCTCCTGACTTTTGTTTATTTGCAACTCCCCTCTGCTCGCCCCTCTCAGCTCGCTAATTGTGCGACAACAAAAAAATTAAACAGAAAGAGAAGGAAATCAGGAGAAAACCACCCCGGGGAAAGGCCAGGACCGGCACCCTTGTGTGTATCTTCGTCGTCGTCGTTCGCAGCTTTATGTTGGGACACGCCTCCAAGCATGAGTTTTTATTATTGTAACACTTTGCTGGCAATTTGCTGCCGGCTGCCGGGGTTGCCGAGCGTTGCTCTTTTTGGTATAGAAAAATCGGAAGCTGGAAACTCGGCAGTTTTAAGCTGAAGCTGACTTTGCGGCAAATGAACAAAGTGCGACAGGGATTTGGGTTCGGCTAGGTGGGTTTTTGGAAGTGAGCTACAGCTTAGTAAGAGCAATCCGAATATATATATTTGAAATATCAAAAACCAAGAAATTTGCAAGGGTACTCCCTTGTTCTTTTATATTATTAACCAGGAAATTTAGTAGTTAAATTAGTGTATCTTTTGGTTAAAATAATTTTTATTAGAACGATTTAGAAACCATTTCCTATGTGGTCCTCTCAATCATAATAAATTTCTACTGGCACTTTTTACAATTTGCAATAGGTTAAACCTGAAATTGATCAATATTTTATTAATACATTTTAATGAAATATATTAAATTATCTCTACTATGTCCCTCATGGTGTATAGGTAATAAATTCTCAAAGAATAGTTCATAAGTCTGTGCCCCGCTTATAGAGTATTCAAAAGTCAATGTAGCTGAAAAACAGCCACCTCATACAGCATCTACTCATAGTTTTCCATGTACCATTTTCGCCTTTTGCCAGCACTGCTTTTGTTGTAAATTATATTGCCATTAATTACGCGCGGATTTGTGTCGCTCAGAGCAGTTAAGCAACCGTAAGGCAACACCACGTTAAAAATCACTTTAAAATCATTAAAAAACAAGGATGGGAGGAAGTGGCGAGGGTATGGATTCAAATCCAGATCCTGTGAGCCGCAAAAGGGGGTCATAGTTGAAAGCGGGCAAAGCAGGCAAGACCCAGTAGCCAAGCGAGTGGCCATAAATCAAGCCAGAAATGCGCGCTGTCATAATTTGTCATGAGGCCGGGACACGCCCACTTCGGTGGACTCGGAGACGGGAGCACACATGTCGTCGTATCGCCGGGATTCGCTTGGTTTGTGGCAAGTTTGTTGCCATGGAACCCTATATGGATATGGACTTCTGGCCACCTTAAGGGAACAACCTTCAAAGGCACCGAGGACGACTCATTACAGTGATGCACTTGTCAGTGGCCAAAAGACAAGCGGGAATGTCTCCATGAATTAACTGGCCTGCCCCTCATGGACAATCAGCGGCAATCAGTGATATGTAAACGGCATGTAAACAAAGGGGGAGCCAGGTGAGGTGGAGGAGCCTCATACTGGCACTGCCTTGCCATCTGTCAGTCCCCAGAGACGGGCACCCACAGCTCCACAACGACGATCGTCCGCTGTCTCTGGCTCCGGCGGTTGAAATTCCGCTGAAGCCGAAGAAGAGGGAAAAACATCAAAACGAAAATGCACTCACGCACCTGAATCCCTAATCAGCGGATAGCAATGACAATCCATCCGTCAGCGTGGACAGGCGGCGGCTACCGGCGGCAATGCATTTTGGGTATTCTCCTTGGGAACGGAGACAGGCCAGGGACAAGAAGTCCAAGTGGGGTAGTTGGGGCATCCGAGGATTCATTAAATTTGGGAGGACTAAGATATATATCTTTATACCCTTGCAGGGTATTATAATTTCAGTCAGAAGTTTGCAACGCAGTGAAGGAGGCACCTCCGACTATATAAAGTATATATATTCTTGATCAGGATCAACGCAGTGAAGGAGGCACCTCCGACTATATAAAGTATATATATTCTTGATCAGGATCAACAGCCGAGACGATCTAGCCATGTCCGTCTGTCCGTCTGTCCGTCTGTCCGTTTCTACGCAAACTAGTCTCTCAGTTTTGAAGCTATCTAAATGAAACTTTGCAGTTAGTCTTCTATATACTCTCACTCGTATATATGTCGGAACGGGCCGGATCGGACGACTATATCATATAGCTGTCATAGGAATGATCGGAAAAGTTTTACAAAAAAAATTATAAAATTATTAGTTTTCAACAGAATTTGATCAAATTTGAGATATAGCCATTTCATATTATTCTACAATTTTGTGTAAAATTTTATGAAAATCGGATTACTATATCATATAGCTCCCATAGGAACGATCGAGAAATTAATACAATTAAATTTATAACTTTTTTAGTTTTCAGCTGATTTTCATCAAATTTGAGGTATAGCCATTTTATATAAGTCTTAAATTTTGTGGCAAATTTCATAAAAATCGGACGACTATATCATATAGGTTTGATCGTTTGATGTAGAGGAAAAATGCAAATCTGTGAATGTAAAACTGCAAATATAATATGTATAGGTGAATGAAATGAAAGCAGGTATTACTTCATTGTTTTTTAACACAAATATATATAATTTATATTATATGGATTCCTATTCATAGAAGTTCTATCTGCAAGGGTATATAAACTTCGGCGTGCCGAAGTTAGCTTCCTTTCTTGTTTTTTGTTAGAATTTATAAGAATTAAACAGGAAATCTGTACTATTTTAGGATTATTTATAAAAAACCTATTAGTTATTAGGACACATATATGCTTCATAGTTATTAGTTTTTTATAATTCTAAATAGTTAAGGGAAAATTCATAAATATTTATCTCTTGAATTAAAGTAAAAAACCTCTATCTTTCTGTAAATTTTGAGTTTCTTTTAACTCAAAAAAGATTGACAGAACTTTTACAAAAATTCGATTTGATTTATTCTATTCTATTTAAAGTTTTAAGAAAAAACTTTATATAATACTTTGTTTTCTATCTATTAAAATTGTATTAAATAGATTCTTTCAGGTCTTTCTTTTCAATAAAATCTAAAATATATTAAATTATTATTAGAAGAAAGTCAAGTTTTCCACCCTAAAATTAAGAAAGGTAGCTAAATATTTAATACCTATATAAGCTAAGTAAATAAACCTCGAGGTATCTTTATATTCGATCCAAGCTCGTTAAGCTTTTCTTTCTCCTCTCTTTGTTTGGTGAATTAATTAATTACAATTTTATGATTTTATTAATTTCCAAAAACCAAAAAATGAGGCATGCAAGTGGCGGCAACCGCCTCCCTTCACCTTTCCATATCCATGGAGCGAACAGTGTCGCCGGTTTTCTGTCCAGTGTCCACCGGCTCGTCCGTCCGTATTCCAATTCCCATGGCTTATGGGCACGTAGCGGCGAGCTCGTAATAATAATGAATGTAAATTGCCGCAATGAACGATTTAATGTCTTAATTCTTTATTTATACTGCATTTTCCCTATATGTTGCTGCCGCCACGCCCCTCCTTTTTTCTCGCCCTATTGCGGGGGCGGTGGTTATTATTCAAACAATTGGAAAATGATTATTGCTATATAAGTATGTGCAAGGTAAAAGGAACAAAGTGCCGACCGCATGAATAATGCAATCAAGATAAATTAGAATAATGCATTCTCGAAAATATTATGAAAATGCATAATTGAATTGATCAGTTATCAAAAGAGTTTTCGCGGCTATTTTCTAGTCACGAAGGAAGCCGTTTGTCAAAATATGTCCACCGATTTCGTGCCGACTAATTAAATAGAAATATATTATATTCATTTATGCCCTTTCCATCGAGACTAAACGATTCGGGGAAAAATATTAGAAGCGGGTGTCCAAGTGTCTGGGATTTGGGCAAATGTGTCGGCACTTTTGAGGGTTTGCCGCGGGGCTTTGACTTCTGGGAAGATGGATTTTAATGGGGAAATGGGGAAGGAAGTGGGATTTGCATATAGGATATAGGAATATGTTAATGTAGAGATACTTCATTATTAGGAGAGAGAGAGTAGTTTTCGCTTGCTCTTGAGAAAAATCTTTTGTTTAACTCTCTCAAGCTCGTGCGTTCTTTTTTCCAAGCTTTTCTTGTAATGTTTCTGTTTAATTATATCTTTATATTATTTATTTACATATATGTTAACAATATTACATAAATAATATGTTCTGTAAGAAATAACAAAACCCGTATAAAACCCCTTTTGCATAAGCAATTTTCCTTTTTTCCGCCGGATATTGATACTTTCCTTTTTCCAAAACTATCTACACTCTAGATATTTATAAAGATCCCACACACACATATGTTTTGCACCCATCTTTAGAATAAATTGGCATAACGATCTTGCATTAATCAAGGAACTGAGAATCTGTCAAACCACAAACACTTCCGCTCTGTGGTAGACCCAAAACCGAGATTAGGGTACACCTCCACATAAACTATAATAAACCAAATTGTGGCATGTGCACGTATTCCAATTCCAAAATCAAGTCTCTTTGGGTGGGCCCAACTATAGAGATCGTTTAGGATGAGTTACGAGGCCAGAATTCGGATAGAGGCCGGTGTGCGCAGGAGCAGCACGTCTAAACCGTAAAACTCGGGACACACGTGCAGATAATTGATAAAAGATGGGCTCAGATAAGACAACAGAGAGAGATAGAGAGCTGCTGTTTTGGGTAATTGATATTCCAGGCCAAGAGGAGTACCCCCGCTGAGCCACTTCTATATAGTTAGTAATCTGACCCCTCATATTCCGGCCAATGTGGGGTAAAAAACGACGGACGCAATTTATGCCACAGCATCCGGCGATAGGTTACACCCACTATTCCCCGGGCCCAGGCTGTTGCAATTTCATGAGTTGGCAAAATAATAAAAGCACAAATCGTATGAAGCCAGTGGAAATGATAAAAAATACCAAGATGTTCCTCGCAAAAATCATCTTGATATAATCAGGACATTGGGGAGCTATAGCCAACGCCACGCCCCCCAAAAAAGGGGACCGGAGAGACCCGTGTCAGTCTGTCTGGACTCGCTCCAGTTCCGCCCACCGACTTCCGGCCCATAGAGCTGCAAAGTGCCAAGTCTCTATAGCTTTTTTGTGGCCACAGTATGCGGGAGCAGAAGGGAGAATGGGTGGCTCCTGTCCGTAATTACAAACCACCCACTGGCCCCTGGCCGTAAGCATAAAAAAACCAACGAAAATGTGATGACGTAGTTAGTGAGTCCTTGTGAATTGTTCGGCAACGCCCACCGCTCTGCGGGCGGTCAGATTTTGCAGCAATCATCGACGCCGCGCCAGGGGATCCGGAACTGATGCTCTAAGTGCTGCCAGCAATCTGTAGTTTTGGCCAGCAGCCAACCAATAAACATAAAAAAACGAATTTAATAAGGAGAGCTGCGATAATGAATAGTATTTGTATATTTTGTTTAGATAAATAACTAAAGTGGGAACTATTCTTTCTCTAAATAAGGGATAAGAGATTTCTGGACTCAGAAATAATTTTAAATGGTTTCAGTTTAGCACTGGCTTTGGTTTCTAAACTATTTTTAAAAGACTTTAAAATATATACTATAAAAAATTCTAGTAAAGGTATTTAAGTAGAAATTATAGAGATACAGATGTAACTTAGTATTTAAATGAATATTGCCACACATTTCAGGATTTTCGTTCTGAGATTTTAGCTTACTTTTTTTAATCTAATCTCTAACATTCTTTAGTTATGTTTATATAAAGAGACTTCTTACAGCCCTAGTGCCATTATCATACATTGACAAAGGGAACTTAAAGATATACCAAGCAGTAAATACAAAATTCAGTTAGATTTATAGTTCCTTAATGGATTCTCTTCGATATGGCGGTACAAGCAATCGAAATTTGAATTTAAACATATATTCTAGCATAAATATTATTAAAATAAGGCCTACAACCCAGAGTTCACACCGAGGGCTCTGCAAAAAACTCTTCCTAAAGCTGATATTATTTTAGATCTGCATTTGGTAGCCAGAGACCCTGATACATTGATATTTTTGGGTGTTGTAAGTAATGCACACAAGTTTATGATAGAACACAATAATCTCTTACGAATTTACTACACATTTACTCTTATTTGCTAAGCTTAGGACTAGCCTCTAACATGCATCTAAAGATCTAGAAAAATAGCCTTAGACAAGGCCTACAACTAGATTTGACTATGATCGCTTGCAGAAAAATGGCTAATATACACAAATTTTCACAACTTATCACAACATTGCAGAAGAGAGACAGACTACAAACGCTGTACACAGCGCCTCACAAACTTGGCCTTGTGCTGGCACATGAAGCGCATCAGGAAGATCACCAAGAGTACACTTACTAGATAGCCCACAACCAGTACAGCTCGCTTCCTCCGTTTCCAACGCTGATAATCCCGCCAAGATGCATATCGATTTCGGAACTGTGGCGGCAGTTCGAACTTGCTGCGCCGCGGGAAGAACGACAGATAGAAGTCCTCGAGCAGATGGCGCACAATCTCGTTATCCTCGCTCCTATTCGCGTCCAGATTATCGTTGATGCAGTTAAACTTGCGCGGATTTCGACGCAACCGGTCTAGGGACTCCACCACCTCCGTGATGTTCGATGTGAGCATCATAAAGTTGCTGTGGGAGGTTCGCTTGGGACTCACATGGAATCGGTACTTGGGACGAACTCCAAAATTGGCAGTCAAGGCTTCCGCCAGGAGGGGACACCTCACCACCAAGTCTCGGGTTATCGTTGGCTAAAAAGGGCACAAATAGCTAATATTAAAGATTTTTGAGTATTATTTCAAGTTTACTTACCAGATTCGAGTCCTCATATCGCTCGTACACCAACGTAGAGTGCTCCACCGAATCTGCTTTCAAGTCCACTCCCTGATTCCTAGTGCAGTTCTGAATAACCTCCTCGAAGTAACGCATGGCTGACCAGTCCAGGGGCGGCGGATAGATGCGAGTAAGAAAGGTTCGGACCTCCCGGTCCGACCACGTTCCAGAGCCATCTGTGTCGAACTCGTCGAAGATCTCTTCTACGCCCAAGACCTGAGTTTCACTCATGAGAAAGGAGTAGTAGGCAAAGGCGTATTGCAGATCTGTGGGAGCCCTGAAGCGCTGCAGGGCAGTATCCAGTATCTGCTGCTGGAAGCGTTGCTGCATGGCTTCCACAATGTCCGCTTCGAGCAGGAATCCCACGTGAGCGAGCACATAGCGAGCCTTGAATCCGTAGGCTTTGTTCAGCAGCATATTAGTGGCTATCAGGGAGTGTGAGTATATATCTGTGGAGGATTTGAAGTCCTCCTTGTGCAGTATGTGGCGTTGCGTGGTTGGAGGTCCTGTGCTGCTCGCCTCCATCTCGGGATAAAGGGACATAAGCTTGTCCTTGTTAAACCGCTCCACGATGCGACGGAGCTCAAGTAGTGTAGACACATTGCGGTGGCGCATCACATCCTTGAAGTTTGCGGAGCTCTTTTTAAACAGCTTTTGCAATCCCATGTGCGGAAACCGGTGGACTGGAGTCGGAGGCACAGCAGCTGCTGCGCCCAACTCGTGTGTCTCCTGGCTCTGCGGAAAGATGTGGGATCCATCTGCTGGCCCCGCTTCGCTGCAATCTCCACCATCAAACTGGCAGGCATCTATGTTGCAATGCCGATCGCAGGCTCCATCCCCTATGTACGTCCAGGGACAGTCCAGGGCGCAGTCGGGCACCATCCAGGCCTGATACACGCGTACTCCTTCTGCCTCCGTATACAGATCCTCCGGATATAGCGGAGCGCCCAGGAAGATGTCGTCGTTGAGGTATAGGAATCTCTTCGATAGCCTCGGTATGCGGTGCAGGAAGGTCTCGATGGCCGAGCTGGAGAACGTGGGTAGTTGGGAGGGATCGGGCGCTAGCAATTCGTGCGGCACCACTGTGACTCTCTCGTAACTGAGATCCAGCCAGTTTGGAATCTGACCATTGGTGACTATATAGACGTGCCTGATCCAGCTGGCGTGCTTCTCCAGCGATCTGAGGGAGTAGCGCAGCTCATTCTTGTCGTCGAATCGCGATGGATCATATTTGGGATCAAATCGCCGGATGGCTTCAATGAAATTCGGATCAGAACCATTGACCCAGGTGTACACCGCATCTATAGGGCTACAAGAGCTGCCAAACTCGCCGGTTCTGGCACTTTCTGATGCGAAAATGTAGCTTCTAGCCAACCAAACTGTCAGGCAGAGTCCTACTGCCCCTAAAAATTAATAAACATTACAAAATCTATTGTTTATAGGTAGGAGGGTAAGGAGATCCCACCTATTAGCATTCGCAGCTTTCTCCGTGACTGCATTCTCAACTGCTCGATGGCGCGCCTCATCCTTCGCGGCCAGCGGCGGCGCAACCGCATTTTCAGCGCCTTAACTGGCACATTTAATTTAATTTTTTCGAATTTGGTTTATTTTGTTATTATTTTCGGAAAGTGTGCCCGCCAGATCATCTGCTCTTCAATCTCAAAGTGCTGGAAAACCGCGAGGTTTATTCCTTTCCTGCAACTGGTCTCACTAAGCTGCTGTGCATTGGCGTTGCCAAAAAATTTCACTCTTGAATTAGAGTTACCGGACCAGCATTCCTGTCCACCTAAGATATTTTAATAAAATATGTTTTAAAAATTAAAAATAAAAATTTTAAAATTTTGCATAATTTGTCAAAACAATACAAGGAGTTACAACATTAAGTTTTTAAAAATTTACCGGAATTTATTTTTAAAAAATATTAAAATTAACTATACAGACTCATTAACCTAATAAAAACAAACACGAAAAGCCTTTCTAAATTGAAATTAATCATTTATTGACTTACTTATAGCTATTTTAAACTTTTAGAAAAAATTTATCAAATTTGACAAAATTTTACAAATTTTGTATAGGCGTTACACCATGAAATTTCTCAAACTTCAAAAAAACTTTATTTTAATATTATCTAAAATTGAGTATGCAGTTTTATTGATCTACTAAAAACTAACACAGAAAAGCTTTCCGATTTAAAATTAACGCATTTTTGACTGAGTTATGTTGATTTTAAAATTTTTTGTTGAGTTATCATATAAAAATATCGCAATTTTATTCTATTTAAAACAACTGTGTTTTATCGGTGTTTTTTTTTCTAATTATCCATATTTTTTTCAGCTTTTGTAAAATATTAACAGAACGATCTTGACGCTATATATATGTATTAGTCTCTCGATCTGGAATTAAAATTACCGATGTTTGATGCCACGATATATCGCCTTGTTACAGCTTCAATAGTATCGTTATAATAATCGCTCTTGTCCCACCTCTAATAAAACATCAGCTGGTGTCCCGCTCAAACCGAGTTGTTGTATTTGTTTTCCATTTCTCCAGTGACGAGGTCGGATTTTTTTCACGTCGCAACCCCAAGTGCAAATCGGCGAAAATAACGCGGGGGTTAGTTAAAAACACGCTTAGTTCAATTAGTAAATCGTGCGGCAACGGCCTGGCCCAAAACCCGAATTCAATTCGAAGAGGCAAGGCACTAAAACCTGGAAATAAATTCACCGAAAATATTAGTAGCAATAAAAAGAAAGAAGGAAAGAGAACCCTGGAAAGTGGTTAATGTGTGTGTATTTGGCGAGCGGAGCACTGAAAACCAGTTAGTTCACTGTGAAAAGATTCAATAACGTGTTGGGAGAAAAAAGAAGAACAAATTGTTTCGAGTGTGTGAGGCGACGACAACAACAAAAGCAGCAACAACAACAACGGCAACTGGTCCGGTACAAAAAAGTCCGCTTTCCTCGCTCATTAGCGGCGCTTTCCTCCTCAAAGTCAACTGGAAACCTTAAACCGGGCCGTGCAATTACAGTGTAAATTGATATATGCAAGTGCAGCATCAGCAGCTTGGCCGAAAAACAGGTGCGTAAGCCTGCCAACTTTCAATATTATATTAATTTGTGTGTATGTGCGATCTGATCTGTGGTCTCGGCTATCTTCCGTCTCCCTTTGGTGCGTGGTGTGGTGTTTGCTATACATATCTACATGGTCTTTATCTTTCGGGTTATTGTTCGTTGCCGCAAGAGCATCGCGGAGCATCTTTGGCATTCATTCAGTCATTATCATTATCCCCCCATTCATTTGCCTAACACAGATATCAACAACAAATAAAGTGAAAGGTGTCGGCACGCGTTTTCCCATATTTTCTATTTTGACTATGCATTGGCAAGCGCAAGGAAAGCGAAATCGTTCTTAGTCATCGTGGTTTTTAAGGGGAGGGATGAAAATGGCCGGAAATCAAGGAGGAGACTCAAACATGGCGCCTGGCAACAGGCATGAATTGTGACGAAAGAGGGATTTGATAAAAGCAATTAATTTATAGATTATTAGAACACGGATTCTTAGAAAATTTAATCCATATACCAAAAGATATAGTGCCATTAAAACGGAGTCGATAAATAGTGATAATCAAGTTGTATTTTCTTATTTTTCTGCAGGAAGAGTTTAACATACATTTTTGTCAATACTCAAGAATTTTAGGGACTAAAAATGTCAAAACGTCATAGAAATTATTAAAACGAAATCGATAAATGGGTGTAGTCCAACAATTAAACAGATGTCTAGGCAAACTAGCCAAATTCTTATTAGAAACCAGAAGAAAAGTTTAATATTTTTTGAAAATCAATACATTTTAGGCAGTTAGAATAACCAAAGTAAACAATAAAAATATCGATTTTTAGAAGCTACTGCTGCTGGTTGGTTTTAATTATTAATTTCATGACACGACAAGTGTTCCGTTCGGGGCACCACACCCACTTATGTCAGAGGGAAAAGCCTAAGCGGAAATGATTTCATACAACGAAAAACCCACCCCGAGAAAATAGTAAAACACAGACCATGTTTTTATGGCCATTGCCTGCCTCAAGCCGTCTGCCATTTTCATTTCCATTTCATTTTTCTCGTTGTTCGTTGACGTGTTGAGGTTAAGTCTGATTTTTTTGGGGTTGCCGGCTTCTCTGCGTCGTCGCAAAATTGATGTACTACTATGCTTTGCCTTTTCTTTTTTGCCGAAAAATTTCACGGCCGAACTGAGTTTCCAACATAAACATTACAAAATATTTCGCATTAATGGCGATGATAATAAAAGCACCTTTTCATTTTCGCAGCCAGCACGCACATCGAAATAATTATTACCACTCATCATCATTGCCTCCGTTTTCCCTCTTACAAAACTACGGTGTTAATGCGGCCAGCACGTGCGTCTTGGTCTACGCACTGAGTTTTCCGTTTTCTAGTTTTCCTTTTTTTTTATTTAAGTTTCCCGTTTTTCTCTGCTTAACTAAATTTTCAGCTTGCCCCGCCGAAAAAAAGGGGGAAAAGCTATAGAGACGCAACCATGACCAAAGAAATTCAAAACTTGAGCAATTTGTAGGCAAATTAAGGTGTTAACTAACCGTGAAGTTGGTCAGTGGGAAATCCATGAAGATGGAGCTAATACACGGTGGGAAATAATTAACAAAATTAGTTGTTAATAAAATTAAATTATTTAAAAAAGAAAAAAGAAAGTGGAATTCTTCTAAGAACCCTTTCATTTTTGTTGATTAATGTTATTCAAATTTAATTCATATTTAAGTTATTTTAAATAACTTTTTTTATTTGACTTTAATTTTGTCTTTGTAACATTGTCTTACTCTTTCTCTCTGTGTAATTTCGGCAGACGCGCTCGGAAATTGTTTGATCGATTCGATTCCTTCGTCTGCTTCCGCTCAGTCGGCTATCGGCTGTTACCTTTTGGTCGGCCATTCGCCACTTGCTAACAGTTGTTTTCGTACGTGTTTGCAGCGCTCAGATACGCAGATACAGATAGAGATAGAGATAGAGATACAGATACGCAGATACTTTTCCCCAATGGATGTGGTGCATTGTTCTGCGCTCTCCACTATCCACTCTCTTCTCTCCAAGCGGAAGCAACTCCATTTATGTAAATTGCTTGCGTGACATTTCAATACGCCGGGGCGCTTTATGAAAAGCTGGAGCGGATTTGGTCTCGGGGGGAAGGGAGCAGAAGAATTATTTTCATTGTTGGAAGAGCAGATCTCGGCAGCAGGGTTGCCAGGCCATTTATCCGTCATGCCAACAGTGGAGAGTCGCCAATCAGTTTAACTGTGCTTTTTTATGGCCGCACTTTGCGCTTTTTATGCGCAATAGCAAAACATAAAGTGCACTATCATTTGCACTAACGTTTTTCCAATCAGTATGCAATGAAGTACTTGGAATTGACGCAGATGAGTCTGCATTCTTGTTAGTTTTTGCTAAATTCGTACTTGGAAATTTTAAGTGTAATGCATTTGAGATGTAGGTTTCTAATGTTAACTTTTACTAAAGTTATTAATGAAACTTTTAATTATTAATATATCCCAGTTTTCCCCTGTAGCTTTTCATTAATTTCCCCTTCAGATCCCATCATTAATTTGTGTTCAGTTGAAATAGCTACTAAAAGAAGAGAAAAACTATACAACCTTCAAATTACCATTTTCAGTAAAATGTTACAGACAGAGATAAAATTCAGATCTGGGTTTATTTTGCGGGACTGCGTAAACTTGGCCCAAAACAAACTTTGCCACGGGGTTTTTCGGCTTTAATTCGTTTGCTTAATTTGCTTTTTCGTGCTCGGGGTTCAGCGAGGTGAAACGGTTAAATGTTTTTTTGAAAACTGCCCCCGATGTTTTCCTTTCCCCATTTTCAGAAGAGCTGAAAACTGAGCAACGAGTGTGTGTTTGTGGCTCTGCGTGTGTTCATTGTTATTTCGGTGTGTGCCGCCCCTCCGGTGTGTTGTGGTGTATATGTGTGTGCATTATATTATGCTAACTAGACCCTAATGTCGGTGGCTGGCGGTGTTGTGAGTGCTCCACATTAGTGCTTCCTATCGTATGCTCTATAAAGGGCCATTCGATACGATATATTTTCCAGCCAGGGTTGCTCATTTCCTCCACGTACTGTGGAGTTCAATGTACCTGATCCCAGAGCAACGACTTTATGTAGGGATACAACAAAAAAGCAGGCCAAAAAGCGTCCATAACAAATGCAAAATGTCAGCAAATTATGAATAATGTAGTGAAAAAATAACAAAGGGAACCACAGAAAAACGTGATCGGAAAATGAGGCAAAAAAGCGCTGCATAAAAAAATAATACGTATTATCGCCAAGCAGCTTGACATTTGAAGCACTTAAGACCTGAGCTGAATCATCCGGGGGGAAACTACGTACAACGTATTCCGAGTAGACAAATTGATATTTATTTGTTTTTTTGCAAAGACGCTTCCCCGTGACAACTGATACTTCTGTTTGTGAGCAAATGAAAATAAGCGCTCCCCATCTCTGTTTATTTATGCATTAGCACTGCACGGAGAAGAATATTATCTATGGAAGATGGTAATAAATTGGGTAAAATAGGTCTCTCGGTGAGTTTGTCAAAAATATATGTATAGTTGAATTTGTATCTAATGAGTTTTCAGTGCTAAAGAAAGCTCAAGGATTTGAATATTAATTAATTATATTATAGATCGAATTTTATCGAAAAACCTTTACAAATCATAGATGCATTGAATAAACAATTCTTTGTTGTCAGGAAAGTAGCTCTATGATCAAATTATAGGGTCGAAAATTACTCATTTAAGATATTAGCTTTGAGATATTAGTTTTCACATAAAATAGCAGTTCCTTTATCAAACAATATAATATAATAATTAATATTATTCTGTTGGTAACAAGGATATCTTATTTTCTCTTGTGTACCATTTTCACATTTTCATTAGCTGCGCGCCAGCTTAGTTTTAAGCTTGTCGCCGATGCCTTTTTGTCTAGAAACAAATTTTGTTGACTTTGCGAATTAAGTTTAAGTTTCACCGTTAGCCAAAGATCAGGCGGAATTCGGTGGGGTCTCTCCATTTACCGGTGGTTTTAGCATTTGTTTGTAAAAATTGACCTAGTCAACGAACAGCAAGATCCTCTCTCTGGCGCTCTTTTTTTTGAGAGATCAGAACCTGTTTCCTAAGCTTTTTTCGAGCTTTCCAGCAAGCTCTCCCATTCTCTTAAGTGCATAATCCAGTTCTCTTAGGTGCGCTCTTTAGTTCACAGCTCTTCTATGGATCTCTTTCGGTTTTTGTTTTTGGCATTGACTTCGAGTGTCTTTTTGTTGATATTAAAGAAACGTGTGTATTTGAAAAACAATAGCAACCTTTGGGTTTCCAAGGTTTCCCAGCAATTGAAATCAGAACTTTTTGGGGATGTTAGTTGAACCCAAAGGTATCCACCTGGTGATATATGATATTATCGAGCGAAAGGCAAGCAATATTTCGCCACACGCTGTAATTTATTTAATGTATTTAACTTACGGATCACCTCACCTGTTAGTTAGCCCTGCCTCGTAAAGTCATTAACTATTGTTAACAATAAACAATATGGTCGTAAACATGGTAAACAAACTTGCGCAAGTAAAAAACACAAAGTCAATGTGTTTGACAGTCTACGCAATTCAAAGTTTCAAAAGATCAATATGATAGGAATAATCGGAAAGCAACGCAGATTGCAGCCGGGAAATTGCAAAAGTTGATTGTTGCAATGGAAATAAAGGCGTAATGGAAAATTCAGTAACCTTGATTTGTTTCATACTTATGACATGTGGCTCTCGAAGAAAAAGGGAAAGAATGAAAGAAAATGTACTTGAAAAGTAACCGAAAATTTGAATTCCCTTTTTATAAAATAATACAATGATAAATTGATCTGAAACTTGTATATATATAATATTTAGTTTTATAAACCTATATATACCAAGTTTCATATAAAGACCATAAAAACTATAAACTTTTAGGGCTTTGCAACGATCATAAAAAAGGGAAATTATAAGGTTCTTTAAGGAATAACCTCTATAAAATTGTTTAAATTAATTTATAAAATGTAAAACATAACAAACTTTTTGTTGTTTAATACAAAACCATCATACCCTATTTAAGGAAGGGTATTCAAAGTTAAGAACTTGGCGACCCCAATATAGCAGCGCTATCCAATTCCACATGCGCGTGTCGATTGTGTGATGGTGTGCTTTGGTCACGTATGTGTGTCTCTTATTGCTTTGTTTTTTTTCTACAAGTCCATTGACTGAAAAACAAGTAATTAATTAGGCACGGCTCCAAAGTAAAGTAATTAAAAGCCAGCGCACAATTATTAAACAAACTTACAAGGGGAGTAAATACAAAGTTCCCTAAGACTAGTAGAGTTTATTTTGATAATATTCCGATTGAAGCTTGGGTACTTTTGATAATTTACACCCATTGCTTTATTAAGATATCTATTCCCGATCCCTTTGGTGTAAATAGAGCAACGATGCACGTATTGTTGTTTACACATTGCTATCGCAAGCTTAGTTGTTATTTTTAAGTGCACATTCTGTAATTTAACAATGGCCATGTGCCGCCTGTTGTTTACAGCAAATTAAAGCTCTTTTACATATCCATCTCCCCGCAACCAACAACACTCTCAGGCGTCGAGCCCACCGATGGCGACCAATGGCAGCCAAGTAAACAAGTTGGGGGAATAACAAAATAGATACAAAAATAATAATAATAATACGAATAGAATCAACAGAGCTCCCACCAGCAGCGGGCAACGCGGAAGCGAATTTGTTTACGTCTTATCCCAAGCAGCAATTAGAAATCGGACAAACAGCTCTAGCAGCTCATATCTATAGGTTTTTTGCTCTATATATCTATGATAAACCTGCTCTCTGATCGAGTGTTAGTCACTCGGGAGAGAAATCATAGAAAAAGCTAATTAATTACTATATAACATCTAGAAAAATATGTGAATGAGTTACTTTTACTTTTTAATGTCTTAGCCTTGGCTTTCTTTTTATTAAGACATTTTGTTAATGGCTATAAATTTATAAACTTGTTCGAATTCTTTACTAATAAACTTAATAAATAAAGAAATGTGTACAAAAGATGTTAATATGAAACACATTTCCATAAAACATTTTGATAGAGTTATAAAGTTAGTTAAAGTTATACTGAGTTGTAAAGTTAATAATATACCCTTTACTTGCTATATGCTATATAATATATATATAAATATTTTCTTAACTTATCTTATTAAACTGAGTTTTTATATTAATAAACTCTTAATTAAACTCTACAAGTTATGTATGTTTACCTTGTCATTAAATATTTGCACAAAAAGGAGATCATTGAACGGAGAAAAAGCTGAGGTGACAACCCCTTTGCTCTCCAACTAATGACCCTGTTGGATCTCTCATAATTTACGACACCAGTTGGCCATAATGTCCGTCTCTTTTTTGGCTCATTTGGACTCTTTGCTCTGCCGGTTGGCAAGACAAGATCATTGATCGCGCCGGTTTTTCATGGGGGGCCTGCCCTCAGCCGGCTTCCGCATTAAATTCTATGCTCCACCTAAACTGCGTAGTTTGTTTGGACGGTGCCTTATAGTGCCATATGTATATACTTGTAGTATCTGCCGATGTATGTCAAGCTATAGGTTTGCACATACATATATGTATGTACCTATGTATTTTTCGCATATAAACGAATATTCTTGGTTGGTTAAGGCGCGAGCGACTCACGCGCTCTCAACTATTTTGACCTTGATGTGACTAGCGGCATTATCTATCCACTGGCGTTGTTTTGCCAGCTCTGACACTCGGAATATATTACATTATAGAAGCCACAGAGTATATGAGTATATATAGATGGAGATACATATATACATGTGAATGAATGAAGGGGCTCGTCTCATGTTGTTTGCTTCGATTTTGATGTAACTTGTTTTCAATTAAAGCCACCAGAACCTGTTTATGGTCAAGTCCAGTTAGTGAAAAAGCGACAGATGAAGTACACGCCCCTCTTTTCAAATTAATGACAACTAAACATGATATCTTATGGATTTTCTTTTAAATTCATCCATCTGAAAATGTTCATAAATGACCTAAATATGGGGATCTTTTTGAAAATGCCCTCAAAGCGCTATAATAAATCTGAAACTCTGTTTAAGTTATAAATAATTAGGGTTTAAATTAGTTTTTCTTGCAAACAGATTCTTTTAAGATATTCCAGTATTAATATAAAAAAAGAAAAAAAAGCTAACTTCGGCACGCTGAAGTTTGTATACCCTTGCAGATTGCAATTCGATCACTAGGTATCAATACAATATAAATTATTTATATCTATTTTAAAAAATAATTAAGTAGTACCTGCTTTCATTTCATTCACCGTTTTCCTTTTTTTTTTATATATATAGTAGTCCGATTTTCTTATCATTGTACACACTAGATGAATATATAATAGGTATATATAAAGTTTGATGCAAATCTGCTGAAATCTGGAAAAGTTATAATTTTTTTTATTAAAATTTTCCGATTGTTCCTATGGCAGCTATATATATATATATATATATATATAGTCCACCGATTCGCCATGCTACGACTTATATACTAGTAAAATTATAAAGAAGATTAACTACATAGTTTCATTGCTTATTCTTAAATTTGTTCCAAAAGAAATCTCGCACATCTGTGCATATGATTCTTAACTTGTTCTAACATCCCCGGAACGAAGTGACTACTGCCAACCAGGTCTCAGAAATGTGTTGTTACAAAAGTTGCAAGTCATTGTTTAGTGTTCAAAGTTAGTAACTGATCATACATACATACTTACTTAGATACTTACTGATTATAGATACTTACTTCTCATAAATACTTCCTGTTCATTGATACTTACTGTTCAGAGTTACTCACTGGTCATAGATACTTTCTGATCTTAGTTAATTACTGATCATAGTTATTTACTGTGTATAACAACTTACTGTTGAAAGATATTTACTGATCCTCCACACTTAACAACCGTTTCCCTGGCAGATATATTAAATAGTATTCAGATTTTCATAAAACTAAAAAAGAAATTTTATAATAATAAAAAATAGCTTTGAATAAAATAAGATTAAAATGTGTTCAAAACTGTTAAAGTTATAAATTTTTCCCTAAAGCTAACAGAGCAATTTTAATTTAATAGCGAATTACTTTACCCACTCGCAAGTTAGAGCACCTAAAACAGTAGTGGTCTTAAGTTATAACACATTAAAAAAGTCCTACTTAGTTGTTTTATAGATTTCATAATTTAAAATCTAAGGAAGCCGGTAGCTTATCCTCTCTCTGGGCGCCAGAGCCCCACATTTTATCGAAAATAGTCTCTGTTTTGGAAATTCAAAATTATTTTCAGTAAATGCAAGTCATCAGATACCATTCAAGTACCCAGGGCCAGCATCATTCCCTTCAAGTATGTACAATTAGTCGGGGGGAAAAACAGTTGCCGCAGAGGTTCACGAACTCCAGCGGAAATGCAGGCACTTACGGGGGGAAAAACAACAACCCACAACCATGGGCACTCGATGGCCACCTTCGGCCAGTGGCTTCAGTTCCATTTGACAGACTACACCAGACGCACGCTCGAATAGGGAGCGGAAACTGCGTTACTATATCGCGAACCCTCTGCCCATATCTTTGGACGAGGCACTCTTATCTTGCGCGGCGGTTGTCTTATCAGGCGGAAAGTCAATCTTATCGCCAGCAGCAGCAGAAACCCGGGAAAAAGTAGTGAAAAGCAGCCAGCTCAGTGTGACAAAAATTGGTTGGAATTCAATGTGCTTTTCCGCGGCTCCTCGATGTTGTGTTTGCTTAGTTAGTGGGGTAATAATTTATCGATACGTTTAACTAAAATTAACTATTTGATGTAGTAAAAGATATCAAAGGCTCTAAGATTACCATTAAAAACTATCAACAAAAGCATAGAACCTAACCTCAAAGAGCCATAGTATTTGTACCGATTCAAGTGCAGTCGTCTTAAAATAATACAAAGACCGGTGATAAGGTGTAATCAGTGTGTGGACGAGATCGAGCCGTACCCTAATCCGTATCTAAATCAACCTAAATCAATCTCTGATTCATTGAATTCCGTTGAATTTGGCCTTGGTATTTCCCCTTTCCTGTTGGCAATTTATGACCGATTTGAACACGGACAGAAAAACGATTAGATAAACCCTTAGAATGGTTGTGGCTTGTACTTTACAGTGTTAACTCCATGCACACACACAACGCGCACACTCACATGCTCCATGATGATTAATCGCCACTAACTAACTCACATTCACTAACTAAATACAAAACAACTCTGCAATCTCATTACTAAACGCAACGCCTAACTACAAACGAGTTTTGCCGCCTAATCGCAAGTGCAACCCATTTCTTCTACGCACACAGATCAGGATCAGGATCAATAGCAAGGTAACCGGCCATCCCTTCATGTTCCACAACTACAGAGCATCTGCCCTGCCACGAAAGGATTAAGGATTAAGAACGCTGCCATCCTGCCACTATGCCGCTCTTCACAAGAAAGTCCCCCAAACAGGGAACCACGGCGGAGGGAACTCCCCAGATGGGCGCCCGCATGAATTCCGGTTCCTCCCAGGGTAATCACATTACCAATAATAATAACAACCTTAATGTTACGGATAAATCGAAGCCACCGCTGGTGTTCCACTGCCAGTTGGCCCATGGCAGTCCCACCGGCCTTATCCATGACTTCTCCAGCGTCCGCGAGTTGTACCAAAAGATTGCCGAATGCTTTGACATCTCCGAGAAGGATATTCTCTTCTGCACCCTCAACTCGCACAAGGTGGATATGGCCCGCCTCCTGGGTGGCCAGATAGGCCTGGATGACTTTATCTTTGCCCATCGCAAGGGTCGGCCCAAGGAGATTGAGATAGTAAAGTCGCAGGATGCTCTTGGTCTGACGATCACGGACAATGGGGCCGGCTACGCCTTCATCAAGCGCATTAAGGAGGACTCGATCATTGATCACATCGAGCACATCTGCGTTGGCGACCACATCGAGAAGCTTAATGGCCAGAATATGGTGGGCAAGCGACACTTTGAGGTGGCGCGCATGCTCAAGGATATACCCACCGGCGATACCTTCACCCTGCGTCTGGTGGAGCCAGTCAGGAGCGGCTTCCAGGGCATCGGACCACGTAGCGGGTCGAGAGCCTCCGGCAGCGGAATGCCCGGAGGACGAAATTATGGCAGTGGCAAGGAGACGCTGCGGTTCAAGGCCAACGGCAATGCCCAGATCGAGCCGCAGTTCGATGAGGCAACCGTGGCCGGGATAGAGGCCATCAACAACCTGCTGGAGTCCTTCATGGGCATCAACGACACGGAACTGGCGTCGCAGATCTGGGACCTGGGCGACCAAAAGTCCAACTCAATGGACTTTGCCGAGGCCATTGATAACTCGGACCTAGAGTCCTTTGGCTTCACGGATGACTTTATCATCGAGCTGTGGGGTGCCATAACGGATGCCCGACGCAAGTCGACTGTCAGCCCCAAGTAACCGGCGACCATCCCGTCTTTTGCCCAGAGTTTCGGACTCAGATACTTCACTTAGCCTGTCTATTGGGGTCCAATAAAGCGCCCAGAAATGTGGACTGTCTTTAAGTAATGGCTATCTATTGTCTACTTGTTTTAGAGCCTAGTTATATCTAACACACATCGTGCTATCATGTTTCCCATATTCGCCTGCCTTTGCCAATTATTTAGTTGTTCGTAAATTGCCCGCACGGTAATCTACATATTTATTATTATATATTTGTTCAGATGGACGGTGAAGAGATAGAGATAGGGGAGAGGAAGTGTTGATGATGATGAGGCATCCATACTATATATATATATTTTGGTACAATTTGTTCGATGTACATATATACGTATAACTGTATTTCTTTAGTTTTATTATCATTTAAACAATACAAATACATTTAAATTATTTAAATCGAATATGATTTTTAAACATTTGTTTTTATTTTCCATTTATTTTGTTATCTTGACTTGGTAAGTTTGTTTATTTGTTTAGGTGTTACCCTGATAAAGGGTGTTTTAATTTTAATCTTAGGTTTGCAGTGCAGTGAAATGAGGGGTTAATAAATTGGTGTAATCAGCATTAACAGACAAGTAGATCTAGACAGGACCTCTGTGTTTATCTATCTTTGTTTTGTTAGTTAAGAACGTTTCAGTTATTAAAGTTATAATATTTCTATGTTCCTAATTATTTATTTATCTTATTGGAACTGACATTGTTTCTTTTTTCTATAAGAAAATCATAATTAAATATAATTTAAAAATATCTTTAAGCTACTGTAGGAACAATCGAGCTATCTTATTCCCGTAGGGTATTCAAACTTCCCTGCACCCAAGATACGTAGCTTCCTGTCTTATTTTGGATTTGATTCATAAGTACAAACTGCCAGGTTTGCTCGTAGGCGTTTGTTATCTTTTGTTGGCACCCATTGCCAATTTGAATGGCATTCGGAAAATATTCCATCGCTCGCGGCGAATGTGACGAGTTGTTTGCGCGCTGCCTAAAATTTCTGGTCTCGTTTTTATGACTCTTCTGCCAGATTCGCCTATACATTTTTGGCCAAGGACTCATGCGCAGACTTCCTGCATTTAGCTTTAGAAGAATTATCATTTCCAGTGACGTAGAATGGCACCACCATGACGCGATTTCTGGACTGTTGATCAGCTCAGATCGTCGCGCCATTAACTTATTTATTACATTGCTAAGAGAGCTTTCGATTGCGCATAAACAGCTGCTGTGTGTGGCGAGCAGCTGATAAGCACTGTTATTAAGACTCAAATGAGAGTGAGAAAGAGAAAGAGCAAGAGAGCATGGAAAAGGGGGGAGAGTGAATGGGGCAGCTGCTGCGAGTGCAACACACACACACACATCCACGCACACTTGTGTGTTTTGCCATGGCAACAAAAGTTACATGACTTTCCGGTTTTACAGGTTCTGTTGTTGTTGCAAGCTTTTTGGCTCTCTGCTTGCTCGCTCTCTCGCTCTATCTATCTCTCTGGTTTGTGAGTGTTGGGGCTATGGGGCTCTCCCACTCGCACTCAGGGCAGGTGCCTAATTCGATTAGCCGAAACGTTCCAACGCTCAGTCCTCAAAGAGAACTCGCCCGAGCAACAAGTGAAACGGAAGAATCGGAAATCCGAGGAAACTGAAGAAAAAGACTAAAGAAACAGAAGAACGCTTTAATAATATTGTGAAACATAGACAACAGTGCCCAGAATCAAATTCAAGTGCTAAGGAAACAGAGTGAATCGCGCGCTGCAGTTTCACTAGTGTTTTCCCCAAGGACAGTGTATATATTTGTGCCAGGTAGTGAATTGCGATTAATGTTTAATGTACCCAAAACAGAAAAGAACAGAAGAAGCCCAAGAAATTATTCAAAATTTCCATTATACTAGAGATACGGTCAAGATCCGTCGAGAACAGTACAGCACGACATCTGCAGACGTATTTCTTGGCAAGATCTTTGGTTAGACTTTGTGCCCGCGTTGGTTTGTTTGTTTGATACTATTTATTTTTTTATTTCTCGCGTTCCCCGTTTGTCTGGACTTTGATCGTGACTCAACACAAATTGGCAAACAGCCCCCGCCAGCAATCAGACCCATTAAAACCATACACTATAGCCCCTAAAACTCGTCGCGAAATTGATCCAATCTGCCTTGATTTAATATATTGTTTAATTTGATTCAGTTTGGGGGCTCAAAGTTTGCAGCGAATTGTATTGTTGTGGTGAACAGCTTATCTTGACTTTGTGTGTTTGTGTGGAAACCCGAGTCTTCTTTGTGTCTTTGTCCGGATATTGTAGCTCCTGAAGTTGGCCCCATTCTGGAGTTTCTTTGTTACATACAAAGCTAACAGTTAAATCGCCTGATTTCCACGCGTTTCCATCGTATGTTTTTCGCTGTCGTTGCGGCTCCACAATTCGCGCTTTTCTTTTTGCCCGCAGCTTCGCAGGTGAAAGTGAAGCGGGGCGGCAACGCGTGACAGATGGCGTGATGTCTGGCAGTGTTTTTGGGGTTGTGGGACTGTGTGTGCGTGTGTATAAATCGTAGGGACCACCGATCTTATGTGCTCCTCTTCCTTGGGTCCACTTGGAGAAAAAGTTTCAGTCTTTTCTGTCAACTTTGAAGCTAAAATGACTAGGGAACCACTATATCTTGCAAGAAACGATTTAAATTCTATTTTGATTGCCTAGAAAACTTTTAAATTGATATTAATTCTTAGGTATTTAGTTGTTGTGTATCTTAGCTTAGTTGAAAGGGTTCCTATTAGTGAACGAAGACATATTTTATTACAGTAAGAATAAAATCACCTTTGACAATAACAAAGGTTTAAGCAAAAATTAAGACTTGATACGAGTTTAAGTTAAAGAAACTGTTTGATAATCCTTTTCACCATTCAAAAATGAATCATATTCTTGGAATTTTTGCCTAACAAAATAAGTCTTATCAACTTAACTAACATCAAGTTGTTATTTTTTTTTTAACACAATAGCAAATTGTTTTGTAGAGGAAACTTAAAGATAGGGAAATTCTAGTTTTCACTAAAAATTTTGAAGCAGTTTGATAAGATTATAAGTGTTTTGAAAGTGAATGAAGGCAAAACCAAAGAAAAAATAATAATTATATTGGTTCAAGAAACTGAAAACATAAACTAAGTTAAAATCAAATAAAACTAGGAATAGGTATTTAAATAAAATGATTCTAAATAAATTTTTTCATTAATACCTAAAATATCTTAATTCCCACAGCTATTTATTTGATTTTTAATTGAAGATTATTAAAATACACCATCATTTATAGGTTCTTTGTTGTCTGGGTTTGCTAATATGCAGATCGATCGTTAAGTCTTATCTGTTAAATATTTTCAAATTCCATTTAGTACCAAAAAATACAAATAATCTGGTCAAGATTGTCGAGTATGGAGAGATATCGGCAACCGTTGCCCTCACAGCCAAAAGCCAAAAAATCTAGCCATAATTGTTTATTAAATTCGCTTAATTATTGTGCAATGTTGGACATTGAACTTTGTGGCTATTCACTATTTATTAACGAACTTGTTTATCCGTCAGGGTGTGTGTGTGAGGGACCACTCAATATCGCGTGATGTCTTTCGGGGGAATACACGATTAATTCCAGACTCACAGCAGTGTGTTTTATATATTCGTGTTTTATCATTCACAAACGGTAGAACACGCCACTGGTATCGATAGTAACCATAGTCGTCGTTGATAAGCATTCAATAGGGGTTTTTATCACCCTGACACTCGTAAATAGTTTTCATACCAGATAAAAGGTAGTGTTCTTTACCAGCTTTTAATCTTTCCCTGAACTTGTGGTAAATAATCTTAACCGCCTGAAGGGTAATTTAAATGAATAACAATTGAAGGCTATTTCTAGATGGACAATTGGGTTTAATAAAATAAAAACTCATGGGGTTAAATAGATTTACAATATAGAGTAAAAATTACTAATTAGAATAAAAACAAGAAATCTTAGAAAGTTTAGTAACACTCCTACAAACGTTTATAGTATACCCGACTGAATAGTTTACTAACTAGCCAGAGCTCCACCGACCCTTGATCTATACAATAAATCATGTACTATTTTATTTACTTCATGGCTTGACTATATTGCCATACAATTTCACCATATATAACACTTATATTCCCCTACTCGATAGGTATTTTTCATGTTAATACGGTTAGCTATGCCTCTGACCTGATCTGTAAAATATATACAGTATACACAGGCAGCTGCTTTGTTTATAATTTCCATTTTACGTCACGTCCGCCGCTTGGCAACATTTGTGTTGCTATTTTTCTGTTGCTGCGGTGACAATGATGTTGCTGCGAGATGTTGCCAGCTCCTCACCTCGCTCCCGAGGCTTTGTCACCGGGCAAGAAGACACTACGCTCACCTTGACTTTGAGCACAAAGAGCTCGGAAAAGGTTAAAAATAAACGAATGCAGCTAATGGCAGCGATGGGGCTTCCAAGCACAGGATGCGGATACCTCTGATGCAATTTGTCTATTTTTTGCAAACACTCAACGTTGCCAAGCGAAAAGAACCTAGATGTCAGAGCCAAAGTGCTTTATGGCCTATACAAATTACTCACGCCGTTTCCTTCTCTCTCTCTAACCCTTACAGTTGCCGACTACGACGACAACGACAGCGAAGCGGGTCCAAAGTATTGCCCGGAGAACGTGGTAGAATCGATTCCTTTGCGGCGCATTTGACCGCCTGGCCTGCCCATAAACATGACCGCCATATAACCGAACACCGCGGACGCAACCACACAAAGAGTCGGAGCTTTGCGATTAGACAAGCAGATTAGCAGACCCAAGGCTGTCCCAGGAGAGCCACACTTTGCCGGCAAGGAGACAGGTCTAGGAGGAGTACATACCACCAAAGATGAATAGCCTGGCACGAGTGTTTAGCAACTTTCGTGATTTTTACAATGAGATCAATGCGGCCACGCTCACCGGAGCCATCGATGTGATTGTGGTGGAGCAGCGGGATGGAGAGTTCCAGTGTTCGCCCTTCCATGTCCGCTTTGGCAAGCTGGGAGTGTTGAGGAGCAGGGAGAAGGTGGTAAGTAGAAAAAGATGGTTACCAAATACTGGAATAATTAGGAGTTCAAGATATTTATATATTATAACCCATTTCACGAATTCCTTATTGTTGAATAATATATAATACATATTTATGTAACATCTTGCGAATTATAATTCTATAGCTGTAAATATGATAAATATCCATGTCCCCATCAAATAAAAATGTTTCCTCTTGTTCAAACCAACATCCGGTTGTTCAAAAAAGACACATTTTCATGGAAAAACACATTAATTATTTCCTCCCCTTCCATGTTCAGGTGGACATTGAAATCAATGGCGCACCCGTTGATATACAGATGAAGCTGGGTGACTCCGGCGAGGCATTCTTCGTGGAGGAGTGCCTGGAAGATGAGGATGAGGAGCTGCCCGCTAACCTGGCCACCTCACCCATTCCCAACAGCTTCCTTCAGTCGCGAGACAAGGGCAATGACACCATGGAGGATATCAGTGGAGTGGCGGCCGACAAGTAAGTGGAATTTTGTTACCAATCTCAGCCAGCTTTAACTCATTTCGTTGTCATTTGCAAAATCATTTTAGAAATGCTAGCGAGGAGCTGCAATTGCCAATGCCGCTGCCGCGACGCAACTCCATAGACTTCTCCAAGGAGGAGCCCAAGGAAGCGGCCGTCGAGGGCGGCAAGTTCGAGAACCAGGTCTCGGATTATACGCAGCGCAGGTACACCTAATGCCTTTCCATGTCCATTTCACCCAAAAGGCATTCCACTAACCACATTTCATTCCATACAGACACACTGACAACACGCTGGAACGTCGCAATCTGGGCGAGAAACTCAAGGAGTACACCACGCAGAAGATTCGTCAGGAGTGGGCCGAGCATGAGGAGCTGTTCCAGGGTTCCGAGAAGAAGTCATCGGAGACTGAGCTGCTGGAGAACCAAAGCAAGGCAGCATTAGAGGCTGAAAAGGATGCCCAAGTGGCTGAGAAAGAGAAGGATGCCAAGCCAGACCTAACCCTCACACCGGTCACCACTAGCGAACCCATTAAGGAGATTGCTGCCAAGGGCAAGACCAAGAAGCGACGCAAGAAGTCACAGATGAAGAAGAACGCCCAGCGCAAGACCTCCTCCAGCAGCTCGGTTGGCAGTGCCGCTGGCGGTGACTTGGCCTCAGCGGAGACCGCCTCCCTGGGTGTAACCAACATCGAAGAGGGCGATGTCCAAGTTTCCAGTGCCACCAATAATAACAACAATAACACCTCCTCGTCCAATGACGAGCAACCGTCAGCTCCTCTCCTCACCGCCCACACCGGTGATGATAGCCCACTGAGCGAGCCCCACACTCCAACCACCAATCCACGCCTGGATCTGGACATTCACTTCTTCAGCGACACCGAGGTCTCCACCCCGGTGGTCAGTGGATCGGGTCGCGCCGCCGGCGGTCGACCATCAACGCCCATTCAGAGCGACAGTGAGCTGGAGACGACGATGCGGGACAAGCGTCGTGGAGTGGACGAGGACAGCGCCGCTGCCTCGTGGAAGTGGGGCGAGCTGCCGACGCCCGAGCAAGCCAAGACCGAGGGCAATGAGGCGCAGATGGAACGCCACTCGATGCTCAGCAATATGTTCAGCTTCATGAAGCGCGCCAATAGGCTGCGCAAGGAGGTGGGCGTAGCTGAGGCCGGGGACATCTACCTGTCCGACCTGGATGCCGGCAGTCTGGACCCTGAGATGGCGGCTCTCTACTTCCCGTCGCAAAAGCCTAAGGAACCCTTCTTGCCGCCGGAGGAAGATCGAGAGAGCGGCAACGGCACCAGTCTGCCGCACTCCCCCAGCTCGCTGGAGGAAGGCCAGAAGAGTCTGGACTCGGACTTTGATGAGGCCAAGCAGCAGCAGCAGCAGAAGGACAAGTGAGTGGCTAATAAACTATGGTTACCACTATGATAGCTAATTCTTTGGCATTTCTTCAGGTACTTGGACTTTGTGGCCATGTCCATGTGCGGAATGTCAGAGCAAGGCGGAGAGCCCACGGAAGAGGAGTTCAATAGCCACCTGGTCAGCTACCCAGATGTAAGTATTGATAAAACCCCAGCCCAGCGCTGTGTTCTGTGTGTGTGTTCGAGTCCCATGCACTTCACTGCGCCCCACGCACTGCATCCCGCCTTGTTAACCAGTCTCTTCCCATGCCACGCCCTCATTCGCACCTGCGCTCTCTCAGGTGTGCAAAAGCCCCAGCATATTCTCATCGCCTAACCTAGTCGTACGGCTGAATGGCAAATACTACACCTGGATGGCTGCATGTCCCATTGTCATGACAATGATCACCTTCCAGAAGCCACTAACCCATGTAAGTTGTTGGACCCCAGTGTTCTCTGGGTGTCCCCACTCTGTACATGCCTCTTGTGTTTGCTCGCTCGCTGCGGCTCGTGCTCTAATGCTTGTCTTTAAATCTGATCTGATTGCAATTCTGCCTTCGACCAGGATGCCATTGAGCAGCTCATGTCGCAGGGCGACAAGTGTCTGGCCAGCGAGGATAAGCAAGAAGCAGCCGCTCAGGTGGATAGTGCTGGGCAGACCAGGCGTTACTGGTGGAGCTGGAGGCGCTCGCAGGATGCAGCACCCAATCATGTTGGCAATGCCCATGGAATGCCTCTGGGCAAGGATGAGAAAGGTAGAGGTTGATTGTCTTTAATATATCCAAAAATTAAGCTTTTATATGTACTTCAACAGATGGCGATCAGGCAGCTGTAGCCACGCAAACCTCTCGCCCCAACTCGCCGGACATTAGTGATCCAACGCTTAGCAAGAGCGATTCGCTGGTGAATGCAGAGAACACCTCTGCTCTGGTGGACAACCTCGAGGAGCTGACCATGGCCTCCAACAAGAGCGACGAGCCCAAAGAGCGGTACAAGAAGTCACTGCGCCTGAGTTCCGCGGCCATTGTAAGTTTCAGGTTGCATTGCCCTTGAGAAGACCCTACTAAATGAAAGATTTATCTGTTTTCTCTCAGAAAAAACTAAACCTGAAGGAGGGCATGAACGAGATCGAGTTCAGCGTGACCACCGCCTATCAGGGAACGACTCGCTGCAAGTGCTACCTGTTCCGCTGGAAGCACAACGACAAGGTCGTCATCTCCGACATTGATGGCACCATCACCAAGTCGGACGTGCTGGGCCATATTCTGCCCATGGTAGGCAAGGACTGGGCACAGCTGGGCGTAGCTCAGTTGTTCTCAAAGATCGAGCAGAATGGCTACAAGCTGCTCTACCTCTCGGCCCGCGCCATTGGCCAGAGCAGGGCGACACGCGAGTACCTGCGCTCAATCCGGCAGGGTGATGTAATGCTGCCGGACGGACCACTGCTGCTCAATCCCACATCCCTGATCTCGGCCTTCCATCGCGAGGTGATCGAGAAGAAGCCGGAGCAATTTAAGATTGCGTGTCTGTCGGATATTCGTGACTTATTCCCCGACAAGGAGCCCTTCTATGCCGGCTATGGCAATCGCATTAATGTGAGTAGTGCTGCTTGGGATCCTTTCTGAGTTTAAAGAACGATCTTAATGTCAAATCTTTGTTGTTGCAGGACGTGTGGGCCTATCGTGCCGTGGGCATACCCATCATGCGCATATTTACCATCAACGCCAAGGGCGAGCTTAAGCACGAGCTAACCCAAACATTCCAGTCCTCGTAAGTACAGCGATTCCTTAGATCCTAGACTAGATGTATCCGCACATGTGTCTATATCTCCCATGTACTATATGGTCTATTTATAAATATGGTTCCGGTGTTGCTCATTACTGAACTCATGCCACATCTGATAACGTTAACCAAAACGCAAAAAAACCAATGCTAATTGGCTCAAAAGTCGTATTAACTTCATTTTCGTAACGCTAGGTGTTTCCCGACTAAGCTATGTTTGAGTGTACTTTCCCTATCTGTGTAGTATATATTCATTGAACGAACTACCCCAAAAAAAACGCACCCTCAATCGCAATCAATCAAACGATAGCCTGCCAAATCCAATTCAAGAATTTTCGGTGTTCAAATTTACACACAGTGGCTACATCAATCAGTCGCTAGAAGTCGACGAGTACTTTCCCCTGCTAAACAACCACGACGATTTCGATTACCGGACGGATGTCTTCGACGACGAGGAGTCCGAGGAAGAGTTGCAGTTCAGCGATGATTACGATGTGGACGCCGAGCAAGATGTTAGCGACTCTGATGACGACGAGGCGATCTATGACGATGATTTTGCCAACGATGATGGCATAGAGGAGGACGCCTCCGGCAACGAGCAGTCCCCAGATGTGGGGCAGCTCATCATGCGGGTGCGCCGCGAGTCGGCCACCAAGAACAAGGTGGACCTGTCCCTGGCGACCAGATGGTCGTCAAATTCCCAGACATAGATTCGATGAGGGTTGAGCTGCCTGCAGGCAGCAGCTAACCAACAAATTGTGATAAGTTTTCTAACAGAGTTAGGAGTGTGTCCTATAGTTATATACCATATATGTTATATTTGTATGCGAGTGCCAGATCCGCAAACTACAAGTTTGCGGACCAGTTAAGTTTGGAAAGTATTCTGCAGCAGCAGGTCTTTATGTTTAGCTTTAAGGAGATGAAATCTACAAGCAATATTAAGCCACATTGACCAATAAAGTCTACCTGATATTTTTGTTTGCTATGATTATGGTAATCTTTTATTTTGAGTGGCATGAGTTCTGAGCTAGATCCGGATTAGATTAAGGTAGTTTCGTTGCATATTCCGGGGCTTATCTTTTCAGTTGCATACCCTCGGGCTGTGACCAGATCATAGCATAGATCCAGGCGTAGCACATAGTCTCATCTAGCATTTACTACTCTTCTTCAGATACTGCAGCATGACGAACATTGTTGACCAACTGTTCCCGCCGGTGAAGCATGACGAAGCCTCCGCGGAGTTCTCCAACTTCAACTATTGGCGCGATCCCATACCGGATTTGGATATACCCGAACTGGAGACGGCTTTGGTGGCACCGAGCAAGGTCCTCGAAATGGCCACCCTGCGACCCATTCCCGAAAAGTGAAGCCCCCGCAAACTATAACTATATTGATACATTATGAAGCATATAGCGCTTTCTCCCTAGCTTTCAATCCACACTTCTTCTAGATGTGCTTACCAAAAATGAAATATGTCTCTATGACCCTGCATTAGCATAGCTGGCGGCCAGCAATCGTTGTTCGTTTCATCCATTTTCATTTAATATTTCATTACAAAGCCTAGTTTCTAGTTAAATTCGGGTAGACTTGAGTTATAATCCGAAATTCAGTTTACTTCTACCCGTAGTAAGTTCCTTTGAGACTCCTGCAAGTTCCAAGAAGCTGCAGTTTCCACTGGCAGTTGTGATTTTCGATTTCATTATTATTTCCCCATGTGATTTAATTTACATTAAGTTCATTGTGATGAGGTTTTATTTGGAGTTTCTATTTCTGAAAACTGTGCTCTAGACCAGACCTATGTATGTATACTTAACTGATAGTGTTTCAATACAAATAAATGCTTTGAAATTCTGAGTAAAGTTGTTTATGTTAACTTGCAATGGAAAGTCACCTGGTTTTTTGATATCTGAGTGGATCTTTGTGGTCACTCAATTCCCATGTAGGCGGAGGAGGAGCAATTCTTGTTGCAGTGGAAAATTTTCTAATGTGGACAGCGGGGGCTCCTCATCATCTATGACATCCCTGGGGCTGTGCGTTGGCGGGGGCGAATTTCATTTGTCAACGTAATTTTGCCAATTCAATTAATGCTCATTTAATGCAGAGCAGACTCGGACTCGGACCCCGGACCGGGCCATCCCATCCGTACAACAGCATACACATTGGCATACAAAGGCCCACGACGACGGCGACGACCAACGAAGTGGGCAGTTTAAGTGGTCACAAATGGTGGGTCCGTCGATCGGTCATGCAAACTCAGTGGCCACATCCACAATTGCCTTTTGTCTACGGGGTTCAACTCTCAAAAAAAAAGGGCAGGTGATTTGGATTTCAATTTTAATTTGTCTGAATCGGACTGAATCAAAATACAGATTTCTTTGTATCATAGATTTATGCTTTGACAATGAAACTAACCAGATTTAGTTTAAAAATATAGATCCTATATCTTATTTTGATAACGAGCACCTAAAGAGTCAACGGATGATGAATGTAACAGGCAGATAAATTCACACCTCTATTAATATTCATGAACACCAGGCGAATCTATTTACATAGCTATAAGTCCATAAGCAACAACAGGATTTAAAAACTATATGCTTTTAGTATCTATAAGGACACCTTAGCTGCCTTCTTTCTAAGAAATAACACTAATTTTCTTCTTTACGAAATGAAACTAAAAGTGTATCTGAAACTAAACAAATCGTAGGAAAATTTACATGTCATGATGTCCCTACCCTCTGCCAAAGACCCCACCCATGCGAATCAACATTATTATGTTTATAGGCTTTGATCGCACAGCCCCTCCAGACACACAATTGAAATTTAAGCAGATTTAGTAGCTGTTTATATTAATAATGTCGCAGCTTGAATCGGCATCAGCTGATTCGAGGCAAGTGCTTATGGTTTTGTTTGTAACGCACGATCAAGTACAGTAGTTACTCGACAAAGGCAACCTAAAGGAGCCACTTTAATACCTGTCTTAGTTTACCTGACATTTCTAAGCAATTTAGTACTTATTATTAAAGATTTTATAAATTAATTCTTTTAGAAACTATATAAAAATGCAAAAAGGACCTACAGATTCTCATCTAATGCTTCAATAGTTAAAGCCTCGACTTGATTAAAAAAAATGCCATAATGAGATTTAAATTACTGCCAGCGTGCGATGATGAGTGCAACTCAATTGAGCGCCACTCAGAGTCGCCCCACAATTGAGTGCGACATACTCATTTGGAGCGGTGCTCGGAAGGTATAAAAGCGTGAGCCGGTCAGTCCACAGCCAACAGTTTCCTCCGGTTGACCACAGAGCGAGCACTCCAGTACCATAAATCTTCTTCAAAAGAACCATATTCAGTATGAAGACCGCCATTGCCATCCTGCTGTGCGCCCTTCTGGGCCTGGTGAGTAGTCTCCAGGAGCAGTGTAATGAGCTGAGGCTGACCTCCATTCGATTCCCGTTCGCAGGCCTCCGCCACCGAGTACAAGCTGCGCACTCCCGAGGATCTGCAGGCCGCTCGCAAGGAGTGCGGTGCCAGCAGCAAAGTGACCGAGGCGTTGATCGCCAAATACAAGGCACTGGACTATCCTGATGATGAGATTACCCGCAACTACATCAAGTGCATCTTCGTCAAGTTCGATCTGTTCGAGGACACCAAGGGCTTCAAGGTGGAGAATCTGGTGTCGCAGCTGGGCCAGGGCAAGGAGGACAAGACCGCGCTGAAGGCCGACATCGAGAAGTGCGCCGACAAGAACGAGCAGAAGTCCCCTGCCAATGTCTGGGTCTACCGTGGCTTCAAGTGCTTCCTGACCAAGAACCTGCCCCTGGTCCAGGCCGCCGTCCAGAAGAACAACTAAGCAGATACGCAGCCCAGCACTTTGCACTCAATTCTAGAACCGCGACAGAAGAACATATGCCATCGAACGAGGCAGCATTTTCCGGTTGGGAATGCCCTCCTTGGCTCAGCATTCCTACAATTGAAATAAAAACCATATAATAGTGCTTGAAAAAGGAAAAGAGGTTCCGTTTATTTCTCTGCCACACATATCATGCATAAGTTATGTCCGGGATTTGCGTAGCTCCAAGAGTTTCTGGATCGAAGTAGGGGATACGTCCTGCATCATTATCATTCCCAAGAAAACCTTGTCCCGCCCAAAGGAAAGGCATTGAACGCTTGTTTAATTCGGATATATTTGTCATCTTTTCATTTCAGTAAAATGCAACTTCTCTTTTGTTTACTCTATATATTTTTTAATATATAAATTCTGCACTTTTCTTTTCTTTTTTTATATATATTTTGTTGAATTTCTTCTTTTCCCAGCGTTCTTTCTGTCTTCTTTTGTATATATATAATTTTTTTATAATTCTTTTCATCCTTCTTTTATTTAAGTTGCCATTCTTTTAACTTCTTTTATTTTGGGTTTTGATTCTTCTTTTCTTTTTCGTTTCTTTTTTATAGATATATTTCTTTTTATTTTATACTTGAAAATAAAATGTGTGAAAAGAGGGGTGTTTGGTGTATTTGGGTGCTTCAAAAAACATTATAGCCAAGTCAAGATATAAACGTTTTCCATGATGATTTTTTATTATTTATTTTTTTTTTAATATTTTCGAGGTTTCTTTCTCTTTTTCGCCTGTTTATTTGCTGCAGATGCATTTTTTGTATTGAAACGAAATATTTTTTTCTGGCGCTTTCTCTTTTGACTTTTGTTTTCGCTTTTTTCTTATTTTCTGTTTTTTGTTTTTTTTTTTTTATTTAGCAAAGAAGTTTGGCAATGAAATAATGTTTTTTGAAATAATATTGTAAAAAAATCTGAAATCAAATATTTATTGGATTAAAGAACAGTGTCGGTTAAATCAAATAAAGGCTCTATTTGTCGTCCCCCAAGGCAAGGCATTTACTATCAAGTTTAAGTATTATTAAGTCAGTCTAAAATCTTAGCTATAAATGGTTAGGGTTTATTATTTCAAGGTCCCGTACTTATTTATTATTTTGTTCTCAAATTCTATATAAAAAGAGTCCGCAAGTAGCAACAATTCAACCTTAGTTCATTATCCGTTTAGGCATATTTACTATCAATATGTATAATGATATTTTATAGAGGATTTGTTTCATATTTCAAGTCTCAATTTATGGGATTTGTATCAAAATGAGAACGCCCAAGGGAATCTTTTAAAACTCGGCATAATTTATAATTGAACAAGAAGGAAAAAGGAGCTATCTTTGGGGAATCGAATTGTAGACCCTTGGAATGTTAACTGTCAAACCGTCATAACTAAGCCAAAAATATGTTAATTTCAATTCGGAAAGCTTTCCTATACTAGCTTTTATGGGGTTAATAAACATGCATACTACTTTTCATTTTTGACAATTTTAACGATGTAACCCCTTATAAAATTTCAAAACTTTTGAAAAAAATTTAATTTTGTGCCGGACATAGCTATATCGATGTGGCTGTAAATGCTGATCAATAACATATATGGTATTTAGGGTCGGAAATGACTCCTTCACTTTTATAAACCCTGAAAGGGTATAAGAAGCGCAGTCTTTTTAAACTGATTAATTCCCATCCCACTCTCCTCTAATTATCCCCCAAAGCAGTCTCGTACGGTAACGTTCATAGATGAGTTAAAACAAATGTAGAAAACACTTACCTTACTACGGTTTTAATAAAACAATAATCAATAGGGAGCATAGTAATTGGCGCGACCGCGGTAACCCCTACTGAAACGAAAGACAGACCGGGATTAGCTTGGTCCAAGCGGCATACGGCGGGCAATAACCACTTACATAGCGCGTCGGGCGCCTCGGAAGGTGGAGTGACAGCACGACCCCGGGACACACGGGCTCCTCGACCCCGGAAGCTGCCGCGGGCGAAGCGGTTTGTGGTGGAAAGGCCAGGACGGTTTGTGCGCTTTGACATTACCTAAAACAAAAGAGAACCAATTGTTAATGACACATTTATACAAAAAATCAAGGCAAAAAGCTAACACACCTTGATTTGGCGACCCCGGAAGAGTGTCTCGTTCATGGCCAAGGCGGTCTCGACAAACTCCTTGGATCCGAACTCGATATACGCAAAGCCCTTGGGGTGGCCGTCAGCCTTGTTGCAGAGGATGGTGACGCGGTTGATGGTGCCACAGCCGTGGAAGTGTGCCTCTAGCTCCTCAGCGGAGGCGCCATAGTCTACATTGCCCACGTAAACGGAGCGTGTGTCTATCTCCTGCTTCTCCTCGAGTGACAGTGGCACCGTGGCCAGGCCAGTGGTGGAGCCACCTGCCATCTGTTTGTCCACCTCGGATTGCATCTGCTTGATCTTCTCGGCCTCCTCCTCCATCTCCTTGACGCGAGCCTTAATGGCCTCCAGTTCGGGGTCGATCTGCATGTTGCCGTCGTCCTTGGAAGGGATAAGTAGTGTTGGATAGATTAAGTACTGGCCAAAGGAACGCCCAAATCCAAGCCAGACGGGGCGAAGCGACGCTTTGAAAATGGCGACTCTGGCTTTGTTGTATCTCGGTATCTCCCGCCAGAGCTTTGCCGGATGAGAGCTTTTCCAGGGAATTCGGTTGCGCGTGTGCTTTCGCAGAGCGGAATCGACAAAACTGGTTTTTTGGCCTCTATCCCTCAACTCACCTCGGTCTCTGCGGTTAGTTCGGCCTCCTGATCCCCGTTCGTCTCCTCCAGCGACTCCAGAAGCTGATCCTCGTTTAATGTGATATCTTCGTCTGCCATTGTTTTGTTTACGTTTTTCGGTGTTTACTGGCAAAGCTTGGTTTGGATGGCGTAAAAGCTCCCGGCGCCAGTTAACGCAGCTCTCTGTCCAAGAGAGGAGGCGAAAAAAGAGAACAAAGAGAGTTAAAGACTGGACAACTGAGAAAAAGAGCAAATGGCTCGAGAGCGAATGCAAATGCGGTGAAATTCTTGGCCCACTCAAAATGAACAAAAAAGATTGACGTGGGAAAGTTGATTAACCTCGCCTCGATTTTATTGTACACGAGATTTTACTTACGTTTAAGATATTTACAATACACGGGCGGCTGCTACTGCTGGTGCTGACGTTTTACTTCGCTCAAAATGGCCGCTGCACAGGGAAATTTTTCTGCACTTTAAACTGATATTTTCCACTCAAAAGGCACCCAAATCGCAGCCTTCTCGTATCAATAATGACCTTGGATCTCTCTAGCACTCAATTAAAGTCGTATTACGGTCTAATATTTACAAAAAAGAACACACGTAAATTTAACCACCGAAAACAGATTAATTTTCGCCTCGTTTATAGATGACAGTTCGGTACAGTTTTCGCCTCGATATGTTTTCTGGTATTTTTAACGGACCTAGCTAATTGGCAGCACTGGTTGTGTAACTTTGGTCACACTGTCGATTAAATTGGCAACCACCATTAGCCCTTTATAAAAGTTTTACAGTGCTCATTTTTTAAAGAAACTCTAGTTTTCTTGCACGCTTCCGTGACGAATTTGCAGGTATCCAAAGGTGAAAATGGACGTGGAGCGCGGAATGCGAAATTCCTTCTCTAGTCTGGCAACTCCTATAAGTGTGACCAGCTGATATTAAGACAAGTCGTCGGGCATCTCTTGTTAAAATAACAATAAACTTTATTTTTACAATCTAAATAAAAAAATTATAAGACAACAAGCCTAAACAGATAAGCAATTTAAATTCAAATGAACGACTCCTCGGATTCTGAATACGAGGACGTTGAGTACCTGGTCTTTGCGGATTTTAAGAACTCCATCGAACCCAACGAGCTTAAGCACGAGGATGCGGCCATTAAGGTCATTGGGATCGAGAGCGACACTCCAATGGCTGAGGTGAATGGCCACATCTATAGGGGTCGTTACGAATATTCCGTGGGAACTAATTTGTTCTTCGAGAAGGACAACCGGGACGAGAAGCAAGCTGGGGATCCGCTATACGAGTCCGTGTGTCGTCAGCGGTACAAGTACGTGGATAAGTCCACCAAGGTGATATCCTTCGAGCGAACCTACATAGACAACTTGCAGCAGCTGCTGGCTGAGAAGTCGGCCAAGGCTGAAGAAGGCGAACAGGCGGGAACTGAGCAATCTCTCAAGTTGAATATAACCTACAAGGAAGCGATTAACAAGTTCGGGGAGGATCTTTAAGTCAGGTAAGCGAAAGTGTATTTAGTTTAAATTACCATATTCACCAATGTTCCTTCCCTCAGCATCATGGAGGGCTGCTATATGCCGACGGGCCCTGCATTGCACCTAGGCAACTTCCTTGCTGAATACAAGAGAAAGCTCTCCGACAGCGGTGCCGAAGTTCCATTCTTTCTGCAAGCCAATCCTGTGCTAGTCGACGTCGGCGAGAGCTGCTCCCTGGATATGATCGACTCTCCAGAGGACAGTTCAATTATCAACTTTCAGCCCGGGACCGATATCTATCGCCCCGTCTTAACTCAGCCTCAGGAGGGCCACCATGTGCCCCGTACCTTTTCCGCTTTGAGTCAGCACAAGGCCAAGTCAAGGAAAACGGCCTTCACCCGTACCCCGTACACCTACAAAATTAACCCGCCACCGGCGGACGCCAACGATGTCGTGTTAAATGACTACGAGCTGGAGATTAGTGTCCGCGTGTACCGACCACCTCGTGCAGCTCATCGTGGCTATAAGGTGGAGGTGCCTGTTTTCGCAGAGGAGTACCTTTGCCTGGGAAGCAACTACCTGACCGATCTGCGCGACAAGATTACATGCATATGTGCGGGCAAGCGTTTTATAGACATCAGCGTCGACCCAGATGCGCCCTTGCCCACCATCGACACAAATCCCGGTTACTTCTTCATCAACGATACTTTCTACAATGATATGCGTAATCCGAACAATAAGGACTACTCTGAGACGGTCATCCAGTGGGCTAACACTGCGCACGGGATGCAGGGCGATTCATTTAAGGTGCAAAGTATGGAGAAAACGCGATTTAATGATCTCACTGTGTCGCCTGGGTCGCCGCTGCACTACCTGCACCACGGCAATTGCGAGCACTTGTTTGTCATTTCGCAGATCGAGGTGCTAACACCGCGTAGTAAACGCCCAAACCGCAGCCTGTATCCCTGCCCGCGCAGCTATAGCGCCTTTAATCGCAGGACATGCTACATGTGCGGCATTAACAGTTTTCACTTTATTGTCGAGAAGTCGTCGCGGCAGCTGCACGACCCCTCCTACCTGTGCCGCACCTGCTTCCTCAGTTTCTACTACGTGGATGGCCAGAAGGTGGGCCACTTCAAGGCCTATCGTATTTACGACCACGATGCGGAAGAGCCTAGAGAAATCATAGAGGCAACAGATGATTGACTAAAGTACATAATATTAGATAGGTGTATAGTTCCCATAATTAAATACGATACCTTGAGCGTGCTTTGACTTTTATTCCCAACTCCATTGACGGCTTTCAACGGTCAATGGGTTTAAATTGATATTTTATTGTAAAATATTCGTAGATAGATTTAAATAAAATACACACATACATTGCAACAAGAGTAATTGGCATTGAGAACGGATTCTTCGGTTGCCATAAAGCTGCCTAAGTTCCATGCAATCTAGATTGGCAAAGGGTTAGTGATGTCCCAAGTTGGGAATACAAAAATGCAGACCGAACAATACTTCATAGGCTTACATCTAGCGTTAGTACATACACATATTATGCAGTAGTTCGATTTTTACAAAAAGGTTTTAGAGCATAGACTTGACCAAGACCAATGGAAAACAAACCAATAGACTAATTTTGGCCAATAACATAGTTATAGTTATATATGTATAAATATCCTAGACAAGATACTAGTACTAGTGGGTACTTAGCAATACCATACAGTAAAAACCTGCACACTGGGAATCGTAGTCCGTAGGCGTGCTTGTGGTGAGAGACAGTGCGTTTAGTTACTTGGGGCGTAGAAATGCATCGAACATCGAAAACATATTGCCAAACCGTCCAACAAATATATATATCAATACGAGTAACTGCAGGCTGTAGTTCGCCCGGACATCTTTGGTGTACGTGCTTGCGTTTGCGTTTACTTCTTACTTCCGTGTTAAAGCTTTGACCAGCGGGCGCTAGCTCTGCCTAGCTCTGGAAGACCAGCTCCCGCTCCACCGACAAGTACTCCAGCATCTGTGCCGGCACTGGCAGCTGGGCCAGCTGCTCGCGCGACAACTGACGCTGCAAGACGCGGCGACAGAGGTCCTGTAGCTTGGGCATGTTGGCGTACCGGCTCAGAGGGTACTTAAGGATCACTGGGAACGGTGGCTGCATCTCGTTGGGCACCTTTACGAAGCAGACGAAGTTGTCGTTGGTGCAGCGGTGCAAAATGTCCTCAATCATCTCCACTATCGACTCGTACTTTAGTTCCTCGAAGTGCCAGAACTCGTCACGATACTCTAGCCTATAGTGCAGGGTCACATTCACAATGCGGAAGCTCAGCGTGAACTGGGAGCCACTAGTCTCCGAGTCGCGGACAAGGAACGACCCAGTGGGCTTGTCACTAAGCTGCCGCTGCGAGTCGCGCCTGGAGATCTCACCCCAGTACCACACTTGGCTAAAAGCAAACAAAGAGCATGAGTCATCGATCGCTGATCAGTCAAAAAGTTGTGCTGCGGCTGCGCTTACTTGAGCATCTCCGAGCAGGCCTTGTACATGACCTGGTTGGGCGAGTGGGCGTCCTCGCGCTCCAGCCACTTCTTCCGGATAAAACGCAAATAGTCGTGCGTAAACGGCAGCGTGGGCTCCATGCATATGGCCGGGGTGAGGAACTCATAGGTGGCATCCGTGGTCCCGCCATCGTCGCAGTCGCCCATAGAGTGCCAGTTGCGCAGCGAGCTGAGGCCCTGGCCCACCTTCCGGCGCAGTCTCGCGAACACGTTTCTCTTCTCCCGCCGCCTGCGTAGGGTGCCCGTGGCCCCATTGCTGCAGCTGGCCATGGAAGTGTCCCCAGCCTCAAGGACACATACCTCGTTGTTGTTATTTTGATGGCCTCCAACCCCAGTGCTGGCGGAAGCAGACAGCGCCGAGTCGGACTTCTTGCGCCTGGTCAGCGAGTGGAACCAGCCCTTCTTCTCCTTGTCCCTCTCCTTGCCCCTGTCCTTTGTGGAGTCTCCTCCGCCTCCGCCACCGCGCTCCTGGTTACGCTGGCTGCTGTGGGTTTGGCTCGGGTCGCCGTTGCTCATTGTGGAGTGGGATCGGAACGGAACGGAACGGCGTCCTCGTGGTGGTATCACATCATTGATCTAATTCGGAGCCGTGATTAATGCCATCGAAATGGTGATAAGAATTATTTGTTTTCGTTGGAGTACACAAGAAGTGTGCAATCGTTATCGATATCGGTCGTGCTCCAAAACGCTTTAGCTAATTTTTTGGAAGCGTTAGGAAATTCTTACTGACCAGCTGCATGCATTTAAAATATATATTTAATATCTGTGTTGGTGCTCGTTCCTGATTGATGTCCATTGTCGTTTAGAAATATGGACAACTTCTCCATGAAGCTGGATTTGTCAAACTTCTTTAAGGATGAGCGTCGACAGTCCCTAGTTTTCATTGATCCGACTTGGCAAAACATCAAGGATCTGCAGGATCACATCCAAAATCTTTTTAAGTTGGTAAGTTATTTCAGCAATATATGAGTTCTAGGATCTAATGTCTATCCTGCAGAAGGACATTAACTTGCTGACAACAGATGGGTGCTTTCTGCCGCCCCGAGAAGCGATCCAAGTACTTAAAGGAGCCCAGGGACTCAAGTATGCGAAGTTCCTTAGGTTCTCTGAAACACGTTAACTTATTAATATCTTATTTAACGCAGGGCCTTTCGGTTCAGTGCTCCAGAGCAAAATGACTTCGCCACCCCGGCTCCAGTGACCAAGCCCAGTAAGAAGCGCAAGTACACTTCAGCGGAGGAAGAAGTCGAGCTGCCCAGCTCCACTCCAAACCGTCCGTCCAAGCGTTCCAAAAAGAAGAGCTCGACAGTGCCCGAGATTGCGGCTGTAACATCTCCAGACCTGAGCATTGGACCCTTCGAGTTCCCGCTGAGAACTTCACAAAATAGCACAAAATATGACAAATCAAAGGAGGAACCATCTTTGATTCCTGGTCATAGCAGTTCCAAAACCAGTCGCACAATTCGCAATAAATCGCTAGTAGTTTCAGCGGAGGATCAACAGATCTTAGGAGAAGAACCTGCGCCACAAAATGAGGTTCCAGCTCGTCAGCCCATCGTCTTCCGCTGTCCGCTTATGGAGCTAGACTCCAATACCACACGAACATTCGAACTTCCAGCTAAGAAGAACAACGTTGTAATAATTGAGAATATTGAAATTAAGCCGGCCAATGGGATTCATTTAGAACCGGTGGCTACGAACAAGCCAGAAGAGGAAACAGCAGCCGACGTCATTGAGGCGGAGCCAATGGTGGCAGATGAAGAAGCATCTGAGCTCTTAGAGGAACAGCCAAAAGCAGATAGTAACCAGCAGCAGGATATGGAGCCAGAAGAAACTGGCAATCTCACCAATGCCACTGAAGCCGAGACATCTCAAATTGAAGAGAAAGTTGAACCACAGGGCTTCCCACAAGGCTTTGTTGACGCTCCCGCTCCGGCTCGCTTTTGTGCAGAGAGCTTGTCCTCCGACTCCGATGACGACGATGTAATGGTCTTGGATGACACCAATGTGGATGATTCCGACTCCGATGTGCAGGCAGTGGCTCCCACTGAAGGTAAGTGCCATTCACAAATAACATTTATCTGAATGAGTGATATTCTTGTCACAGAAGCAAAAGAGGCACGTCCATCGGACATTATTCGGGACATGTTGCGGAGCTCAATTCCATTGGAAGACTTGCCGAGTCGGGGCGATTCCATACTCTTCAAATTATTAAAGGTCAAGGGGAATCCGAGCTTAGGTAGCACCGATTTCATAGCTGGCAACTGCACCTACGTCAACCGCCGCAGCAAAGTCATCACACTGGAAGTCATTTGTAAAGCAGCAGCCTATTTTCACTCACCAAGCTTTCTCTTACAGTCTTTTTAATTTATACCCGCAGCCTGCCCCTCCGAATTTAGGCGCATCCTGCGCCAATACTCTAGCAGTCTGGACGAGTCCGGCGACGAGATCAGATGCCTAAATGTAAACATCAAGGACTTGAGGGAAACAATGATTATCGTAGACACAATTGACTGACTTGGCGTACATAATTTTTTGTTCTATTTTCAGGGGTTCATATTTCTTTATAATTTTGTAAAATATATATAAAAATGAAACAACATTGAAATGTACGCTTGTGTGGGAGTTCCTACTTGATGTGCTTCTTGATCTCGTTCAGCAAATCATCGGCCTCCTCACCAGTCTTAACGCGCAACAGTATCGTGGCCTTAGACTCCTCGGGAGTGGGCATCCACACCATTAAAACGTTGTTCTTGCCTTGCCGATTGCATGGTATCCCTTCGCTCAGTATGAGGTTGATCAGGATATTGCCCAAATTTGTGTCAGCCCGCACCACCAACTGTGTCTTCTCAGAGTCCTTGATCGGCTTCAAGTAAAGTGTGCCTACGCCGCGGTCAACGTATTCGGCGTCCTTTTTTATATATACCTTGCAGCGCTTAGAATATATGGCATCATCCTCTTTGACCTGTTTTAAAAATAAGCTTGTTTAGATTTTAATCAAGCAACACCCCTTCGAAGTCCATTTACCTGTGTGAACTCCACCTTTGGCGGCTTGTCTTCGTCTTGAGCGTCTTCATCGGCAACAGCTGCTACTGCTGCTGCTGGAGGCTTAATATTGCCGAAGGAGAAGGGCGTAGAACTGGAACCGAAAGAGAATCCCGTTGGGGCTGGAGCACCAGGAGCCTCGGCTGGCTTTCCGAAGCCCGAGAATTTGGAACAACCCGGCTTTTCATCGTTGTTAGTCTTCAGTCCGAAGCTAAAACCATTTGTTTTCGGGGGCGAGACTACAGGTTCATCGTTTTTCCTTTTGACGGAAAACAACGTTTCGTTCTTCTTTTCTGTGGGCAGGAAACTAAATAGGCCCCCCGGTTTGGGGACTTCTTCCGTGGCCTTAGACTCGCTGGCTGGCTTCGAGGAAAATCCAAAGATGCTACTGGCTGGAGCTGCGGGTTTGGCGGCTGTCGTTGGCGTTACGCTGGGAGTGGTCGTGCCGAACGAGAACATGGGCGTGGAGGATGTGGTGGTTGTCCCACCACTGGTGACTGTACTGTTCACCGTCTTGGCGAACGGCGATGTAAAGCCGCCAATAGGACCGCTGGGCTTGCCTAAGGAAAATGTGGCAGTTGGCTTGGCTTGGGGCAAGGTGTTGATAACAGCAATAGATGGCAACGGCGCAGCAGGTACCAATAGTTTTTCCTTCAAACTCTTCAGGTGCTTCTCGTAGTCATTAAATACTGGAGTCAGGGTGCAGTACAAGGTCTTTTTCAACTCCTCCTGAAGAAACTTTAGGATGGAAGTATTCAGGTTGGCCACGGCTTGGCGGTACTCGGAGGGTTCGCTGTTGCTGGAGCTTGACCCGACGTTGGCGCTGGCGACTTCAGACTTGGTGCTGGAAGGTGACGTCTTGAACACTGACTCACCAGTACTCTCCTTCTTGGCGTTTGATATGGTGCCGAAAATGGATGTGCCCAACTTAGTGCTATCGGTGGCCGTGCTAATGCTGGTGCTGCTGCTGGAGCTGGTGGTGTCGAAAATGGATGTGGTCGGCTTGGTGCCATCGGTGGTCGTGCTAGTGCCGCCGCTGCCAAAAAGTTTGTGGTCGGCTTGTCGGCCGCCGGGGAACTGAAAGAAAACATGGGCTTGGCGGCACCGCTGGTGGTGGCCGTAGCAGTGGTTGTGGTTGCCGAAAGATTGTTCAGGAAGGAGAACGGTGATTTCGCGCCACTTATTGCATTATTCGGCTTGCCAAAACCTGAAAGAGTACCATTTGTTAAAACAAGCTCGCAGCGCCGTAAAGAATGTCGAGCTCACCCGAGAATCCGCTGAATACGCTCTTGGGCTCAGCCGGGGTTTCCTCGGTGCCGGCGGTGGTTCCGCCGGTACCCATGCGGCGCGCCTTCTTGATAGTGCGTGTCTTGAGCACATCCTCGGGGGCCTGCCGGAAGACACCGCGCTCCTCGGGCTCCTCCTCTTGGTCCCAGTTGTCGTGGTTTAGGTTTGTGGTGGCCTGCCGCTTGCCAGACATTTTATTACTATCCCAGATTAAATTCCAAATGTCAGAAAATGCTGGGAAAGCAAATGCCCACCGCGTTGCTGCTCGATATGTCAGTATTTTCAGCGCCGAAATGAGCAGGTGTTATCGATAGGCGGCTGCGCCCTCGATAGGCGAGCGATATCGATAGGCAACAACAATCACACGTACAGCGAGAGAGACGCCAGCAGCACAAAATCGCAATAAAGCAAAAAGCATTAAATCACATCTACGGCTGGTCGACCATGTTTAGTGCCGCGAATCCGCGTCCGAGTGCCTGCTCCAGAACCTGCCAGGTGGCTAGCTATTAATGGCCCCGCCGCCCGGCCACTGCGCACTTCCCTTTGCCAGCGTTAATTGCGCTGCTCGCAGTACCAGCAAAAGCTGAAAAACCCCAATCGCGAGAGGATGAGAACGCCAGTGCGTGGATATATGTTTGCGGATTGCAGTAGTTGTAGGGAAAGTGCTAGCGCGAGTGCGAACAGCGACAATAACAATCTCAATCCGGAGTGAATAATCGCGCAGAGACACGTACAGTGCAGAGGCGTTATCCTTGTTTCGATTCTACTCGCTGTCCCGCTCTACCTCTCCCACCACTCGCTCCTTGCCACGGCCTTGGGCGTGAGTTGGTGTGTGTCAGTGTCGCGTGTGTTTGTGTGTGTGTGCGTGTGTGTGTCGTATCCTGAGCAAAAATGCCGCCATCCCTAATAGCCGTGTCCGAGTTCGTGGAGGAGACGCGCTCCGATTACAGCTCGCCCACCACCTCCACCTTTGCCTCCCGGATGCCCGACTGCCGCTACACCATTGGCGTGCTGGAAGAGGTAAGCTGGAGAGCCTTGAGGCTCGGTATACTTTGTTCTCGATGTCCCTCAGGTAGCCCAGGGTTTCCTTTTATCACCTGGCAGCCATCTCTCTCTTGGTGCTCACAAATCAAAACAAAAGTTCAAGGTGGCCCCGATAGACAATTCACGGAATAAGCAGGTGTGTTCTGGGATTATTAAACACCCTTAGCAGGAGTTACAACGATATTGGGTCGAATTCTTTAAGGGATTTGGAGAATCAATATAAGAGAATATAGCTATGTTTAGACCTAAACGATGTATATAGTTTGCTGATGTATTTTTGGAGCAATAGTTAACTAGGTCGTGATGTCAGAATTCTTCCGTATAGCGAGTCCCAAGATTCACAATCATAGAAAGCGGAAAGAATTAATATATTTGATCATTTCTATTTTGTTGGGGCGTGAATATAATCTTGTCTTGATAAGAAACATTCTTGGGAAAATGAACTTTATCTCGAAGTTTACTTGGATAATTGAGTTGATAAGCAATCGAGATACTTGTACTAGTACTAAAGTACCTGATAAACTATCACAAGAAGTTCTTTGTAAAAATTATTGTTAATGCAAATACTTGTGGCTTATTCCTCATGGTTTTAAAATACATAAATTAGTAAAACAATCAAATAATTATAAATACAGTTTTGCACAATTCAGGAAAATTGCATCTAAGGGCTATATAACCATGAGGTACTGCGTAGAAAACAGTTTAAAACCGAAATGGAATTCCATGAAATTCCGTGAAAGTGAAAACCGGAGCATGACTATATGGTTTGGCCGTGCAATACTGCAGCAAACGTGGTAGACGTAGACGACGCCCCCAGCACAACGATGATGATTTTTATTTGCACAGCGGAGGGCAGGAAGAGGAGCAAAATGATTTGTAAATTGGCTCGGCGCCAAAATGAGCCACCGCCTGTTATTATGCCGCTCTTGCTCTCTTTCTGGCCCCTCTCTTGCTCCCGAGAACCGCCTGCAAGTTGGTTTTCCTCGATTCCACAGAAATAGTTTAATGAAAATGCAAAGTGCATTCCTTGCTAAATCAATGTAGATGGAAGGGAGTTGGAGTTGGAGTGGTTGTTGCCATACGAGCATGCTCCTGCAATTTCTATATGTAATTGGAGGAGCCTGCCTCTGTACAGAATCATTGCTCCCATTCCCGCTCCCTCTGATAAAGTAAACGCATATATGAATGTACGTATAGGCGGCCGGAAAAGGTCTGTGATAAGAAAAGCATGAGCGATCCAAGGCGAGGGCGTTGCGAGAGCTATTCCCGTACGGAAACCGTCTGCTTAGCCCAGGCACTTAGTCTGTGGAGCCGGAGCAGAACTCATCAACCGTTTTGTCACTATAAATTCCCCTTAGAGTGGCCCGATTCCGAGACTGGCTGGCATTATGCAATGCGTACATGTATATGTATGCTCCAATTCCCCCGGCAAATGCAGCTCCCGGCGAAACAAAATTAGACTTGGATTTATTGGAACCAAGAGGGCGGTCGTCGTCGCGTCATTCCCACTTCTCCGAAACAGAGGGCCGCGGCCGAGACGCCTTCTTGGACACACCATACCACAGCATTTAATATTTAATTTTGCTGATGGATTTTTGGTGTAGCCCAGGCGGACTGCCGGTGACCTCCATTCTGCCGGTTAAATGAGTTTTATTTCATTTTTTTTATTTTTGTTCGGCCTGTCTCTCCCATTGCGTGTTTATTATATTGGGAGCAACTGTAAAACTGTCTAAAACGAAATTTAATTCGGTTCAGCTCCGAGTTTCTCTGTATTTTCATTCATTAAGCCGATCTCTAACAAAATGCTGCGGTTTTAGCCTTCTTCTGGGGCTTTGACTGACTCAAAATTAGCATCTTTTGTTATCAAAACAGCAAAAAACTGGTCAAGAGAGGCAAGTCAGACTCGGCTTTGTTTGTGTTTTTGTTTTTTTTTTTTTTGTTCTAGGCGTGTGCGTTGTTTGCATTCGCACTAATTTCCAGTTCCTAATCTGCTCATGACTAATCTTCTATAGAGGAGTGGGGTTCGTTTGTCCCCAGATGTTTCCCACTATGGCTGGGGATCGAATTGCAATCGCCAAACAGTTGTGCTTCCCGGGAGAGCTGCCTTTTTCAAATAAAATGTTATCTAATCTAAAGAACTATTTATTGTCCAGTTGCTTGCGTGGAGTTCATATTTCATATTGAGGCAATTTCCGTGTGATTACCCCAGGCCATTTCTCGTATCCCTTGGCGGCTAATTCAATTTTCCAAACAACAACATTTCGAATTGAAGGCAATTGGGGGAAGTCAATGGGTCAATAATGGGGGGAAGAAAGTCAAACAAACTCTTTCTCCCTTGGCACTTCTCGAAACGGATTGAAATAATCATGTTTTATGGGGTTCCGTTTCCTCTAAACGTTTACAACTCTTTGTATATAAACGATTAATGGTCGAAAAGGGGCGTGTTTCTGGGGGAGACGTACTCGAAATCAGTATTTTTCGAGTCTTGGTGCATGCGACTGCATTTCAAATGGGGCAGCGGCTCGTTCTGTTATTAAGTTTAATAATAGAAGTGACCTTGTCGCACATTTTCAATTAGCCAGTGCCATAAAACGTGGGGAAATACACCGTCGGGGGGCTCAAGGGTTCAAGAGGCGCACTGAATACCTAATGCAGTCGATATTGACGCTCATTCAATCTCTGAGTATTGTTCATTTGGCGTCCATCGGTGCCGTTTCCTATATTATTTTGTCTTCCTTTTTTGGCCGTGCTTGGTCATGTACTGTGGCTGCTCCTTTGGAGCTCAGAAGGTTAATTCTTAATGATGACTCACAGGAAGAGCTTTAAGTATATATAAAACAGCCACTTAACAGATAACTACTCTTTTTTACAGCGCTTGGAGTTCGATCGCGAGGGTCTCACCAAGCTTAAGAAGGCGGTCAAGGCCATACACAACTCTGGCATCAGTGAGTACAGAGTCTGAGATATAGCCTTTAGAACGTTTGCTAATTTTTCCCTTATCTTTTAGCCCATGTGGATAATGAGATGTTCATGGTGCGGTCCCTGGAGCGGCTGGGTGGCAAAGTTATCGAACAGGATGATCCGGACATTGGTGCTGCGATCCTCAAGTTCAGTGTGGTCACCAAGGAGTTGAGTGCGCTGATGAAGACTCTGGTAGATATCGTTGTCTTGTCTTGTCCAGCACTATCTCTGACCCATTTCGTGTTTTTGTTTACAGATGCAGAACATCAACAACATTGTGATGTTTCCGGTGGACTCCATGCTGAAAAGTGAACTGCGCGGCGTCAAGGGCGACATGAAGCGCCCGTTCGATAAGGCGGCCAAGGACTACGAGGCCAAGTTCATCAAGATCGAGAAGGAGAAGAAGGCCCAGGCCAAGGAGGCGGGCATGGTGCGTACAGAGATCGATGCCGCCGTGGTGGCCGATGAGATGGAAAAGGAACGCCGCCTCTACCAGCTGCAGACCTGCGAGTATCTCCTAAAGTACAAGGACATCAAGACCAAGACGGGCATCGAGCTGTTGCAGCATTTTATCGAGTATTATCACGCGCTAAGCAAGTGAGTGAGCCTTGCCCACATAGGGGATTGAATGCCGCATACTAATGAGACACCTGTGATCCTCCCATCCACTTATAGCTACTTCAAAGATGGCCTACAGACAATCGAACACTTCGGCACCTATATCGGTGATCTGAGCGAGAAGCTGCATGAGATCAAGCAGAAGCAGGACGAGGATCGACGCAGTCTACTGGACCTCCGATCCGTGCTACGCAGCACACCAGATTTCGAGCGAGTCGATAACGTACCGCCATCAGAGAGCCGAAGCGGGGGAGCTGGCTACTCCCTTCACCAGTTGCAGGGCGACAAGCACCACGGCGTCACCCGGCAAGGCCATCTGCTCAAAAAGAGCGAGGGTAAGGTGCGACGCGTGTGGCAGAAGCGACGTTGCCGGGTCACCAGCGACGGCTTCCTGGATATCTTCCATGCGGACGAAACTAAGCCGCCGACTCGCGTCAATCTGTTAACATGCCAGATCAAGCCGGTGCCGGATGACAAGCGCGGCTTTGACCTAATCAGCTGTAAGTATTGGCCGATTGCCTCCGCATTCCTCTTAGACTGATAACCCTTTTTCCCTTTTCAGATAATCGTCCGTATCACTTTCAGGCCGAGGATGATGGCGACCAGAAGGCCTGGATGGCCGTGCTGGTCAACTGCAAGGAGAAGGCCCTGACTAAGGCCTTCCAGCATGCAAATCCCCAGATGAGCCCCAGCCTGGTGGAACTGCAGAAGACAGTGATACGCTACGTCCAGCTGTTGCCGGGCAACGATCGCTGCTGCGACTGTGGTTCACGCAATGACGTTACGTGGATCAGCTTGAATTTTGGCATTCTGGTGTGCATTCAGTGTTCGGGCGTGCATCGTGACCTAGGCGTGCACCACTCGCGTATCCAGAGCCTCACGTTGGACAATCTGACCACGGCTAATCTGCTAATTGCTCGGGCCATGGGAAACAGTACGCTTAACGACATCATGGAGGCAAAGCTGGGCAGAGGCAAGCTCCAGCACGAGAGCAGCATGTAGGTCCCACTTACCAGTTCCTGGCTGAACCTTCAAACTAATGACTTTGCTTGTATGTGTTTTGCAGGGAGGAACGGTACGACTTTATCCGCGCCAAGTATGTGGCCAAGCGCTATGTGATGCGCACCTGCTCGGATGACAACGATCTGCGCTGCGACCTGGAGCAGGCTGTGGTCAATGCGGACATGAGCCAGCTGCTGCAGGTGTGGGCCGAGGGAGCGGATCTCACCTGCTGCCTGCCCAGTTCGGATGCCGGAGAGACGGCCCTCCATCTGGCCGTGCTTCGTGAGATGGGTTCCACTCTGCACATCGTCGACTTCCTCATCCAGAATATGCCGCTCAAAGGCCTCAACAAGGCCACTAATCCGGCCGGTCTGCTGGACGTGACCGGGAAGAATACTGCTCTGCACTTGTGCGCCCTTCACGATCGCAGGGAGTGCATGAAGCTATTGCTGCGCTCAGGGGCCGATTACGAGCTGAAGAACTCGCAGAACAAGACAGCGCTGGACATTGCCAAAGAGATGGGACACAATGGTTGCAGGGAGCTCGTAAGTTTTCTCTCTTATATTTTATGGGATTTAATATAATCCTTTTGATTCCTTCGCGCAGATCGAGTGTGCCATAAAGCGGGAGAAGAGCGCCTTCGACCACATCAATACCGATTGGAATCTTCCTAACGAGGATGGTTCCACGGACTTTAGTGACGACGAAACTGTCATCGATGAGCGCGTAAGTTACGCTTTTAATTCTATCGATATACTGATGCTGATTCCCGCTTTCGTTTGCTTGCAGAAATCCCGTTCGCGTCCCCCCAGTTTTGCTGGCGGGGACTCGCCCGTTCTGCGCTCACGTTCCTCCACATGCGATTCTATACAGTCCAGTTCTAGTCCAATCGCCAACTGTCCCAGCCGCCAGTTTACGCTGCCCTCGGGCCTGCCCAGTTACACCCAGTCCGCGGGCACTTCGCCCAAGCAGCACATCAGCGTGGGTCAGTACCTGGGAAGTGCCAGTAATGTGGGCGGTGCCGGGAATGGCGGCTCCAGCCCTAGTTCTGCTTCCAGCCAAAGCGTAAGGGCGGCGAGAAATAGCCTGAACATGCAGAGCGAGATGAGCAGCGGGCACGTGCCGGGCGGCGCCCGGAAATCCACGTCCACGGCCAATATGAACTCGTTGAAGAAGCGTACGGCGCCCGCACCGCCGCCCGGCACATTGGGCAGCGCCTCATCCAGCTCCTTTTATGGCACGTTGCCCCATCCGCCGCGGCACTCGCAAAACTTCGATGCCAACGACATTCGCGCCATCAATCACAAAAACCAGTCGCTGGACGTAGCCTATGGCACGCTGCCCCATTTGCGCAGTGTGGAGGGAAGTCCCAGGGGCGGATACGGTTCGTATGGAGTGTCACAGGACCCAGGTGGATCGGGTAATGGGAGCAACAATAGCCTCATGCCCGTCATGACCACCTTCGGCCATAAGCGTTCGCCCAGCGGCGAGTCGCTCAACAGGAATATTCATTTGGCTGGGGCAAAACTGGTCCTGCCACCCACCGGGGAGCTGCCCACGCTGAAGCACGTGGACAAATCTGCATTGACGAGGCCAAAGATTCCACCGCCAGGACCACCATCAGGTAAGCATTGTCATTGACTCCTCTGCAAGCTGTATGCTAAAAATTTGCTCTTCCGCAGAACGTGAAATTTCCAACGGTCAATCGAACGAGAGCATCAGTTCTATGGACGAAGGTCCGGTGGCGCCTCCTCGCAAGGTAAGTGCTGTCGAAATATCTTAATAGTGGGTGATTTTCCAAGGACCTATAGCTCAAAAACCCGTGTACCTCTCTCTGTATTTGATCTCTGATCCATCCGCACTTGGATTGCACAAACAAATAAACCATGCAGCGCAAGCAACACAACGCACTGAGATGCCAGTCCAGCGAGGAGACGGTAAATGGCAAGCACCTTCGCTCATTTGCACTATCATTCTTTGACCAGCGAACTATTCAAACACATTCTCGTTGTGGCCGTTGCTGCTGTTGATGTTGTTTCTCTACTAAGTGTTTCGTTTTGTGCATCTCTCTGCAAAGCTCTAACTCTATAACCCATGCGCCCGAGCTCATACTTACCAATTATACTTTATATTTCTCTATGTTTCTCTGAGTTTTGTTCCGCCCGATGTTTATTGATCGTTCAGTATGACTAATGCCTATGACTTGCCACATCCTTGCAGCTAATTAATCAGTCGGCCAACTTCACTGACTACGAGTCCTGGCACACGGACATGGACAGCTCTGGCGGCGGTCTTGACCACTCGGCCGAGTCGAATGTGTCATCGAGTGACAACGATCGACTTAATTCATCGCCAGACAATCCATCGAAGACAGGAGGCGGCGGGTCAGGGCCAGGCGGGAAATTCCATTATGTAAGTAGAACAGGAAATAAAAGCTTAGGATGTAGAGAAAACTGATATGATGATATATCGACAAGTTCACATCTATAGCAATAATTGCAATACTCTCTTTATCTGCTTAGAATGGCCAGCGACGATGTCGAGCTCTGTACGACTGCGTGGCGGATAACGATGACGAGCTGGAATTTAAAGAAGGAGAGATCCTAATCGTGCTGAATGAGCGCACGGACGACGACAATTGGATGGAGGGCACCATCGAGGGACAGCCGTCGAGGAGGGGCATGTTTCCTGTAAGCTTTGTCCACATGCTGCCCGACTAATCGGCGTCCCTTCTGCGAGAGTGCTGGCTTCGCGTGATTGTATATAGATATATAGATATATAGATATATATATATAGATGTGTGTGGGGTGTATGCGTCTCTTTAAACTCTATTGATACATAAGACAAGTTTTTTTATTTATTTTATTTTATCACAAAGCGTGCGACTATTTATATTTGCTTTGCCCAAGACTAAATATGTAAACATGGCTCAAATAGGAGTCACCTTTAGTGTAGGAACCACTTACTCATTCGTATTTCAATTCCCTGATCTTGTTGTGTTAGGCGCCTCGATGAATTGCTTTTAAACTGAATATTTCCTGCAAATGCTGTAAAATCTAACCTTAACCCGCTGTGCGAAAAAGTTACTCATTGTCAAGGGGAAGCGGAGATGAAATTATGTGTATTGTATGCTTAAACTACATATATGCTGCCATATATAACGTACTATCCAACTGGAGGAGGCCCGACCTGGTCGGGGCTTGGCTTACACACACTCGTACAGAAGTATTCTAAATGTGTTGTTGATAAAAGAATCGATTATTGACGAGAAAGTTTATAAAACAACGTTAAAGGAGAGAATAACAAATTATCCAAAAGCTAAACTAACCTTATAGCGAACCTAAGTAACTTGAAGACCCCAATGCTTATATATATATATCAAAAGATTTGAGCGTAATTCGGCAAACATATAAGCCCCCTTTGTACCTAGAAATTGTTACCGATTAGGAAGTAACCAATATATAAAAGGATATTAATATATTACAAATTATAGCGCTGTCAAAGAACAAACCAAGGTATCATCTATATAGATTCTAGACTTGTTTTGACTACACACACATACATAGGATCATTTTTTTAACAGAAACTTACCTACACTGTACATAATAATTTTCATAAGACACAAACCACACATTTTTTCTTTTCAAACACACACACATATTTTGTAAACACGTTTCAGTATTTATTTAGCAAAACCTTACAACATATTGATATTATATTTAAGTCAAAATAAAAGGAAGAACATAACGCTTAATAAATATACACATATATAAGGTTGTGTTTTTACCAAAAATACGAGAGCTTGTTTTAATTGTAGTATAGTGAAGGTGAAATTGTAATTCTTAAAATGTCTTAGTCTGAGTTTAAATTTAAGCTTTCCGCAGACTCCGGATGACTTCCAGTGGCCTTGTCGGCAAGTTTTGACTTGAGTTTTGTGAACTTTTTGAGTAGTTCAGCGTATTCAGCGAAGACAGAATACGAGTCCCTCTGCAGGACGGAGTCCCCGGCAAGGTTGGAGGCCAACAGCTTGGCCAGGTTCTTGTAGTCCCGCTGCAGCAGGCAATTCCTGGCCAGGCGCAGCTTCTCATTGGTGGGGGAGCGCTTCTTGCCAAAGTATAGCTCGTAGTTTATTGGGCATACGCACGATGTGTTCTTGTTCAGCCAAAAGTTGTCAATGGGATTGGTGGCGATCTCGAGAGTTCTCTTCAGGGCATTGCTAGGAATCCTTTTGGCCGGATAGCTCGCTGCATTTACTTTCCTCTCCGAACTCTTAGCCCGCTTCTTTTTGTTGTTAGCGTTCTTTGCCTTCATCTTGACAGTGCTACTTGGAGAAAGCTGGGAAAGGTCAAACAAATGAGAATTTCCAATATTTGCTTTGATTTTTAAACGAATAGTTGGTTAATTTTACACTTACATCGTTTAAATAAAAAACTTTTCAATAAACAAATTAAAACATCTCCTTTAGCAGCGATAACGATAAACAATGTTTTATAAAAATCTCCCTGCGCAATTTCTTATCGATATAAAAAGTATCGCAATAACTATCTTAATGGGAACAAAAAAAGAATCGAGTCCAAGTCCATACTAAAGTATCGATAAGAACTATCTAAATATTTTCCGCATGCACCAAAAACCCAAAATAATGCAAGCAGCAACATTATAATTGCTAACCTGTCTCAATTTGGATTTTAACGTTGCTAGCACCTGAAAGTGACAGTTCAATAAGTTATTATCGTCCGAAAATTTCCGAGTTCTGTGCGTTCGCCTTGAGGTCGAGGTTGCCAATTTGTTGACAGCCAAGTGCAAAAATCGTGAAAAAACATAATTTCTGGTCGCTGCGGTCCATCCAAAACGTAAGTAGATGGCGAAACATATTAAAAATATGATCGAATAGTGCCTGCAAGTAGTCCTCCGTCCAGAACAAAGCCAGACCTGTGCGACGGGAACAGGAAGAGGAGCCGCTGTAGCAGGAGTAGAAGCGGACAGGCGAGAAGACCGGCCGGAGGCGCACGCAATCAACCCTGCGGCCAGCTGGGGCCCGAGCTATGAGCGCGGCCAAGAAGTACAAGCCCATGGACACAACTGAGCCGAACGAGAACACCGAGAATATCGCCGCCTGCCTGAAGAAGGCCGAGAACGCCGCCGCCGCAGCTGCTGCCGCCTCGAGCCTTGGCCGCAGCGCCTTTGCCGCCCAAAACATGAACTCCGCCTCCACCAATGGTGAGCGCCTGCCAAACTTCTCCAAGCTGGGCAGCCACCATGGCGAGATTCGCGCGGCCTCAACTACCTCAAACCTCCTCAACCGCATGGGGGCCATTCACAACAGCAAGCCGGGCGATGTGAAGAAAATAGTGATAAAGAACTTTAAGGGTAAATCTGTTCTGCTTCCGCTTGTGGTCGAGCCTTTAATATCCTTTCTTTCCATGCGCAGCTATGCCCACACTGCCAGATAACTATTCAGAGGACACGTACGAGAAGCTCGAGGAGGCTGTTATTGCCATTCAACTCTCGAAACCCATCAAATATTCGCTGGAGGAGCTCTACCAAGCGGTGGTGAACATGTGCAGCCATAAGATGGACGCGCAGCTGTATACGAAACTCAAGGAACTGACCGAGCAGCACGTCAAGCGCAATATAAAGCTCAAGGAGCTGACTGGCGGCAGTATGGATAAGCTGGTAAGTAGTAAGCTATGATTGAGAGGAATAATCTGGATTACAACACCGAATATCATTGCAGGTCCTGTTGGAGAAGATCAACCACTGGTGGCTTTCCTTCTGCCAGCAGATGATCATGATTCGCAGCATATTCCTCTACATGGACCGGACCTATGTGCTGCAGAACTCGTCGATTCACTCGATTTGGGACATGGGGCTGGACCTCTTTCGCATTCACTTTGCCCAGAACAGCGTTGTCCAAAAGCGGACCGTCGATGGTTTGCTAACGCTGATCGAGAAGGAGCGCCAGGGCTCGACCGTAGATCGCGGCCTGCTGAAGAGTCTGGTTCGCATGCTGTGCGACCTGCAGATATACACCAGCTCGTTTGAGGAGAAATTCCTCGACGCTACCAATCAACTGTACAAGGCTGAAAGTCAACGCAAGATGCAGGAACTGGAGGTGCCCGAGTACTTACAGCACGTTAACAAGCGTCTGGCGGAGGAGAACGAGCGCTTGTTGCACTATCTGGACTCCAGCACAAAGTACGTGCTACACAGATTCCCAATCAAAATATGATTATTGATATGACTTTTCCCGCAGGCATCCTCTTATATACAATGTGGAGAAGGAACTGCTGGCTGAGCACCTGACATCCATATTGCAAAAGGGCCTGGACTCGCTGCTTGAGGACAACAGACTGAGTGACCTAACCCTGTTGTACGGTCTGCTGAGCCGGGTCAAAAATGGAACCTCCGAGCTCTGCGGCAACTTCAACGGATTTATAAAGGTGGGGATTAACCTAAAACAACTTAATTCTATAAAATTTACATTCACTTTGTAAAAATTGCTGTAGAAAAAGGGACGCACTATTGTCATCGATCCCGAGAAGGACAAAAGCATGGTCCAGGACCTGCTGGACTTCAAGGACAAAATGGATGTCATCGTTCGCAATTGCTTCGAGCACAACGAGAAGTTCACAAACTCGTTGCGCGAGGCCTTCGAGTTCTTTATCAATCAGCGTGCCAACAAGCCGGCCGAGCTCATTGGTTAGTTTCTATTAGCATTGTTTGCCATTTCGAAACATGTAATCAGCTTCCTCCATTAGCTAAATACGTGGACATGAAGCTGCGCTCTGGCAACAAGGGAACCACCGACGAGGAGCTGGAGAAGACTTTAGATAAGATTATGGTTCTTTTTCGCTTCATACACGGCAAGGATGTGTTTGAGGCGTTTTACAAAAAGGTAGGTGTGCTCAACGGTTTACTTTTGCATTAAATTAACACCGTTTTCCTGCAGGACTTGGCCAAACGCTTGCTGGTGGGCAAGTCGGCCTCGGTGGACTCGGAGAAGAGTATGCTGTCCAAGCTGAAGCAAGAGTGCGGTGGTGGCTTCACGTCCAAGCTGGAAGGCATGTTTAAGGACATGGAACTGAGCCGGGACATTAACACTGCGTTCCGTGGCCATGCGTTAAGCAATAATAAGGACGTTCACAACCTTGATTTATGCGTGAGCATATTAACAATGGGATATTGGCCTACGTATCCCCCCACAGAAGTCACCATGCCGCCACAGTTTGTCAATCCACAACAGATATTTAACAAGTTTTATTTAGAAAAACATAGTGGTCGAAAGCTGCAGTGGCAGCCAACATTAGGAAACTGCATGCTGCGGGCGCAGTTTGATGCGGTAAGAACATTCTACTCTGGATTGTTAATCTAAAAACTCATTCTGTTTACTTTAATAGGGTCCCAAAGAGTTGATGGTTTCGCTGTTTCAAGCGCTGGTCCTACTGCTATTCAACGATAAGCCAGTCCTCAGCTACGAGGAAATTCTGGCCGCCACCAGTATTGAGGATGGAGAGTTGCGACGCACTCTTCAGTCTTTGGCTTGTGGACGGGCCCGCGTCATTACGAAAACACCGAAGGGCCGCGATATTGAGAACGGCGATCAGTTCGACTTCAACAATGAGTTCACAAACAAGCTGTTCCGCATCAAGATCAATCAGATTCAAATGAAGGAGACTGTAAGTGTAATTAATATAGTAAACATGTTCATGTTTCTAATATATTTTTTTTATACTTATCAGAACGAGGAACAGAAGGCTACTGAAGAACGCGTGTTCCAAGATCGCCAGTATCAAATCGATGCCGCCATAGTGCGTATCATGAAAATGCGCAAAACGCTGAGCCACAACCTACTCATCACCGAGTTGTTTAATCAGCTCACCTTCCCGGTCAAGGTGAGTCCAGAAACTCCTTATTATTATATCTGTTTATCAATGTTGTCGTCATTCCTAATTTGTATTTATTTTTCCTTGCCAAAAAAGCCCGCTGACTTGAAGAAGCGCATCGAGTCGCTCATCGATCGCGACTATATGGAACGGGACAAGGACAACCAGAACCAATACAACTATGTGGCCTAAGTTGCCTCAGCAATAGATCATCTATTCGATTCGATTGTAACTTTTATTCACCATAAATCCATACATATTGAAAATCGAATGAAATGTTCAAGGAGTTTCTGGTCCATTCGCTAGTTGCGTTTATTCTATAACTATGTAGATCATTTACCACAAAGCCCTCCCAGCTATTGGTAGTATAGTTGCTACAGTTCTCTTTTTGTAAGTTACCTTATCAACCAATAAATTAAGCGTTTTAATTTCAAGCCAAGCGCGCTATCCCTGGCAGAGCTCACAGTCATTGCAAAAAATTCAGAAGGGAGAGGTCGTGAAAAGAAAGAATAATTGTATTTGGTTTACAGTTTAATTGATAATTGATGATTCTCCTTCATTTAACATTAGAAGGGAGGACACTTGCAGGCTAATTTTTTAATGGAAATATTTAAAAGTAATTATAACTCGTACTCGTAACTCTGTATGTAAAACGGATACGCATAAACTAAATAGTTTTTTATTTACCATAAATAAAAAAATTACGTGAAAATATAATGCACTGTGAGTGTGTGTTTCATTGGCTTAATTATTACATTATCGGTCGCGAAAGGTCACCTTAAGCATTCAGCAAAGGAGAATATTAAAGCTGGGATAAAATCGATTTCAACATCGCTCCCAAGGATTTTTCTTGTTGAATCGATCCTTAAGTTTTAAAAGAATTAAAAACCAAATTAAATTCCACAAAAACATATGGATTACTGAAGTTTTTCTTTTCGTATGTATAAAAACAATCTCGATGTGAATTTATGTATTTAGTTTAGTAAATTAAAAATTTGTTTCTTTTTTAATTGATTTAATCGACTGTTTTTCCTAAAAGATCAAAAAGAAATCGACGTACTGATAATCGATTTTTCCAAGCTCTAGAGGTTATAGTATATACAATTGGTTACAGGTAAAATTAGGAAATTAGGTAGACATTATATATATACAGATCAGAAATAAATATTGCAGGGTCATACATTTGTATAAAAAACGACATTGAGGCTGGTTTAGGTATCACAATTTCTCTCCTCCGCGTGCAAATTAAAGCCGTCAACTTGCAAAGTTCTCATTGGCTCTTTCTTAGATATTTTACAAAAATATATAAATGTGACTTCTCCCGATCCCAGTCGGTCGGTCGGTAATACCATTTACGCCTCCACGCTGTTGACGCTGTACTGCGAGCTGTCGTACTCGGACACGCTGTCGGAACCGTAGCCCCCGAATCCTGCCGCTGGTGGCCTCACACTACTGCTGCTTCGAATACCGTGATCCCGTAGCACGTCCGGCACGTAGATAGGCGCTGGTCCGGCAATCTCTACGATGCTGGGGCGTCGCGTCGCCGCACAGCGTTTAATGGGTGACATGAACGTGAACAGAACTAGGGTGATGGCCAAGGTGATGACCAGCAGCAGGAACCGGGCCATGCCGTCGTCGCCGCGGAAGTAACAGAGCATGGCCATGACCAGCACCAGGATAACCACCGAGAACTTGGTCATCGTAACGGCCGTCGAGTGGATCTTGCCGCCCTTACGTGAAATCATGTTCGAGGGTCCATAGGCAAAGTATAAATTGTGGCGGTCCACGAAGTGCTTGAGACAGATATAGACCATGGCGAAGGGCATGATAATGGGGCAGAAGATGCTGTATACGATGGCAATGGTAAAGACGAGCGTGGTCCAGGCGTAGTGGGTGCCGAAGGGAAACTCAATCAGGATCGACTTTCGGATGTAGGGCGTCTCCGCCTTCGAGTTTGCCTTCAGCAGCGACCAGATGTAGACAATCAGTTCCGGAAAACGCAACAGCTCTAGCGCCGTACCAATAAATGCAGCCGTAATGATGTAGTTCACATAGAAAGATCCGCGATCCGGCAAGAAAATGCACTGCCAGCGTCCAGTCTCATTGGTGAATCCCCACTCTAGCAGCGCCTGAGCCGAGGTCAATCCCAGGGACGGTAAAATCAGGATCATTAGCAGCAAATAGCCAAAGCACTTGGTCATGATCGAATAGTTCTGCTTGGAGCGAGTATAGTGACCCATCCACTTGTCCGAAATGGCCACAATCACGGGCATCAGGGCGGACAGGGTCCACAGCATCAACGTAGGCAAGAATTCAGAGACCAGTGGTGAGATTTTGCCTTCCGTATCCTTTAGCCAAGGACGACTGTTCAATAGGTTCACCACCATGGCCGGAGTGGTCAGAAAGAAGAGTACCAAGAAGAGCACTACGTTCACGCAGAAAAACTTTAGGTACCAGTGGCTCTTGTTCACGTTTAGGTTCTCCCAGAAGAGGTCATCCGGCGAAGGGGCAAACATCATGTGCCACTGGCGGTAGGTTCCGGGCGTAAAGTGTGTGACAATGTTTTGAGCCTCCTGCACAGTCGACACGGTGAGGAAGGCAATGTCCAGGGGCTCATTCATCGTAGAGGCGCGCAGTCGGGCCACGTCTCCTGACAATTTCCTCTCCTCCCTCTGGTAGTACTCGAAGGCGTTCTCCTTTTTGCACGAGCACATGTCAGGTTTGGCCTATTGAATTAGAAATATTCTATAATGAATGGATTAAACTATGAGGAGCCGGTGAACATACCATGAGAGTGTCCTTATCTCGATGATGTTCGCAATACAAACGCGCCTCATGTACTCTTTCGAACTCCGCATTCCTCACATATAGCCGCGATATGTTATACGCTATAGTTACGTTCTCGATGGTGACATCCGGGAAAAGCTCCTGCATGTAGTTTCGTACCACTGTCTTATTCCGATCGCTGGACGAGATGTTCGATATCATAATGGTCCTGGTGGCGGCCTTTTTGAAGGCATTCCTTCCCGAAGCTCGCCGCATGATGAGAACCACCAGCGGAATGTACAGAATAGTAACTATCGTGTGTACCCAAAGCCACGACGAGTCTGGCGATAGATTGGCCATCGTGGTGCGGCCGAAGGCATTCACATCGTACGACGTGTCTGTAGGACCGTTCAGGAAGTTTACTGGCAGTATGATAGCCAGCGAAACGACGGTTACCAGAGCCATGACGGCCATCAGGTGTTGCTGGAAGGACAGATAGTGCACGGCATCCGGGCCAGTGTGCAGCAGAATCGTCTCCTTGCGCAGCTTCAGCGTTACTTGGATCCAGCCAAAAAGACCCTCCTCTGGCTGCACAGGGGACAGGGGCGTAGAGTCGCCGGAGGGCTGGGAAGCGGAGCTTGGTCGCGGTGACGCCTGTGCCGCTGAGGTGCTCGGTTGGGGATCCACCACACTGGCGGCCCGAGAGTAGAAAATCTCCGTCCAGCGCTTTTTACTTCCGTTGCTGTTGACCAACGCCAAACGTCCAAAGTCGCCAGCCCGGTGACGCAGCGTCGTGAACAGCATGATGAGTAGCACCCAGAAGATGGTGTTCAGTATCAGAGTCTCCGGTATGCCGTTGTAGGCGCTGGTAAAGAACGAAGTGCGGTTCCCCACTGCCTGGCAGTAGGAGTTGTTCGAGGGGTCCGACATCGAGAGCAGCTGTAGGTTACTCACTGGAAAACACAAAGAGGAGTTGGTGGCAATTACTCAATTACCATTGTTTGTTCAGAGCTTGAAGAGCTGATAATATATTGGCGTGGGAAGCCTTAGTCCACGCCAGCAGCTGATAACAAGAGCCCAGCTGATCGGCATTTGCTACTGAGCTTGGCAGCAGACTGCAGACTATGCGTGCCCCCGAGATGGATTTTTCTTTAGTGGGTCACTCGGTCAAGCTAGACAAAGTCGACTGTGTGTAACCCCAGATGCTGGTCTGGGAGATAACTATGTCTGCGGTCCCAGATTGGTCTACTTAATAGATATTCTTTTTACGCGTGTAAGTGGGGACTCATAAATCCCATTTGTACACCGCAGATAGCGCGTATCTTATGGGGAAAACAGAAAAAAGCAAACCAAGTAGCGAAAGGCAAAAAAGCCGGATTTAGAAATGAGATAATAAACGACGAATAAAACATGTTTTAGGGGCATGAGCTAAGCTACATTAGTAGTTGGAAAGGGGGTGGTTGCGGGCCCACCAACACCACCTCTTTTCCGTCGTAGATGCGTATGAATCATCGGAATTACTTTTTCGCCTTGGCCCTGTCGCGTGGCAAATGAGCAAATGTAATAACAAAGACACATACTGCACTCGGTGGCTACTTAACCATTGTTTGTGCTTATTTAATTATTTTTCACTATTTAAATGCCAGAGTGTGCTGTTGGTGTGTGTGTTGGGGTTGTCATCCACTTTCTTTGGCTTCGCTTTGCTTTCACTCTGCGATTATGGCATTGAACTAGCACAGCACAGATCCCTACCTTGTGGGCCAAAAATGGTTACTCTTTGATGGCACTTCGGGCCTGATTACACATTAAAAAGCTGGTTTACACTCTTTCAATTTCACATCAATAAACAGCAGCTGCACTTTTGAGTCGTAAAATTGGTTCGCAATAGCCCCGTTTCGCTCTCTCACTCTTAGTGATGTGCCTTTTGCAAGCTTATATCGATGTTGCCTATCGATATTGCTACGATGTCCGACGTTATTGTAAGTGGAATTTTAATTAAATTTTTAATATATATCATTTTGTGGTAAAAAAAATTAAAATATTTTAATGGCATGGGTAAAATTTAAGTTTATTACTATACTTAAAACTTATACGATATCTGTTACCATTGCTGTTAGTAAAGTTCCATCACTAAATGCCAGGATCTGCAAAACAACCCTGTGTTTTTAAAAACGTATCTCTCAAAATGAGTTTTTGTGTGTTCTAAAAAAAATTAGTAGCAGTTCCCTTTTCTTCTTTCATTTGGTATGTCAAAATTATCTCAATATACTCTCTGCTGTTGTTTATTTCTTTGACTTACTCAGCTCAACACTTTTAAGACTTGTGACTTCCATTTTGGACCAAAAATCATCCATCTTACTATTTTCGACTACCGCCATGGTCTCTACGTCGCAAACGGAGCTGCGCTTCGATATTAAGCTGCTGTCCGGCAAGACAGTGGTCATGGTGGAATGTCCGGGCTACGAGGCCGAGCTGTTCATGCCACAGATCGTCAAGGGACGCATCACCTTCCAGAACATCATTCCAAATCGTCGGTGCTGCCCCGAGAGCAGCATGCTGCAGAAGGAAGACGACAGGGTGGCAAGGGGAGGGAGGAGTACGCCCTTTCGCCTCTCTCAAGCAGTTAATATATCGACTCCGCTGGCCAAGAGCACGCCGTCCAGTGGCTCCTCTTCGCATTCCCGTGTTGGCAAGGAAAACATTCCGCCGCATCTGACCCCCGAGCTAGGGCGCTGTCGTCCCATCCGAATGCCGTCTCTAAATGAGAGTGGTATGGATTTAGACATGGTTTGTGCTTCATCTCCCGAGCCTCAATCCGTCAATCGTAACGTGGAAGCCAGGCTTTCTCCGCCAACTGCTACCAGCTATAACCTAGCCACTGTGCAAACAAGAGAGCCTGTGCTCTCTAGGACTCCGCCGGTACGGACCTACTCCCGCAAAAAGGCTGCCACGCCAAGTAAAGTTAAGCCTACGGTCTGGTCGCCTCTGCAAAGGAAGAGAAAGGCAACTACGGTTTCTTCCACCAAGGGGCTTAGTCCAACAGTTAAAGTGGTTATACGCAGTCGCAGACTGATAGTGGATAACAAGAAGACGCTGGAAGCCCGTGATCTCAAGAAGATTACACCTATCTCTAAGGAGATGATCACACGCAAACAGGTGACAGGCAAGACGCGGAACCAATTTAATGCTTTAAAGGTCACGGCCTTCGACCTGCTTACACAGCCCTCTCTCGGGCTCATGGGACACGATCTGAATAAACAATTTGAGCAAGCCTGCATGAACAAGAAGGCCACCACGCTGCCTAACTACGCGGAGATAGCGGTCACAGAGCCACTCAAAATAGACAACCAGGTAAAGGCTCTGTTAGCCAAGAAAAAGCGGATGGAACGAGTCGACCAACAGAAACCAAAATACACAATAAATCCGAAGGGCAAGAGCAAGGTGTGGAGTTTCTAGAAACCGGGAAATTTTGATCGTATTCAAACAGAGTAGTCCAAATGTATTGTAGCCATAGTGATTCAAATCAGATACGTATTGTTATTAAATGTAAGCTAATGTCAGCTGTAGAGCATTGTTCTTTGATCTCTTACCAAAAAGGAACACATTCAGCTTACAGTTATATATGTATATATATATATATCTATCTTAAGCCTAGCCAAAGTCTACATCAACAGTGGACAATTATATATGATTTTGTACGACAAAGCCAGTTTTGAAGCCTCTTAGGAGCTACGGCAACGGAAGCAAGCCTTGAAACCCCTCTTGACGGCCCGAATATTGTGAACGACCTGCTCCTGTAAAGATATACATAAACTATTCAGATGTATTTCATGTACAATCTATATAGCACACTTACCTGCATAAGGTTGAAGCACATGGCAATCACTGCCATGCCCAGCAGCAAGTACACGGCGCAGAGTATAAAGCTCAACTCGACCTTATCCCTATCGGCAGTTATCTGTGGAAAGTGAAATAGAGAGTAAATAAACTGTTAATATATAGCACAGGGTATCTTACCACACGATCGCCCGGCACCAGATCCCCAAATCCAATGCTGCTTAGCGATATGAGGCAGAAGTAGCTGCCATCCAGATAGTTCCAATCTTCCCAGCGCCCAAAGAGCAAGGCGCCCCACAGTATATAGCTGCAGAAAAAATAGACGATCAGCCTTTAGCTGTCAGATCCCCTTATAAAAAGGAGTTTGTCTTACCCAACCATTACAAATATGCAGACAGTGACTGGGACCGTGATCTCATCTGTGCTGCCTCGTATTTCACGCTCGATATCCGAGTCGGAGCCACTGAACGGAATGTCCATCAGGCTGGAACTGTGGTGGGAACTCCTGGTATAGTCACTGCTGCTGCTGTTGGACGTTGAAGTGTTGCTGCTACTGCTGGAGTAACTACTGCTTCCCCTGGCATTCTCCATGTCGTGCAATTGCAGCTGGAATTAGATAGAGGAACTGCAATGTGCTAACCAAACAAATTTTGGTCTCCTGTGATACCACTTACTGCTCTGGCCATTTGGCGCATTTTTCTCCTCTCGCGGATGATCCTTCGCTTGGCCACACCGGGACAGATGCGGCACAGGCACACCTTGGAGTATATCCACTTGAAGGACTTAGCCAACACATCGCCGATATTGGAGAGGTAGAGCAGGAACAATGGCATCCCGATAATTGCGTACAGAATGGTCACCAGCTTACCCCACTCCGACTGAGGCGTGATGTTCCCATAGCCGATAGTCGTAATCACCGTCAGCGAATAGAGAAAGGCTCCGGAGAAGCTCCACTGCTCGACGTCTGGTCCCTTTAGTTGCTTCTTCACTATGGCCCGCTGGTACTCTAGGAGCACATCGTTTACCCTGGAAATTAAAAAGTTTCGCATGTAAATTTTAAAATCAGGAATACGTTTTATTGATGTCTTACCGTTTCCTGTAGGCATGGTGGTCGAAAAAGCTTATGTTCTCCGCCGTGAGTTCCCAAATTCTGGTGAGGCATTCGCCGCTAAAGTTGCGCGCTATAAACCGATGCGGCTTCTCTAGCTTCAGGCGCTCGTACTCGAAGATCTCGATACCCTGGAAGATAAATGCTCCGCCAATTGTGTAGAATGTGACTAGCAGGATGATGCCCACGTTGCTGAACATAAACGCCGTAAAGTGGCGGCAGTGGTCCTTGAAGCGCTCAAACGCCGGCTTCTCCTTCCGGCGAAAGGAGCTCCGACGCGAGGACATCTCTTAGCTGGTCGCTTCCGCTTCGGTTTCAGTGCCGGTTCCCGTCTCGATTGGCCTTCAACTGGCGCTCGCCTGGACATGCTCGGGTCTGGTATCGGGCCGATACTCGCATAGATTACGACTCCAAGGATTTCCGGCTGCCTAACGCTAAAAATACCCAATGATATATCCATAAGTTCATCCTCATGCTCTCGAGTGCAGAGTGGTAAATAAACAAAGGCAGCAAGGCTACTCTATCAAAGTGTTTGGCGGCATAAATCTCCCCGAGGAATAATATGCGCTGCGGTGATGTGTGATCTGCTCTGTGCTGTGTGTTGTGTGGGAGGTTTATTTTAATGGTCTGGGATTATCGCGAAAAATACGATCTTTGGCTGATACATTGTTGCTCTAGCCTTTTAATAAAATATTGTAATCACAAATTACCAAGGATTTAAATGAAAATCATCAGGATAATGATAAGCTATTTAATTAAGTAAATATGCCTAAAACCCTTTACAACCATCTTTTTTGTAAATCTATCTCTAATGGTAATTGAATATAGATCTTTTAAAATGTAACCAATTATTTTATAATTAGTTCAATGGGTATTGTTATAGTTAGTAAATAAAAACGATTATGTTTCTATAAATTATATTAAAGCATAGTAAAATGATCTATAGCCCATTAGAGCTTCTTTAAATTATGTTTATAATCAAATTTTTGAAAATAAAATTCGCATTCTGACAAATTTCTGTGGCTAAGAATTTCGGATCAATAAATTGTCGTAGGTGAACCCCAAAAATTCGAAATTCTTATTTATTAAATACCTCCAATAAATGTAAATCTATGTGGGGCTTTTGAAAGCCATTAAACTAATTGATTATATTGATATTGGACCATATTCCGAGCTGATTGAGATCATCGGCGGACTAAAACTACATGTAACTCATTCGCTTTGACAGTTTTCGAGGGAAAAGTCAAATATTTTGGCTAAACAGTATGAATGGGACTTTATTTTTAATACACTGTGCTTTCTATGTTTCTTAATAAATGGCCAACATGAACATGAATTATTGGACTACAATCTTGGCAGCTGGCCTATGGAACAGTCACATCATCTCATCTCATCTCGCAGAGGAGACTCATCCCGCCACCGTCCCCACGGATCGTTTGTGTGTGGTATTTCAATTTTCTCGCGTGGCCGGTGGGATGACACTCGCCTCTAGATTCGAGAATTGATGGCGTAGCCGTGGCTGTGGCGTCAAATTGGAGAGTTCCTAACGATCCGATGCGCCACTGCCTCCCATTTCATCTCCTCGTCTGCGGTCTACCGAAATGCCGTTGTTTTTGTTTGGTTTTCAATTCTTTTTTTAGGGTTTTATTTAGTGGGTGTGAAATACGAGTTCATTTTGGATTATTTTTATAAACTTCTGTTTTGAACGGGGTCCGACAGTCATTTGCTTGATTTGTGGCCACAGCCTTGCCGATCTTTGGGACTGGGAGCTGAGAGCTGGGTAGCCTTGGACCTCACCACCTTTACGCATTTCTGGCGGCGGCTAGGTGCGAGCCAGGTAAATATGTGTATTTTTATTGATTCGCTCAAGCATAAATTAAAATCAATTTGCAATCTATGTATGTCTGGCCGTGTATTTACAGGCTAAGACATACTGTGTACCTCGCCTGTACATACATACATAATTAAAAAATCCAAACACAAAACAAACACAAACTAAAAATCGTGGCGAAATGTGTTTCCAATGAAAATACACAAGCCGAGGAAGGAAAACACATTAGTGGATGTGGTATGCCATGCCTTCGGCTTTCCCAGGGCGCGAATCCGAGGGGCTGACATAAAAAAGATGCCCACTGTCAATGGGGATGTTTATGTTTTCAATACAATTAAGCTATCGTCGAGGAGAGACTCTACACATCCACGTCCAGAAAATGACGAATGCCAAGTTAGAGTGCATTTTGTGGCCGGCAATTAAAGTGCAATTCTGGTGAGTTTGTCGAGATATTTTTGGCAAGATGTGTTCGTCAGGCGGCAGGCACAGTCATTAGCCCGAAATGTCTGTTTCTCATAGCATTAAAAATTTTAATTATAATTGCTCTGAGCATTTTTCAGTCATTTATGCTAACCCAAATCCAAAGATTACCGACACAAAGATCAAAGCAACAAACGGAGGAAACAGCCAGCTAATGTATTGTAGTCTTTTATATTGAAAAAATCGGTGATTATTATACCTATATATTGGGTGGAAACTAGTCGAGAAAAGTGTCTGCTGCTTCTGGGAAGTGGAAGCTGCTTCTTGACCTGGCCCGGCCAATTGAGTTGCCTTTTTAGTTAGCAACTAAATTACGTCATGTCCCTGGATTAGTGTTTACGCGAGAGATGATGGAAAATGGATTGGAAACACACTTCTGGCTGGTGTGTTTACATAGACAGTTCTTGGGAGTCTCTGCAGGTGTGCCCTTAAAATTTAGTTCAAAATCATTTCGAAAGTCTCAGCCAATCTCTGGTGTCAGTTGTCAATCAGGATTTATTTTATTTGTTGGTCCTTCGGCCAGCACACTTGCACAATTAATTCTCAACATTTAATTTGCCATGCCAAGAGGAAAATGCTTAAATATGACAGACAGCCACAGAATGTTAAGTGTCAGCGGCTACACGAGAGGAGATTTTAAAATTTAATTACAGTGAAAAATCTCGGTGACAATGCGGGGGAAGCAGCGGCATGGAAAATAAGAAATTACGGCGACGACATCATCGCCAATGGCACATTGATGGCCCGAATACGTGGCGACCACGTCCAACATGACGGATCGGCCAGGCACCGGCGGAGCGGATGCGGATGGAGGTGTACCTTTGCCACAACGTGTGTGCGAGCCAAAAACTAATTTTCGTGCATTGACCGCGACAGGCTGGACGAATTGGTTGCGTATCGAGTTGCTGCTTGGACAGGCAAAATCTGAATTCAGTATTTAAAACCAACATCTAAATTTCGGTAATTGGAAAATACAAAATATTCAACGGCCACTGTAGTTGTCAACATTTTAAAAAAATTTTGTATATAAATTTTTTATATATGTACATATGTACATATATAAAAGCCTTTCAATTTCAAGAGCATAAGAGCGCAGAAGAAATATTATATTAAATTATGATTAATTAGATATTTCAATGAACCCATTTTTCAAAAACAAATTTTGTTTCGACGAAATTACGCTTTCGAAAGCGTGTATCTCTCTAGTTGAAAACTCTTAGCATTATTGAATAGGTCTAAAGATTTTCAAGATCTTAATCATTCAATATTCTATTCTCACTTTTTGGTCTATTTGCATTAAGCTTTTATATAAGTTTTCATTAAATTGCAGATAGTAGTTTATTCTGACAAGATCAAGATCAGAATAGAAATAATAATAGTAATCAAATTGAATGACAGATTTAAAGTATTATTTCAAAAAGTATACTTTCTGTTCAAGTTGATCTTCAGATAACGAACCTGTTTATTATGGCTGTTGCCTCCCTCGGCTCGTTGGGGTGCTGATGGAGATGGTGATGCCACTGATGCTGATGCAGTAGCTCCTTGCCAGATGCTCACCCGTGACGTCATGCGGATCGGCTGGCCTTTGTTGGGGCTTCGGCTTCACCGATTCGTTTATTTTAGCAGCTGATGTATTTCGGAACTATGCATGTGGAATATTATTTATGTTTGGTCGCTCTGTATATTGTTTTATCAGTGTTATTCAACGCACGCCACGAAATTCCACCGATCAGCTATTTTACGGATTTTCGTTAGGCATTCTATATCCCGATTTCAATCCCATATCTCCGATTGATCTGGTCAAAAGAACTTCTTAGCCCCGGTTGGCTTGCTTGGTTTTCTGTTTATTTTTAACCGCACCACACTTCACTTCACTTTCCAAATCCGTATCCGATCCGAATCCGATTGCGATCCCGGAGAAAATGCCTTATACGCCGGCGGAGGTGCGCTCTGCTCGACGTTCCGCTGGCCACTGGCCGGACTCTCGCACCCGTATTTATAGACGCGGCATCTTGACGCGCTACCTGTGACGTCGCAGTGCCTCCATTGTTGGATGGAGAATGGGAGCCGGTAGACTTTTGCCACCGAGGATGCGGCAGCCAGAGAGCCATTGGAATTCCCCTCTCAGTAGGTGCCGGTCGCCACAATTGGCCTATGCCCTACGATGGAATATTAGCACTATCTGGATATAGACTCATTGGAATATTATATATTATATTAAAAAAAATAAGGGAAAGTAAGAGAGAGAATATTAATGAGTTACAGTATATAGGATGTTTAGTATATTTAAAAGGTCTCAATGGATGTACTAATAACATCTATGTACATATGTAAAATTTTAATTGTGTGTATAAAATGAAGTCCCAAATCATTAGGCTGTATCAGCGCGGATACCGATTACGTACGCCAAGGTAATGCACGGCTTTGAATTTATTATCCAAGACAATCGTATTAGTCCATTGGTCATAATAAGCCCTGTGACGACGGAAAACGAATCTGATGGAGATGGGTAGGATGATTGTCGTCACAAAGCGCTTAATAAGCGACCGGAAAATGGCACGTTGCATAGTGAGCCTCCATGCCGGATAGACAAAGACGATGCGTGGGTGACTGGGTCCATCGGGCGGGGAAAACGGCATCACCGCGCAAGCGGTCACAATTCGTATCTTCATTAGCCACTTGCCGGGTGTGGCTCCATTGCAGTAGCTGGTCCACAGCGGCTCGTAGCAGAACCCGACCAGCTTGAGAAACATTCTGACGAGCAGCGCTTGAGTCGATGTAGTTATGCCAAAGTAGTACATGACCAGGTCATCTGTAATTACCCGCCAAATCAATTGCTCTCCAATGCTGGGAAACTGGCAAGCAAGCAAATGCGCAATGAGGACCTTCAGCAAAAGAAGAAGGTACATGTCGATGGCCTGCGCTACAGCTCGTTTCCATAAGGGCGCCAAGGCGACCACATAGCCACCACGACGGTCTATCGGGTTTTGCTGGTCGCCCCTGTTAAGGATGCGATGACGAAGAAGACGACGAGCTCGTCCAGGCGGTATTCCAAAAGCTCTGGCCGATGCAGCCGCTAGCCCTTGAACTGGACGCGGTTGGATACGTCCCAAAGTATTTGTCTGCTGGCCTCCGTTCGGTGTGCGAAAGAGCTCCGGGTATTTGGCAAGCAAATATCCCGGGAACCCGGCCATGGCCTCTTGGGCCTCACGAAGCTGTTTGGCCCACACCGCGAGGCTGGCAAAATAAGCTCCCTTGGGATCCAGATTCTGCTCCATCTGCTGGGTATTCTCAATTTGATCAGACATTTTCTTAAATATCGAAAGTTCGAATATTTATTAAAGTTTTTCCTTTAGGCTGGATTCAAGTTTGATTTGGAATACCTTCCGAAACGATTCCTTATCCTACAAATTCAAATATATAGGGATTATTTGTTTCGACTTCCAGCTCAACTAAATGATACAATACCCGGCAGCTATAGAAATAATCACAAAAAAATTGCAAATTGTCACAATTGATCTTTAAAGGTTCTTTTGAATGAAGTTTAAAATGGTAAACTTTGATAACATGAAAAATGGGAATCGATGTATCGCTAACTGTCAAATCATCGATAGAGATAGATACTATCGATACAATGATGGCACAAACTATATGGGGTCGTCTTGTTAAATATCTTGTGAAATATAAATGTTATTTGCAAGCACATTTAAAACCAATTCAGACCTAACGAAGTCTACATTAAAAGTTTCTTGTAAATTTTTTTGACTTCGTTTAAACCAATAGATCATTTTATAAAATTAACAAAGCTTTTTGTGGGAATACATAGAACAAATAACATAACGAGCATGAAAAATATTTGAAAATGGAATGAAACTACATCACATTTCTTTTGTTTTATAAAAATCAAAACAAACATCGATAGTGCGAAAAAGTCGATGTTTTGAATCGATAGTATCGATAGTGCTCCGATGCTGTCACCACTAAATCGGCCATCTTCCTTTTTAGAGAATCGCGTTTGCAAAACGACGTGTTTAAAACCTTTTCAAGTGTTTTAAAAGGTAAATAGCCATGGAAAATAGTTTAAAATGTCGCAGAAGGCCACCCAACATCCAATACTCCGGCGCGTGAAGGCAGTGACCAAAGAAAGCGTAAAAAAGCTGGCCGCGGGCGCGGGGTCACACGTGGAGTCGTAGGCGCTCCGAACGCACGGCTGTGAGGTTATGTTGATTCTCTCGGAGACGACAACAATAGCCCGGAGTGGGGCCAATCTGGGGGGATTCTGTGTGAAGAAAGCCACTAAATACCGTCTATTGCATTGCAGCTCCGTCAAAATGTCCGGTACAACCGCCACCATCCGCACCCGCAAGTTCATGACCAACCGCCTGCTCGCCAGGAAACAGATGGTCTGCGATGTCCTGCACCCTGGTCTGTCGTCGGTGAACAAGACCGAGATCCGCGAGAAGCTCGCCGCCATGTACAAGGTTACCCCCGATGTGGTCTTCGTGTTCGGTTTCCGCACAAACTTCGGCGGCGGCCGCTCCACGGGCTTCGCCCTCATCTACGACACCCTGGACTTCGCCAAGAAGTTCGAGCCCAAGTACCGCCTGGCCCGTCACGGCCTCTTCGAGCAGAAGAAGCAGACTCGCAAGCAGCGTAAGGAGCGTCGCAACAGGATGAAGAAGGTGCGCGGCACTGCCAAGGCCAAGATCGGTACTGGCAAGAAGTAAGCGCTGCTCCGCCGGAAGACCCCGCGGGTGGGTCTCTTCAGTGGGTTGTCGGCTCGCTGGAAACGCTCCCCGACAATTCCCAAAAGCTGCTGGTTATGCGTTAGTTACACTTTTTTATCAACCATCCAACAACGGACAAAACAAAATCGGTGTTTACTTTTGGAGCGGCTTTTGTTTGTAAACTAAGGAAATAAAACTCTAAAAGTATACAAGTTATTGTGGTTCAATAATTGGGATTGTGCGTGAGTGAGCCCATGGAATGTGGATACCAAGATCTAAAAGAAAATCAAGGTATTCTGGGTTACTTCTTAGAATTGAGATTCTACGTGATTAAATAAATTTATTTTAATAAACAATAAGCAACTATTCTTATATAAAGAATGTGTCTGCAGAAAGACACAAGCTAATTTTAATATATTTATCAAATAATAAACAATTACATTGAAACACCTTAACATTAGTACTTGCAGAAGCTAAATTCAGAAATTTAGGATATCATAGTTACTTGTTTTTAAAAGATAACTTAATTTAATTGGGCTTAATAATTTTTAGCCGTTGAAGCTTGCAGAAAGATATAACTACAAGACCACTTGAATATATTTTGCAAATAATAAGCAAATACTCTACAACACTTTGAATATTGAGCTTGGAAAGAGCTTAGTTCAGAAAATATGGCTTGCATAGCTACTTATGTCGGTTTCAAGTTTTTAAAAGAAAATTTAAATAAATTTGGTTTATTAATTGGTGAAAAACCAAACAAAACGGTCACGCATGGTCGCACTTAAATATGGTATTTTTTGTATATTTTTTTTTGTAAGCCGGGTGGTATTTCATAACGGCCAAGTCGCAACCACACTGAATACAGAATATTTGTAAAAATTTTTTTAAAACAATTTTAAATGATCCTGCTGAGTACTGCGGGGAAAATTGGGCACAGCCAGCAGAAACAATCACGTGCAGGTTCCACTGAACGTGCCTAGAGATGTCCAGTTCGAACGGTGGCGCAGCATCGGGGGGCGGAGGCAGTGGAGGCGTCGCTTCCCCTGGCGATTGGATTTGCCCTGATTTCGAGTGAGTGCAGGCAGATAGATGCAGGAACAGCGGCCACCTCGCGGAGCAGTCGAGCCGGGCGAGGAGTGCAGCGAATCTCACTTTTCCTCGATTTTGCAGCTGTCGACATCTAAATTTTGCCCGCCGGTCGCAGTGCAACAAATGCGACCGCGACCGTGATAGCAGTGATAAGCCAGAGCGGGAACGTGATCGGGAGCGCGGCAACGGAAGCAGCAGCAGCAGTAGCAGCTCCAGCAAGAAGAAGCTAGGAACCGAAATTGGTAAGGCGGCTGCGGACAAGTCCCGGGGCCTGTTTAGCGCCGAAGATTGGCAGTGCAGCAAGTGTGCCAATGTGAACTGGGCCCGCCGGCAAACCTGCAATATGTGCAATGCGCCCAAGTTCTCGGATGTAGAGGAGCGCACTGGTGAGTCCTGCTGCCACACCCTTATAGTATTCTTGGAGCCCTCTAAAATCCGATATTACAGGCTTCGGTGGAGGATACAACGATCGTGGCGTAGTGGAATATAAGGATCGGCAGGATTCGGACAGCGAGTACGATGAGTTTGGGCGGCGCAAGAAGCGGAAGCACGGTGAGCATCGTGAGGACTCCAAGCGAGCAAGAAAGGCCAGCCGCGATGAGCCGGTGCTGGAAGAGGAGGATGACGACGAGGATGATGAGGGCGATTTGTCCAAGTACGATCTTTGGGGAGACGATGACGACGACAAGGTTACATCGTCGGATGTCAAGAGCAAGGAGCCCGCGGGCAGTGGCGACAAGGGAACGACCAAGGAGCGTAAACGGGTCTCTCGCGACTCCACATCTTCCGTGTCCTCCTCTTCGTCGTCGTCTAGTTCGTCTAGCTCCAGTGACTCGTCGTCGAGCAGCTCGAGTAGCGGCTCCAGCCGGGGAAGGCGCTAGCCCTCATCTTTACCCTTTAGGAACTTCATTTTAATTGCATCTGTTTTTACACATTTCTACACGGCAATGCCACTCATTGCACGTTTATTTATTCGCCATTATTCGCTGCTCTGGAACATGCTATGCGGTACTATGTCCAGTCTCTACACTAAAAGTATAATAAAAGGTATAATTTAAGAACATCAGCATTTACATTTATTGTAAGACTCCGTAACGTTAAAGAATCGGGCCTAATGGAAGCCATCCTCGTTTTGTTTCTGGCTGCTGGCGGCTTCCTCCGCCTGTCGCAGCTCCTTGAGCTGGGCCAGCTGCCTCTTCGAGTCCGCGATGTGCTCTTCGGTCACTGTCACGGGCACGTCGCAGGATATCTGTTCCTGTCGCACAAACTGCATCTTCTTAATGGCCTCCTCCAGGAAGGGTATCTGCTGGGCCTGCAATTGCTTGTGGTAGACCTCTAAACGCTCCTCCTTCAGGTTTTCGCAGTAGGTGTCGGTCAACTTCTGCAACGACTCCTTGCGCGTGATCCAATGGAAATGTGTTGGAGGCGGCTTGTACACCAGGTCGAGCCTCTCGAGAATCCACTCAAAGCGGGGATAGTCCCAGCGTCTGAGGTATTTGAGGAACTTTTTCCGCTTGTCGATCAGCTCCTTAAGTCGCACCTTGATCATCTTGTCCCGCGGATGCGAGTCCATGTGCTCCTGGTAGCGGCGAATCACCGCGGTCATCTTGGCCACTGAAATGCAATGATTTAGGGAAAATAGAAATTGGAATTGGGTGTCAACAAACATACACTTGGCCTCCATGGATCCGAAATCCTGAGCATGCCTCTGTACTTCCTTTACCATCTCATCGCGGTAAAACCTTGTGGTCAGGTAACTAGCATTGTTGCTCAACAAAAACTGAGACTTGACTGCATCATCGGCATTTTCCAGTTCCTTGCAGTCCCTGAATTCCGGCAGAATCTCGTTGGGATTCAGCGGCGGCAGCTTGCTCAGATCGCCGCTCTTCTCCGGCTTGAAGCACGCGATCTTTTCCGGTCGCACCCATTTGATCTTCAGGTCGGACTTGAAGGCGTATTCACGTACAAACTGGCGCGGCACCGCCTGCGCTACGTTCAATAGTTTATTCATTAAATTGTGTTTATTTGTCGGAAAGACGTCGAGGTTATATCACAAAATAAGGAAAATTACGCGAATAGCTGGTCACATCGCGAACAGCTGTTTTAATAAGTACAGTGTGTGCACACAATTTTCTTCTCTCGCAGTATATCGATATTTTTTTTTGCCATCCCTATTTCTCACCAACAGCTGGAGCACATTTGTTGCTGTTTTCTTTTCTTTCGTCTTTCGGCTTGTTTCGGAGTAATTGTGCGTTTTTTGTGACTATAAAGGTAAAAATCAGCATGGCCCACATGTCCCACATGCTCCAGCAACCGTCGACGCCCTCCAGCGTGGGCTCCAGCTCCTCCCGCACCATGTCGCTGATGGAGAAGCAGAAGTACATTGAAGACTACGATTTCCCGTACTGCGACGAGAGCAACAAATATGAAAAGGTGGCGAAAATTGGACAAGGAACCTTTGGGTAAGTGTTTAATGTTTCTCATTTTCTTAGGAATGCTTATTAATAATCCTTATATATTTTTAGGGAGGTGTTCAAGGCTCGCGAAAAGAAGAGCAACAAAAAGTTCGTGGCCATGAAGAAAGTGCTGATGGACAATGAAAAAGAGGGCGTGAGTCAACAAGCAATTGCACAAAATCATGAAATACCTATGTACATAAACCGCTTTCTAGTTTCCTATCACTGCGTTGCGTGAGATCCGAATTTTGCAGCTGCTGAAACACGAGAATGTGGTAAATCTGATTGAGATTTGCCGTACCAAGGCCACTGCCACCAATGGCTACAGATCTACATTCTACTTGGTTTTTGACTTCTGCGAGCATGATTTAGCTGGTCTCTTGTCCAACATGAATGTCAAGTTCAGCCTGGGCGAAATCAAGAAGGTGATGCAGCAGCTGCTTAATGGCTTATACTACATACACAGCAACAAGGTAAATTGAAATTCTATGATTTCGGTGTCGTATCCTTATTTATTGTTTCAAACTTTCCTTCTTTAATCCCCAGATCCTGCATCGTGACATGAAGGCTGCCAATGTGCTAATAACCAAGCATGGCATCTTGAAGCTGGCTGATTTTGGTTTGGCTCGTGCCTTTAGCATTCCCAAAAACGAGAGCAAGAATCGCTATACCAACCGTGTGGTGACACTGTGGTACCGCCCACCAGAGCTTTTGCTGGGCGATCGCAACTACGGTCCGCCCGTGGACATGTGGGGAGCCGGATGCATCATGGCTGAGATGTGGACCCGCTCGCCCATTATGCAGGGCAATACAGAGCAGCAACAGCTGACTTTCATCTCGCAGCTTTGTGGCTCCTTTACGCCAGACGTGTGGCCGGGCGTGGAAGAGCTGGAGCTGTACAAGTCGATTGAGTTGCCAAAGAACCAAAAGCGACGTGTCAAGGAGCGACTACGTCCTTATGTCAAGGACCCCACCGGCTGTGATCTGCTTGACAAGCTGCTGACGCTGGACCCGAAGAAACGCATTGATGCCGACACGGCACTCAATCACGACTTCTTCTGGACGGATCCAATGCCCAGCGACCTGAGCAAGATGTTGTCCCAGCATCTGCAAAGCATGTTCGAGTATCTGGCGCAGCCGAGGCGCAGTAACCAGATGAGGAACTATCACCAGCAGCTGACCACCATGAACCAGAAACCGCAAGACAATAGCATGATCGACCGGGTCTGGTAGACTGGATTTCATACAAGGTGCACGCACCATACCCATTTGTAGCAGTAAGACTCACTATCAACTTAGCTTAAGGTATTAAGTTAGGCTAAGAACGTTAAAATATAAAGTTTGCATTTGCCATTGCATTGCAAATAAAACTCCTGCAAAGTTAGTGTTCCTTATTTTATAAATAGGGTATTTTAAAGTCTGCTTTCCACGATTAAGAACGCGATAGCTCGATAACTCCGATAGTTATTTCCCCGCTCGGTGTGTACACACTTGCGGCAAAATGCACGTTGAGCAGCAGCAGCACCAAAAGGTAAACAAGGCCAAAAAGGTGGACAAAAAGCAGCGACGATGTCTGGCGATAATCAAAAGCGACTGTGAGGTGATCCCAAGTGAGGAACCCACCACCTACCTGGCTATCCTCAACGTGGGACTCAGCAATGGACTCACCGAGGAGTGCCTACTTCTGGCGGCGGCAAGCACAGGTGGCAAAGTCGCCGAAGTGGTCATGCTGCCTGGTAAATCATACTGCTTCCTGGTCTGCGCCACTCTGGAGGACGCGCAGGCGGTATACCAGGGCATGAACAGCATCTCCAAAATAGGACAACAGGGAGCTGTGGCCTATCTTAGTTACGTGATGGGATTGCCCGCCCTGGCAAGAAAGAACGATTGGAATAGGGCCTTGCCCAGTGGACTTCTGGTACTTCCTGACTTTGTCAGCGAAGAGGAGGAATCAACGCTCTTGCAGGCCATTTCTGAGGATGGACGAACCTCTGAAGGAAGTTTAAAGCACAGACATGTTAAGCACTTTGGGTTCGAGTTTCTGTACGGCGTCAATAATGTGGATCCGGCAAAACCATTGGAGCAGTCAATACCGTCGGCATGTGATATTCTTTGGCCGCGCCTGGAAAGCTCCGCTTCCAAGTGGGACTGGAGTACGCCGGACCAGTTGACGGTGAATGAATACGAGCCGGGACACGGCATACCTCCTCATGTGGACACGCACAGTGCCTTCTTAGATCCCATTCTATCGTTGTCCCTGCAATCCGATGTGGTGATGGACTTTCGACGCGGAGAGGAGCTGGTTCAGGTGAGATTGCCCCGTCGTTCCCTGCTGATTATGTCCGGAGAGGCACGTTACGATTGGACTCATGGCATCAGACCGAAGCACATTGATGTAGTACCCAGTGCATCCGGAGGCTTGACCACTCAGGCTCGCGGAAAGAGAACTTCTCTCACTTTTCGGCGCCTGCGAAGAGGACCCTGCTCCTGTTCATATCCCACGCTATGTGACACGAGACAAACCAAAGCCCCAGAGGAGCTATCCGCCACGTTGGCTGCCCAGGCTGTAAGCCTGGAACAGCGGAATGTCCACGAGGTGTACGACAAGATAGCAGATCACTTCAGCGAAACGAGGCACTCGCCTTGGCCTCAAGTTGCCGATTTCCTTAACTCCTTTCATCCTCAGTCTGTGGTGCTTGACGTAGGTTGCGGAAATGGGAAGTATCTGGGATGCAATCCGCTACTCCTGGCCATTGGCTGCGACCGCGCCCAAGGTCTGCTCGCCGTGGGACGTCGAAAGGGACAGAATGTCTTTCGGTGCGACTGCCTCAGTGTACCGGTGCGCTCTGCCAGCGTCGATGGCTGCATCAGTATAGCCGTTATCCATCACCTGGCCACAGGAGAGCGTCGGCTGGCTGCTCTTCGTGAGATGGCACGCGTCCTGCGACCTGGGGGACGTGCTTTAGTTTACGTTTGGGCCAAAGATCAACGAAAGAATGACAAGAAGTCCACTTACCTGCGGCAAAATAAAGCTGTTAATAAGGAGCGCACCACCGAACAGGAGCAGCGTCAGAAGCAGCAGCAGCAACTGGAGCAGCAAGTGCCCGATGACACTCCACTGCCCGTGCACACCAATCGCACAGAGTTCCAGCAGCAAGATGTTTTGGTGCCCTGGAAGACCAAAGATGAGCAAAAGACCACTTTTTTGCGTTACTATCATGTCTTTGAGGAACAGGAACTAGAAAATCTTGTGTCGCAGCTGCTGGAGGTAAGAATAATTAAGAGTTACTACGATCAAGGCAATCACTGTGTGATCTTCGAGAAGATAGACACATAGGTATATGTAATTCGTTTATTTGATTTCAAAAAATACACATTCACACACAGTTTTACTTTTGTTTCGTGTTTTTGCCATTTAGCGAATTGAACGTAAACTAGAACTTAGTTAAGCCTACTGCCGACGTCCCATCCGTGTGGATGTGGTGTTCTGTTTATTGTAGCTTTGGACCATAAATTGACAATTCCTTAATAACAACGTTTGTGTTCCACTGAAGAGCATATCCAGTTGGTGTAGGTACAAGTGCGGTGTGTATGTACATTTGTAGTATTTTCTTGCTTTCATTTTTCAACGAATTGGATAGGTTTGGATTCATATATTGATAGATCGATAGTGTCGTAACGAGTAGGTGGATAGATAGATAGATAAAATTTGAAGTATCATAACTAAAATGTATAGAGACTACCTAAATTAGTGTGAGGGAGCAATATGGAGCGGGAGTGGTGTTTTTCTAGAGCTTCCTAGGGTAATGTTACTCCTATAGATTCATTAATATCTTCTCTCTTTTGTATAGGGTAAAGTTCGAGCTACAGAGTCACATCTACACGGGCCTTAAAAACACACTTAGAAGTCATCCAGGGCACTTACTTACTTGACAAAGAACTTTACAGCTAGTTAATATTCTCTTAATAGGGCCGCTTACAACTAATTATGAACTACGGTTTACAGTTTCAAACGTTTCGCTTTGGTCGTGGGTACAGTAGAGTTCTGATATGTTAACAAGTAACATTTTGGACTATGTGATTTCATCGTCTTAAGATTATGAGAGCTAACTATATATAGTGGGTGTCCTAATATCTCTAGGGTACGTGCGCATTAGAGCCCTGCAAGAGTCGCAGTGATCATTTTTGCATATAGGTATTGATTTGAACCTTAAGAGCGCCCTGTAATCTTCAATCTGATTCGAATAAACTTGACTTAGAATGAATTAACTTGATTTTAATCAAATGAATTTTGTTTGAATCAAATACACTTGATTCGAATAACTTGGTATTAATCGATTTAAATTTAATCTAAAACAACTTTATTTGACTGCAATAATTTGAAAATCAACCAGAATTTATTTAAATTGAATAAATTTAATAATATTCGAATAAGTTTCATCTAGATTGAACGAACTCTCTTCAAATTAAATATGCTTTAGAGTAACTTAAATTGTTTGATATCAAATTTAATTTAAATCAAATAGGCGTAGTTCAAGTTTAATTAACTTGGTTCGTTTATATAAAAAAATCTTTTTTTCAACAGAAGAAATTTGAATCAAATAATCATGATTTTAAATCATATAAAATTGACTCAAAGGGAATGATTCAAATCATTTCGAAGCCTAAAACAGTCGTAGGCACCTGTTGATCCTCCAGGGAATCTAATACGCACACAAGTGAGTTTAATGGGTGTATAAATAAATAAATATATATATATATATATATGTATATATTTAATATATCTAAATAGATCGCGTGTATAACAGTTGTGGTGCCCAAGAAGTTAATTGGTTTTGTTTAATTTTTTGGCTATATGTATAGGAGAACAATTAAGGAGAATTGATTTCAACAGCTAGGTGAGTCTACGGACTAGGTTAAACCAGAAATTCATCGTCGTCGTAATATTAAAGCCTGATAGTTTACTCGTTAGTTGTTAAAGCTGATTTATCAGTTAATAGGTATGTATACACACATACACAGTTATCGACTTAAAAAGTTCTACAGATTACCGCCTACCATTGATTCCGTTTATAATGTACATATGTGTATACTTCAGTCGTTGTTGAATATACTTACAAAGCTTTCTTTGCCTGGTGCTTACCATTGGTACAATATATATCTTTTTATTTCTATAACTACTCTCCTCCCCTCGCTATCTTTCGATTTTGTTTGCATATTTTCCCTAGTAAAACCTCTCACCGAAACACTTATTTGAGCAGCTGGCATACTTTCTCCGTCTCTCCGATTTGATTTACGACTATTCCAGTAGGATTCGGATGTGGTTGTGGTTGTGTCTGGGGCGTGTGTGGTTTCTAAGGGCTGTCCAGGATCCAGGGTCCAGTTGCCTTGAGCGCGAGCTTAGATAAATGTTTCGGCTGCCATTTGTTACAAACACTCCGCCAGCGGCGGCTTCTCAATGGGCGGCGAGGGGCCCGAGACGGAAACCATTGGCACGGCACTGATCTTCGGCTTGACGATCTTTAGCCCGAGGCTGCCCAGATTCTTGGGACTGCTGTGCGGCGACGAGGAGGCTGTCGAGGATCGCTGGTGCACCAGTACGCGGGGCTTTGCCTCGATGGCAATGCTGGGTGAGGAGGAAGTCGACACACTGGCCGTAGCCGTTGCACTGGCCAAGAGAGGCACATGCACCAGTTCCTCCACTGTTTCCGCCGAGTCCTGCGATTCGTGAACCACAGCGGCAGCATCGCTGTGGATCAGGGCAGCTGTGGACAGGGTGTCACCCTCATCGTCCTGCATGTAGGGTGGCGGTGCCTCCAGCGAAATGCTTCCCACAACCACATTGGCCGTGGTTATGGCAGCCGAGCGGGCTAGGAGGCTGGTTACGGCCGTTGGCGACTGCTTGCCATCATGGATGACCGGCAGGCGCAGGAGCTCGCCTCCAGTGCCGCCACACTCCTTTAGCTCGATGTCGTTGCTGTCCTGCGAGAGGTGCTGCTGCTTGCAGGAGTCGTCATCGGTGCGCCAGGGTCGCAGGCTCTTCTGCAGAGTTAAGTTTTCTGTTAAAAATGTATGTCTTATGGATATCAAGGATCCTACTCACCCTCCGTCCATTGTCCGTGATATTCTCCGCACTCTTGGCCTTCCGGCAGAGCACGCTCTGTGATCCATGGCGCCGAAGGAACTCAATCGAGTCGAAGCCACGCCCCTCCGAGGACACAAAGATGGCCGAGTTAATCCGACTGCGCGTGCATCGCTCCGATATGGACGTGGAGTGCTCCTCGGCCAGCATGTGGATGTGCTGCAACGAAAGGCGGGTCAGTAAGGATCTCCATATGGCGGTGCCGCATCCTCCGGTCAGTTTCTTACGCGGCTATTGCAGTGCAACGGTGGGTGGGCACATTCACTGCTGTCGAACTGCGTCCCGGAAGGAGCAGGGAAATAGAGAGAGTATAGAGAGATAGAAAGAGATAGAGAGGAGACAGTAGAGCGGACACTTCCAAGGTGATGGAGGCAATCACACACACTAGAACAACGACAACAACAACACACACAAGCCCGGGCAAGGACCTCCCGCCATCATCTCCATCCACTGGAACAACAAGAACGAGAGGGAGAGAGAGAGAGCAAGCGACAAGCGTGGGACAAAGCTATCTCTGGCTGGCTACTAAGGCTAACTACGGAACGACACGAAGCCGGGACTCAAGCGGATGCGGATTGCGTTTTGTGATTTTTTTTTGCTGTGAGAGAAGTGAGCGAAGTGAGCGGGTGCGCGGGCCATGTCCATCCAGTGAAGGTAGCTGCAAATTCTGTACAGGGTGAGATATTGAGTGATGGGTGCGATTTGGTGCTCTCCGGTCTGCAATCTGAGATGGAACTCGAACTCGAACGGGAACGGTAAGTCCAACTCCAAAGCAAAAACCACGTGCACCACAAGCTGCATTGTGCTGGGACTAGTGTTGGGAACACAAAATTATGTTCACTTTTAAAGTGGACCAATTCAGTGGCTCACTTTTCTTTTTGGGGGGAAAAAGGAACTCAGCATTCAAATTACTAAGAATTATTCAAATCTAAATGTTATTAAAATAATAAATTTGCACTTAAATCATTAAGCATTTTTGCTAGTAGCTAGTTAAGAAAAGTAAATATATTTAAGGATGATACTTAAAGGTTACTCTAATTATTGTAAATCATCAAAAATATATTTAATAAACAAATTATACGTATTGAGAAATTCAAAGAATATTACGTATACACAAAAATTACGTATACGACAGGTGGGCCAGTGTATTTAATACTTCTTTTCAGGTAATCTCTTTAAAGAAACTTTTTAAATGTTGCTTAATTTAATTTCATGAAGGGGTAATAAATAGATGCGTAATGGAATACGTTTCCATGGCTTTCAATCGTAAAGAAAACTTATAACTGCATTCTCAGGGTAAAAATGAAGTTTCCCCCCTCAAAGTGAGCCACTCCATCTTATTCTGTGTTCCTAAACCCCAACACTAGCTGGCTGACTTACGCTGGCCGGCTCGCTGTAGTTGCTATGGTTGAGCACCGAGGACTCGGTGCGGATGGTATCGCTGGCCACCATGCTGTGGTACTTCTGCAGCTGCAACTGCAGCGTCGAGGAGCCGCGACTCTCGCGTGATCCCTCCCGTGATCTATCCGCGCAGGAGTACTGCCTGCGGTACTGGCGTCTTCGCCGGCCGGCGCTTGCGGAGACCACGGATGATGCTCCAGATGCGCCATCGGTGGTGGCCCCCAGCTGGTGATCAGCGCATGCCAGCGGTCTAGGCAATAACGGAGGCGGGCGAAAGTAACTGGGATCGTAGCTAAACTGTCGCCTCCGCCACTGATCATACTGGCGGTAGTGGCTGAAGAGGCGGCGGCGTCGCAGGATTAGCTGCTTCTTGGCCTCCAGCACCTCGTCCTCCTCGACAAAGGTGCGCTCCTGTGAGTTCTTGAGGATGCCGCGCTGCTGGGCGAACTTGCGCTGCTTGTGGGCACCCGCCTGCAGGGGCAAAATGCGCTGGACGGGCTCTCTCTCCCGCTGCAGCAGCTGTTGGTCCTCCAGGTCCTTGTCCAGTGCCTCATCCGCAGCCTCCAACTCGATGTCCTCGTTGCCCACCTCCAGACTGTCCACATTCTCCAGCACATTGGCACCCACAATGGACTGGTTGTCCACACTGGGACCGCGCACATAGGTATTCACCGGCGTGCCATGACTATGGCCATGTCCATGGCTGGAAGCCGCACTCACGGCCGCCGAGGAGGCTTCGCGGTGCGCTGGTTGCTAGCTCTCCACGTCCGCCTTGTGGAGCAGCGCAAACTGGCAGCCGCAGTCGCGCTCCAGCTCCCGGCGCGGATACTGGAAGCAGCGATCGAACAGACCGCAGCCCTCGCACCTGGGCAAACACTGTTTTGTGGGCCAAAAGAAAGCCAAAGGAGGATCGGAACAGGAGCAGCAGTAGCAGTAGCAGGAACAAGATCAGCAGGCGAGAGAGCGAAGTGAAAGTAAGGAACGTTTGGTCAGTGAGATCTTGGGAAGGCGCCAACCTGAACAGCAAAGCTCGAAACCAAAAACCAAAACTGCTAAATGCGATTAAAGTACAGAGGAACTTCATGACATTCAAGGGAATTAACTTGACTAGTTAATACTGTTTCTTATTATACCCTTGCAGGGTATTATAATTTCAGTCAGAAGTTTGCAACGCAGTGAAGGAGGCACCTCCGACTATATAAAGTATATATATTCTTGATCAGGATCAACAGCCGAGTCGATCTAGCCATGTCCGTCTGTCCGTCTGTCCGTCTGTCCGTCTGTCCGTCCGTCCGTCTGTCCGTCTGTCCGTCTGTCCGTCTGTCCGTTTCTACGCAAACTAGTCTCTCAGTTTTGAAGCTATCTGAATGAAACTTTGTAGTTAGCCTTGTATATACTCTCACTCGTATATATGTCGGAACGGGCCGGATCGGACGACTATATCATATAGCTGCCATAGGAATGACCGGAAAATTTTTACAAAAAAATTTTAACTTTTTCAGTTTTCAATAGAATTGAATCAAATTTGAGATATAGCCATTTTACTATACTCTTCAATTTTGTACGAAATTTTATTAAAATCGGACTACTATATCATATAGCTCCCATAGGAACGATCGAGAAATTAATACAATTAAATTTATAACTTTTTTAGTTTTCAGCTGATTTTCATCAAATTTGAGGTATAGCCATTTTATATAAGTCTTAAATTTTGTGGCAAATTTCATGGAAATCGGACGACTATATCATATAGGTGCCATACAAACGATCGTTTGATGTGGAGGAAAAATGCAAATCAGTGGATGTAAAACTGCAAATATAATATGTATAGGTGAATGAAATGAAAGCAGGTATTACTTCATTGTTTTTTAACACAAATATATATAATTTATATTGTATGGATTCCTATTCATAGAAGTTCTATCTGCAAGGGTATATAAACTTCGGCGTGCCGAAGTTAGCTTCCTTTCTTGTTTTGGATATAAATTTAAGCAATATATATAACCAATTATAAAATAGTTCCTTTGACTTTAAGTTATAGAAGTTCCTCTGTTTATCTATGGAATGTGTATAGTTGTTGTAAATTTGAGGTGTTTCTCATTTGCATAGCGCATCCTGAGCTTAACGAATCTAGGTGGAATCTCTAGTTGACTTCGACAAGCCGAAGACCTCATGCTCTGCAGAATGACCCAGAATAATGCCAAAGTTCTAGGTTCTAGAGAACATACCCCCAAACTGGTGCCAGAAGCCTACGGAAAAGAAAGCTGAAATAAATGCGAAACTAGCATGTGCTTTCTTATTAAGCAAATCATAAAGAAAATTAGGAAAAGTCTATATAAGGGGAAAACGCGTTGAGACATTATTTATTATATATATATATATTAACTATGAAACCCCAATTTATGTTCACAGACCACAAGACATGGGTTTGTTAAAGGAACAATAAATCTAAAACAGCCATTCTCGGAAAATGCAAAAAGGATATTATTTCGTTTGGTCGGTCGGGGTTTTTTGTGCACAGATTTAAAAGGAAATGGTGTTCTGGGTTCAATTAGAGTCAAATATTTACTTGAAATTGATGCATAGAAAAAAAGCGAATAAAATGCAGAGATATAAATATATTTTTTTGTTTTGGTTTCGTATAATATGTAAGTAGTTGGAAGAATTTGTTATTTTTGAATACCTTGACAAAGAAATCGGGGTGTAGGTTCTAAAAATGAAGCATAACAAAAAACGAAACAGAGATAAGTTCCTTCGCGAATATGTATGTATCCGATTAATCCTAGAAACCCCATTTCCCGCACCAGCAACCATCGTTGTCATAATCATCATAATCACTTCCCAAAATCCCGCAATGGATTACGAGCAGAATACGAACCTGGTGTGAATGCTGGCCATTGCATCCGCCGGCGCTGCACACTCCTGTGCCTGGAACCTTGAGCTGCTCATGCTTGTAGTCTGGCTGATAGGGCAGCAGCATCCGGATCTTGCCCCAGCGATTGAAGAACAGGGCAATGGCACCGGCCCAAACCATCAGCACGATCAGGACAATGCCGATTTCCACGCCGCGGATCTGCAGGGGGTAATTAATAAGTTAATAAATGAATAAATAAATGCAAATAGTTCATGAAATAATTAATAAAGATGAAATACAATCCTTACTGTGGGCAGTTCCCTGGTGGTGCCATGAGTCAGTGTGTTTGTGGCCGTGGAGGTCACATCATCACCAAAGATGCTGGCATTTCCGGTTCCGTTGCGAACGCCATTGCTGCCATTGCCATAGATACCGGGCGGAAAGTCCTGCTGCGAGGTGTTCTTGGGCAGATCTATCAGATGAAACCAATATAGCTGCTTCTAAGATACATATCTAAACCGCACTCACCGAGCGTTTTGAATTTGATCTGGCCCCGACTGCGGTATTTTTTGCCCTGCCAGATGGCCGTCACAACGAGCGAGTACTGTGTGCTGGGCAGCAGGCGATCCAGGACAATGGCCTCACTGCTGCCGGCGACGTCCTGTACAACCCTGTAACTTAAATTAATTCAATTACCACTCTCGAACGGCAGCTAAGGGGGGATGGGTGTAGGACTGTGCCCGGGATTGTGCAGTCGCGTAGGTATACAAGTGTGTGTGCCCACTTGGGTGTATGTAGGTGCACAGAGAAAAATAATTGTAGAAAAGGTTTTAGCGGAGATTTTAAGATTCTTCCAGACAGTTTATTCCTAACAAATCTCGCTTCATTTTCACAATTAATATTCTATTTTTGTGGTTTTTAGTTTCGTCAGGAGTTATTTTTAATTAATTAATTATTTAATTGCTTAATTGGTGTTCCTCAACTTCCGTTAATTAGAAATTCCACTCTTTATATACCAGACCTATATATACTTATATAAATGGTTCACATATGCTTTCTCTCTCAGTGTGTTTGCGCTAATTGAAGGAACTACACCATTCTAGGACATTGAAATATGAGGCAGGTCCGTGTTGGTAATTACAGCATTGGCCAATATTTCACTTTGTCACTTTCGCCAGAGCAGTTACCAAACATGTCCTAGATTTGCCAATTGAGCTCACATTACCCAGGCCCCGCTTCTGGCAGGATCCCGCCTCGGCTTTCACGCCTTCTCCTGCTCCTGCTCCCCAGTGCGTGGCAGCAAAAGTGGCGCCGACTTCTGGCCTCCTGTGCAATGTCTCCTATTACTATATGGCTGTAACAACAGTCCGACAAATGATTCATTATTCATACATGTATCACATATACAGATACTGTGTGTGTGTGTAGTCCCACGAATCCAACAAACATATAGATACGGCGCAATGGCCCCCAGTGGAACCGAAGTCCAAACAGAGAACACAAAACAGAAGTGTGCCGCATTTCGCTTGTACTGCTTGGCAGACGAAACAAAAACAGCGACCGGCACAAACGTAAATGTAAATGTTGGAAAAACAAAACACAGGTAAATATTTCCGGTTAGCCGATTTAATAATGCCCTGAATGCATGTGCGGGCTATTTGGAAAAATCGTGCTATTAAATATGCAGCTTTTAAATTGTATTTTAAATATTCGCTTTTATACACTCGTTAAGTATTTGAATTTTAATCAGAATGCGTTGAAGGACCCTATAAATCATATATGTTCTTGATGCGAATCAAAAGCAGAATCGATCTAGACATGTTTGAAAGAAAAAAAATTTTCGAAATGTTTTCAAAGTTTTATAAGGGGTTACATCATTAAAATTGTCAAAAATTGATAAAAATTTTAATTTTTGTAAATCTTAAATTGCGAATGCAGATTTATTATTCTTAATAAAACTAACATAGAAAAGCTTTCCGATTTGAAATTAATGCTCTTTTGGCTTAGTTATGAGTTTTTTAAACTATGATTTTTTGTAAAAATTGTCATATAAAATATATCGATTTACAAATATCTTAAGCTCAGTTATGATCTATTTCCGATTCGATCCTATAATTCAATTGCAAAATCCAGTCAAAAAATAACAAAAATATTTGAGGTCAACCTCGTTAAATTCTTTGAAACTTATAGTTTAGAAACTGAATAAGTGTTAATATATTTATATTCAGCTTATAAATTAAAAAAATATGTATATGCGGTCTCATAAAATTATTATTAGCTAAACACAAATGTTATTCTTCGAATTAATAATAATATTTAGCATTTCTTTTATTTGTTCACTTTCCTTTTAATTTTCTTGACACTTGCTTTATGATTTTGAAACCATGAAACTGCAATTGCTGATTTAATCAATATGCACTTAATTAAGGAAAGATATTTTTATATCAGATAAAGCTTCAAGTACCCCTCAAATTGAGGTATGTAGGTTATGGAGACAGACTTGCTGTTTTAGTTGAATTTAACACAAGATATGATACAAAAGGAAAGCAAGAATATGTTATTATGAATTAATTTTTTAAAGACTTATTTGTCTTGTTCCAACTATTTTGAGAATTTATTTCATGATAAGCAACTAAAAGAAGTGAAAAACCAGTCATTACAAGGAAAATTCAACCCGAATCCGTTAATCCCGGCAGGAATCCTCCTCTCATCCCTTGAATTGATACGATATAAGGACATAAGCTGGCACTTACGCTTCATTGTGAATTTACATCTGGCTGGCCTGCAAAAAAAGAAGAAAATCGGGAACTCCCACTTCGAACTCTGGCTGGCGGCTAAATAATTGATTAGCCATGCCGTTTGCACATGTGTCGCATCCATCTGCACGCAGCCAATAGACCCTTTCTGGCCGCAGGGTAACTGGAATTGGGCCAACCAAGTGCAAACACCGCCCATCCCAGCCAAACCGAACTGATCCGCTGCCATATGTGACAGCGCCAGGCAAATGTCTAAAGTTTCCACGTTAAAGTTTTCATCATGTGGCGACGCCCTGGGGCAAATCAAATTTAATTCTCGCTTGGCTTCAGCTTTGCCTTTGCCTCCAACTATTTGGCATTAAGTTCGGTCTGCGGAAGGCGCTTATTATACACAATTTAAACTCACGCGAAGCCTCCAATTTTCCTGGGGCGGATCCCGTACCCTTTGCTGGCCAGTAAGAAATGCAGGCGAGCTGGAAGGAAGGAAGTTCCTAATTTTCTCGCCGGCTTTTCCCGCTTCTCCCTTTACGGCCTCTGTGTGTGTGAGTCATTTGGAATTCAGAAATATGGCAGAATGAATGTGCATTTCGGCTGGGCATTCTCCTCTTTTTTTAGTTCACTTTTAATGTGCCCCCTTTGTGAGCTTAATCCAGTTCGTTCCGGTGTGATAAATAAACAATTAGCTTACGGGACGCCAGAAGTTTCGCATTCGTTGCTCAAACTTCGCAATCGCAGGCCGACATGCATACAATATGTCATACAAAATATATATATACACACGAAAGGGCCTCAGTTGTTATTTAATAACTTATGACATTCGCGGGCTGGTTTTAAAAACTTTACTTTACAACAGCTTGGCGATAGCTAACCGTTATCATTCTTGTTTTATTGGTAGTAACAGAGTTACGGCTTTTCCATTTGCATTAAATTAAAAATTCAATTAAAAATACCATACGCCCTGTGGAACAGCTCTATCAATGTTCAATGAAGTAAACAAGCAAGTAAAGGGCATTCGGAATAGTTATCTATGCCAACTCAAATAGTCTGTGAAAGTCGGCTTATTTCCATATATATCCTATGTGTGTTTTATGTACAAATCAAGTCTTGTACGTTATGCGTTGGTGTTCCATTTTCATTTCCTGTTACTGTGCACTTTTATGGCTTATTCTGGAAAATTTATGTTGTCATCGCACACAGAGTGCGACGAAGAATAAGAAACAGCCTGGCCGGAGGCACTCACAAATCTCATCCGCTTAGCCATTACCCAGAGAAACTATAGCAACCCATGTGTAGACATATGTATACATATAGTTTATCGGTATCCGGGGCCTTGACATTTCAATTTTAATAATGTCAAATTGGCTCTAAAAAAGCAGATAACGATAATGAATAAAATCTACCACAGGACTATTGATTGGGATTTTCCATCTGCTCCCGCCTACTTTTACTTTACGAATGGTTCTCCGCCTCCTTCAAGCGCGCACATGTCCTGCCCGCCCCCTTTTTGTGTGACCCTTCCTTTCGAAGTCACCTACTTCTCCTGCCCCTCCACTGGGACAGTAATTGTTATTAATTATTATTGTTATTGATGGTGCTTGACATGCTTGGACGTATTGAACTCCAACCCTCCTACAACGGACACACATTGTTCGTCAAGAATTTCATAAATCCACTTAGCAATTTGGAGCATGCAGGGAACACTGTGAGAAATATTAACAGGCTTTTTTTTGAAGATGTTGATTAAGGGTAATCAGTAAACAATTTTCTTATATATGAAAGTTTACAATAACTTTAATATATTCTCTATATTTATTCCTACAACTAATAAGGAAATCTAGTCAGAGAATTTTAACAGAAATCTTTTATGAATAATAAAGTCTAGCTTTGCTTTTCCCACGTCCTATTTCTCCCTGTGCATGAACACGTAGATAACGACGACATGTGTGGCTATATGTGCTCTACCTGTAGTTGTCAGAAATGTCTAGGACAAAAGTCCTGTTCCACTTTCTGGGCTCGAGTTTCGAGCCTCGCAACCTAAGGCGAAGTCCAAGCCAATGCCATAGCCAAAGGGAAGGCAAAAGCTCGAGCCGACTCACCGTCAACGTGTCTATGTACTAATCATACATTATTCACGGGCACAATTTACTCGAAAAACGGCAGGAAGATAGAGCCCACCGACCGACCGACCGACCGCCCACCATAATGACTGGCAGTCGGAAGTATGTAATACAACAAAAATCGATAGGAAAGTAACACAAAAATTAAAAAACAAACTGACTAATAAATAATGACCTAGTGAAGGGACCTCCACTCTACCCGAAACACAAACAAGGAGCACAAGTTTTGTAATAAAATTTTTGACATAGGCGTGAACCTCATGGAAGACGAACGGACGGACGGACGGATGGATGGATGGGAACTAAAAAAAGAACAATAACAAAGTGAAGGCTTAGGCTTTGGAATGGCGGGCAGTAAAAAGACAAAACACGCTCGTGCAGCCAAAACGCACACACAGCAATGGAGCCAGCAGAGCCATTAAATTGAAAAACACCTTGGCCAACAGTCAGCAGCGGACTGCAGTCAAAAGGCACAAAAGCCGAGCACTTAACTTATTACACGGCCGGCATTTCATGGCAGGGGGACTACGACGAGCTGAGCCGCCACGCGGACTTGGAGCAACCAGCATGGAGCGGAAGTGCTTAGTTTGTTGGCGAAAATATGCAAGCCATTTGGTTCAGCCCCTGCCTCCTACGGTCTTTAGGTGCACTGAGAGAAGAAGGATTGTATAGTATTTTACCACATAATAATGCTTTATGGTCCTGAGAAATACATCTACAATTCTTGAAGATCATGCTGAAAAGTATGCTATGAATTATATGGGGTTTGGAGTTTATTTATGAAGATGGAGAAGTATGACCTTTTTTTAATGTATAAATTTAAACTTTACCTAAAATATATATTTTTGTTATTATGGAAATCAAAACTATACATCTATGGCACTTCTGCCAAAGATGTTTCATGTTTAAACATACCTATAGAACCATTTTTATAGATTTTATAGATAAACCATACCCATCAAATTTTAAAAGAGAAAAGACTAAAATAGAAGCCATTAAAATTGATGGCCACTAAATGTACTTTAGTATTATTAAAATTGAACATATAAAGAATGAATCCATTTATTTTCTTTACCATATAGGCATCGATAAATATTTTACATCAGAGCTGTAACTATGGAAATTACAATTTTATTTACTACTTAAATTTTATCCATTCCCAGTTATGATATTTTTCCTATATGTTCTCATATGTACAAAGTACATATATAAGTACTATATGTATGTTCTTCCGGTGGCCACGCAGCCAACTTGGGCGTTGAGAAATGGCAATCAACGCGGATGCAAATGGGGAGCATGTGGAGGTGGCTCAGGCAAAGGCACCGGCAGTGTCCTGGCCCTAGGAAGATGGTAAATTACTGGCCAGAGACAGCTGCAGCTGAGCTGCATCGGTTCGGTAAATCATCGAGATTATTGCCAAGAGAGTTAACAGGAGCTGGCAAAGCACCAAAGTCCCTGACATATGTATAAGCACACGAGTATAAGCTTTCCTCTCATGAATTTTGACTGCAATAAACATCGCGGATATATACATATATATAGGAAAATTTCAGCACCAACAGTAGCTTTGGCAAAGTCAAGTTTTTTTTTTTTTTTTTAAATCGAAGCCAATGAAGTGGCAATAATTTGAAACGCATAAAGTTTGCAAACTTTGAAATATTAACGAAGCAAATGTTGCTTTATAGTTGACTAAGTTTTGAACAGGGTTGAAGGTATATTCCCATTTAATCAAATATGAAATGCTTAAATTTAATACAAAACAAGTGCACTTAACAAAACACAATTCCCTTTATCCCAGCTTGTAAAAAATAAAATCCCTTGCTCAATTCAAGCTGAAAATATGGTAAAACTTCACCAAAGACCCAAAATAATTGGAATTTTCCAGCCAACCAACTGATATTTGCAATTTAGCAAAAAAGTTCGCCGCTCTTTGTGTGCAAAATTTCGCATTTTTCTGCTCTGTTACAGTTTGTTTTTAAATAACTTTACTTTCAAGTACACGCCGCCTTTTGTTTTTCTTTTGGCCTGCATTCGCGGTCAATTTGGCCTCAAGTTTCCCATTTTCATGTTGTTTGCTTCTACTGGCTCCTTGGCTCTTTGGGGTTTTCCCGCCCGCTCCGTTTGGCTTACTTAGCTCGTCGGCTTGTTATTTAGCTCATGGCCAAGCAAACACTCACACGCCGCACACAACGCACATCACCACCATAGACTTTAGACTCTGAAGGGGCGCACACACACAATTCAGCGATGGCAGACAGTGTTCATGACTGACCGCTGCCACGCCCCCTGCCCACTGACCCCATCCCCCGGGCTATATTGGCCACAAACTCACTCCAAAAACCCAACGTCAATTGCAGGCAGAGTTTTTCTCTGTCCTGTCCGAACGCACTCTGCATAAATGCAATTGCATTTGTCTCTGGGCACAGAGAGAAATGGGATCAAGGTTGTGGGATTAAGAGAATTCACTTCTTGAAATATTAAAAGAATATATATATATCTGATTGTGGCATTAAAATTGTTTATTGACAGATGGGGACATAAGAATATAAAGTAATTAAAGCATTCTTTTAAAGACTTTTATATATAAAATGTTTAAAGAGTTAAAGTTCTTCATCTTTTCTTATTATACCCTTGGAGAGGATTATAATATCAGTCAAAAGTTTGATCAGTAAATACCTATAATCATTAATTAACTATGAATAGTAAGTTTCTATGACCAGTAAGTATCTATAATCAGTGAGTATCTATGATTAGTAAGTATCTATGACCAGTAAGAATGTATGTATGATCAGTTACTAACTTTGAACACTAATAAACAATGACTTGCACCTTTTGTAACACAACACATTTCTGAGACCTGGCCGGCAGCAGTCACTTCGTTCCGGGGATGTTAGAACAGGTTGGGAATCATATGCCCATATGTGGGAGACTTGTTTTGCAGTTAAGAGCAAGCTATTTGATTGAAACTATGCAGTTATTCTTCTATATAATTTTAATAGTGTATAAGTCGGAGCATGGCGATCCGGTGGACTATATATATACATATATATAGGTGCCATAGGAACAATAGGACGACTTATAGAACTATGATCAGTAATTAAATATGAACAGTAATTAGCTATGAGCAGTAAGTAACTCTGAACAGTAAGTATCTATGACCAGTAAGTAACTATAATCAGCAAGTATCTATGATCAGTAATTAACTATGATCAGTAAGTATCTATGACCAGTAAGTAACTCTGAACAGTAAGTATCAATGGCCAGTAAGTATGTATATATGATCAGTTACTAACTTTGAGCACTAATAAGCCATGACTTGCAACTTTTGTAACATAACACATATCTGAGACCTGGCTGGCAGAAGTCACTTCGTTCCGGGGATTTTAGAACCAGTTGTGAATCATATGCACACATGTGCAAGGTTTGTTTTGGAACAAAGAGTAAGCTATTTGAATGAAACTAAAGAGTTTTTGTTCTGCATAATCGTACTAGTATATAAGTCGGATCATGTCGAATCGGTGGACTATATATAACATATATATATAGCTTCCATAGGAACGATCGGAAAATTTAAAGAGAAAAATTATAACTTTTCCAGTTCTTAACCGATTTTCATCAAATTCGATTTATAGCCATTATATATTAATCTTAAATTTTGTGTAAATGTTATGAAAATCAGACTTTTATATCATATAGCCTATAGCACCTAAACTTTAATTAATATATATTTGAAGATACAGCTTAAAATTCCCTTAAACCTCACTTAATACAAATTTAGACTCATAACTACAATCCGAGCTTTAAGATAAATATATAATTCGTGTTTTTAATATACCATCTTTGACTTTATTGACATTTGAAATGACTTTAAAGGTATAATTGTCTTTCAATAAAATATATAAATAAGAAGGTTTAAAACTTGATACACAAACATTCTCTTACGGTGCACTTGAGAAGCCTTAGCCAGTTGTGAGGACCTTTTAAAACCCGTCAGTTTGGTTGGTAAGTGAGGCAAAGTGTGCTTTGCCGTCATTTAGCCAAGTCAAGTGGCCAAGTGAATTGAGTTTTAGCTTTGTTAGTGGTACCTACCTGTCATCCGTTGGCTTGTACGTCACAACGTACTTCTCGATGGGATGTGCCTTTAGATCGATTTGCGTCTGCCACGACACACGGACCGCCGTGGGCGTCAGAAAGGTGACGGTTATGTTCTCCGGCGTAGCCGGAATGGTGCCTGTTATAACAATAATTGCTTGTTATTATGCTATTATCCCCGGTAAATGCTTATATATACATATATATATTGAATATGGGAACGAGGAAGAGTATATAGTAATTCAGAAGCGACAGCCAAGTTAATGCGTCTGGGGGATTAACTGGGCAATGTGGTTGGAGCCGTGTCGTAAAAGACATCAGCCCCCTAAGTTGGGTCATAAAATTATCAGCTTTTCGGCTTTACTTCAAGTCCTCTTTTGGGCCAAAAGAAGCGCAGATTAGATGTGACAGTCTGCCCTGACCCATTCTGTCAATCAGTTATCAATTGACCAGTCTGGGGTAAGTCTGGCTCTTTGTCAAATAAATTTAATCAATTTTAACAGCTGGCTTTTTGCCCCTATCAGCTTTGATTTCGTTTAACGAAATATTTGTCAGAAACTGTATTTATTTTAAAGTGATTATAAAAGTATATTTAATTATAAAGGGATTTTCTCGAACACTGTATTTTAAACATCAATCAATTTATTTGGCAAGACATTTGACCTACTTAGCTTAGGCAATAAACTACCTAATATTTATTTTTGTGGAAGTATTTTTAGTGAATTTTATTGCCTAAGCGAGTTGGCCAAAACAGTCAACAGAAGATTAGCAAGAGAACTTATGAATGCTTTTCAGTTAATCATTTACTTTAAATAGTATAGCATATTAATATATACGTATACGTATTTCATTTATAAAGTAATATTTTAATAATAATAAATGTTGGATTATTAGGTAATTCATTGCTGATTGAGTAGTTTCTTTTAGGTACTTATATATATTGTCTATTTTTATTTTCTTCTGCTATTATTTTACTATTAAAAACACTAATTTAGACATTATATATTAATGCAAAAATATCAAATAATAATATTTAATAATACGTAGACGTGATATGTTATTTTTTCTTTGTAAACCTTCACAGGTATAAACTTAAACTTGAAACTTTAACGAAAATTATAGATGAATGGCTTCAGTGCCTTCGATAAATCAATGTATTGAGTTATTTATAGACTTTTAACAACTAAAAACTACTATTTTGTCAATATTTATTAATGCAAACATATGAGCAAACCAGAAAGCAAACTTGTTAATATGTTTTTAAAATATTAATTAATTTCTTTAATATTTTTTAAAAATTAATTTATTATTAATTTGATTCAAAGCACTTCTGTAGCCTTGATTAATGCAAAAATATCTAAAAACAACAAGTAAACGTGTTATTTATTTTATTAAACTATTAATTTATTTTACCATTGGCCCTAACTCATTGGCAACCTTATCTTTGCCATAAAAAAAGAAAACAAATACTTATTTTAGTAGCTAAACTAGCTAAAAATAAACCCAAGCTTGGACACAAACAAACCAACGATAACTATTGTTTGCCTTATACACAGCTGGAGTAAATGTGTTTATTAAGGCCCCCAGAAAAAGAGCTGGAACTGGAGCTAAAGCTTGTGCTGGAGTTACTTTTCGCAAATCCGCAACATTGTCGCTAGAGGAAACTGGTCTTACGACCCTAAATTCCGGAACTGGGAGCAGGATAGTGGATACCAGAGGGAAAAGGGAGCACTACTTACCCGCCAGGCAAGCGTTAACAAACAGCACGGCTATGAACACAAACATGCTTCCTCCGTACGAATCCGAATCTGCTCGCCTTTGTTGTTTCCTCAGCTGCTTTCGGCGGCTGCTTCTCTATATATTTTCCTGTTTCCCTATTTCCCAGTGGGTGGGCGGCGGCGTTTCCTCTTTGCTAGGGTTTCCGCTTGGCTAATTCGTTGTTGCAGTTTCGTTGCGGTTTTTGCCTTTGTCAAATAGTTGCTGCTGCTGTTGCTGTTGCTGCTTTGTTTAAAAATAATCTAACTAAACATAAAAATCAGTCTTGCTTTAGTCCAACACGCACACACACACACACACTCCTCCTTCCTTTTGTTTAATCAATTTCTGAAGTATTTAAATGTTTAAATATGTTGAATTGTTGCTCAATTGTGCCGCTGCAGCTGTTCGATTGCCATTTCCATTTCAATTTCCGCTCGTTTAGTGCCTGGCTTTCCTGCTAATTGACTTTGTCAATGACATTTGCATTAAATTTCCTCCAGCTCTGATATATTTATGTCCTTGTGGTGGGGAGGCGAATTTATGCGTGTATATTTTTATAACACATTTTTATGGGTCTCGAGCTGTAGCTGGATCCTAACTCTGGGTGTGGGTATGGGTCTGGAGCTGGGGCTGGGGCTGGGACTCCGTGTGCGCGTCCGTCTCTTCAGTGTGTCTCTTGTTTGAATCGTCATCGAATCGAATCGCATTTGATGAACGTTCCGATATAGTGAGCTACTTTGGGGAAGTTTGGTGAGGGAGCGGGATATATATTCCAACAGTTCTTGCTCTGTGTTTCGTGCTCAGTTCAACTGGGGAATTATTCACATTGCGTTCACTTTTTGTTTCTATTTTTTTGTTGTTGGTGTTTGTGTTATATTTGTTGTACTTGCTGTATTTGTATTTTCTGTTCTTCTGTGGTTTTGTGTTATTATTCCTGGCTGCTCATTGCTTTTCGGTGTTTGTTTGCCGCCGCTGCTACTTGGGCTTTATAAAAATCAATAACAAAAAGCAACTTTTTGTCTGACAGCCGTTGATTTGGATGGCAACCTAAGTGAGTTTTTGTTTCTGTGCTTCCGTTTTGTGTTTCTATTGAGGTTTCAATTCGGTTTCGGGTCTTTGGGTATTTGGGCTTTGAGCTGTGCTGTGTGTTGGCCTATACGAAAATTAATTCAATGCGAAGGCCCCCGGGCGACCACCTGCCACCTGCCACCTGCCACCTGTCGTCGCCGTTGCCAATGAGTCGAGTCCCTTCGTTTCTCAGCTGGATTCCTTTGTAATTTCTTTGGTTTCCTGCTGCTGTCGCCTTTTATTTAGTTTGATACATTTCGTATTTTGTTAACAATTTCGGCATAATTGCCAAAGCGTTTAGGCCGCATTGCCGCACCGCTCTCTCTCTCTTCGTGTGGGTATATGATGTTTTTTCTGTTTTGATTTCGATATTTGTTTTTACTTCCCTTTGGCGGCTTGCGGTTAATTATGGCCCCGCTTTTGTTATTGTTTTTGCGTTGAACTTTTCGGGCTTGGAGCGAGAGGAGGCTGTAATAAATCAGAATGGCATTAATGGGCCTGAGGCAAAATATGCGCATATATATAAGTACATATATTTGTGCAAAAACTATACTATGTGTGCGTGGCAACATTTACATTAATTATAATGAGATGTGTTTTCGGCTCAATCACAATTAAGCGTACAACGGTTCATTCGTTATTCATTAACCGGATCAAAAACAAAAAAAAACATTGTAAGGAAAACAGAATGAAAGGCAATTACATTATGTGCTGCATACTTTACGGGGCCGTTTTAATTGGCATTGCGCATACGCCATGGGGGCCGCCCCAAAAACTAACCGCACAGACACACGCTTACACACACACGCACACTGCATATCTAATGTGTTGTACATAATCCCATATTCAATCCATGCTTCATCTGCTGCAGACAATTCAATTTGTGGATTGTCCTCCCTCGATCATGCGTGTGTTATGTGGGAATTTGCCTTTTCCATTTTCCTGCTTTTCTTGTCTTTCCTGCCTTTCGATTAGTATGCACGGCTGGAAACTATGTGGTTAACATGTCTGCGGCTCGTGTTTTCCCCTCTCCTAATAGTTTTCACCACACGCCCCATCCAACCTGTTGGCCATATAAATTTTGAGTCCTGTTTGCTGTGATTTTGCGCCTTTTGCAGTGCAAGGTAAACCAATAACGTGTAACACAAGCACAAGTGCCAGCAATATTTCCCCTTTTATTGGCAGTGTAAAGGAATATAGTACCCAGAGGACTCTTACCGATGGCACTTACTGGGAAAACCAATTGAGGAAAGGGCCATCAAAGGCCTGTAAAAAAAAGGGACACGCTCTTTATGGGGCAACTTTGAAAACAAAAAGTCCTGTGGAGACCAAGAATTTCATGATGGCCACAAATCTGTTCCCCTAAACGTGTCGATTGTGTTTGGATATTTAAAATTTACGCAGCATAAAAGTTGGCCAAAGTTTGACAAATACTTGTGAGTACAAAATCCATAAGGTCTAGGGCATTTAAGAGTCGTTGAAACTTTGTTATGTTGCCTGCCATGTCCAGCGGTATTAGCCTAAGTGACTGATAATCTTTTAATACATCAAATTGTTACAACTTTTAATCATTTTTCCAAACAAAAAATGAGCAATTGCACTTAGGTAAATAACTTCAGTTAGCAGCTGTCATGGCCAATATCAGCATCTTGAAGTGTCCGACCACGCCCTGCCTTAATTTCCGCCTCTTGACCGCTCGCCACCCGGCAACCGCTCGATAGCCATTAAATTTATGCATTTATGTCTCATTTTTCGTCGGACGAGAAGACCCTTAAAAGTTTTATGAACTTTTGGCATACACTTTGGCATGCTTGAGGCTTTCGGGGCAAAAGATAGCGCCAGGCCATGAGAGAATGTGTAATGAGTGAGCGCACACGCTTTGCAATTTAAATGATAATTTTTTGTTCGTTGTTGTACGCAGTAAGAAGTAAATAAGGAATTAAATTTAAAAATTCCAAGGCAGTGGATTTCATTAAAGGAGGGAGAATAATAAAGCAGGACCCAACCAGTGACACCAACACATGATGGCAAGGCGCGGAAGGAGTGTGGCTAAATGCCAACAAAGCTGCAGTTATCATAAAATGCAAATTACATTTTTCTTATTCTGTAAAGCTATTAAAATTAAATAAGATTTTACTAAATCAGAGAGAAATAAGGAGGCGATGGGTAAGGTAAGTTTTAGTTATTATGTTGATTTTCAAAATGATTGATATTGAAATTGGGAGCAAAGTGGAAAATTGAATGTATTTTGTATTATTAAAATTCTTTAATAGAATCAAATATGAAGTTAATAAAGTACTTGAGAATAAAACACCTAGCGGTAGATTTGTTAACATAAAAGACAATACAACTACATTAAAATCTAGCTTGAGTAATTGATAGTATTCAATTGTACTTGGAATTACAATAAAAAACAATAATACAAAAATTATAGAGTGCCCTAAATGTTACCCGAAATTGGTGTCTGTTGTCAATGTCATTATTTTAAAGCAATAAAGAAATTAATTTTTAATTCCCTACACATGTCCTTACATACATATATAAAAGCGAACGTATAAACGTCATTAAAACTGGGAATAATAAAACTGAATTAAAAACAAGGTGACGCATGGCGAGAGGGAAGGGAGGGATATTGGGTGGAAATTAGGGAGCGAGTGCATGCATTCCCGCAATGGCAAATAAGTAGGTGGAAGCAGTTATCGTAAAATGAAAATGGCGGCTAGTACGCGCTGTCGCTTTCGCTTTCGCCACCGCTCTTAATTATAGCGACGTCACATGCACAAACACACACACACACACACAAATAAACCGCATAAACACACAGACACATAATCGCACACTCTCTTAGTCCATATACAGGGGCTTCAGTTGATAATTTTTTATTGCATACAGTGCGGCGCGGAAGCAAAGAGAGAGAGAGAGAGACAAAAGGGAGCTCCTTTGGCATTTTGCGGCTCCTGTGTTTGGCTTTGCTGCCAACTGGCTTTGCTCAGTATTGTCAGAGACTGGCAGACAATAAATCAATCAGCTGAGCCAACATCAAATTCCTGCGCAGACAATGCTCCTTTGCCATCTATATGCCAGCATAGTGGCGTAAGCGCGCTTTGGTGTGTGTGCGCTATTAACAAAAAGGTCAACTTAGCCGCTACAATTGAAGCCGAACGTTTAGAACGGAAGGAGGGAAGCCGAGGAGCGGCGGGTAGCCGCTGAAAATTGGGGAAAATGGAGGAAAAAGGCTTGCGCTCAAGCTTTTACACCAGTGCACACTTGCCAAAAAATAGGTGTAGTGTTATTTGGCAATTATTTCAACGTTAAAGATTAGGCTAGGACCACATTGCGTATGTGTAATATTTTTTTCTTATATATCTTGGAGTCCCACGTTGCGTATGTGTAATATTTTTTGTGATATATTTTAGAGACCCACGTTGCGTATGTGTAATATTTTTTTGTAATATATTTTGGAGTCCCACGTTGCGTATGTGTAATATTTTTTGTGGTAAAAATATTAAGCTCCTGATTAAAATTATAATACCCTGCAAGGGTACATTTTGGAATTTCAAATAGGCCCTAGAGTTTCTCCCAGTGTAACCATATCGTGCTGATAAGTGTGTGTATGTGTTTGTGCACATCCATGTAGAGAGAAAGAGAAAGCAAAATAACGGGCGAGCGCATGCTATTATATCCTGGCTTGGTTGTAAAAAAACCAAAAAGAAAACGCTAGAGAAAATAAGGGAAAACACTTGACTCCAATTTCAGCGAGATTTTCAGCAGCAGCTCTGCTGGCAAGGGAATGCGATGGAAAAACGAGGAAAACGCGGATGCAGGGCTGCCAAGTAAAGAGTGATAAAAAATTAAGCGCGAAATGGCAGGCTCAAGTTGGCTTTAATTGAATACTACTTTCAGCTTTAACCTGACGAAAGAAAGAACGTGATAAAATAAGAATAATTAGAAACAATGAAAGTCTATCATAGCGGAATTTTTCCGTTTGTTCAGCAATTTCCCCTTTTTCTTTTGTAGTGTTTTGTCTATGGGTCCCCTGAACTTTTAAATAGAAAGTTTAAAAGTTGTAAAACTAGTCTAAAGGTTGATGCAATCTAAGGCAATGTAGGAAACTTTATACCACATAATGTAAAAATAAATGCAAAAATAGAAGACCTTAGAGAAAAGCCCATGAGAGTTTGATAATGTTGGGAGTATACTAATATTTTCTAGAAAAGCAAAAAAGTTGAAAGAAATCTCTACAAGCCAAAATAAAAGTTTTTATTACATAAATAAAGAAATTGCTTGTACCAAAAAAATGTCTAAAACTTGAATATGCTTTTGGTTGCTAGGTTAAGCTGGATTTTTTTTAAGTTTGAAAGTTTTGAGCTATAAAATTCATAGAAACTAAAAAAAATGTGTCGTTTTGACTACAAAATTTCGTAGAAAATCCTAGAAAATATTTGTCTGTCTACCAACAAACAAAAAGGAAAATCGTTTTGATGCAATTAAAGTCTTTTTTCTTTTATAATTTGGTTAAAGACGGATAACTTTTGAACGCAAGAAAAGGCATCTGAAAGTTTCAAGAACATAGTTTGAGTTCTGACGACAATTAAGTTATAAAAATAAAGAAGAATAAAAAAGCAGAATGAAAAGAAAAACTGCATTTCAATCATATATATACGACTTATTTTTATTATTTATTGCTAGCCAGGACAAAAAATTTGATAAAAAAAAGTTAAGTATAAATACATTCCGAACTATTTAAACTTAGAATATAATTTTAAATTATCAAACCAACAGTAAAATGTATATATCCTATATAAAAAGATATTTAATATATAAACCAAATACCCAATATATATTATTTCAATTAATCACAATTAACACCTCCTGTGTATTACGCATATGTAGGAATTTTATTTATGAATGAAAATCAAAACCAAAAACACATTTCAAACACCTGAAAATTCAGCAAGAAAATGAGTAATTTTGTAAAATTGAACTCACTGGTTTAATGAACTTTTTGATTGATTTATTTACAATTTTGAAATGGGGTCCCCTGCCTGGCGATGTTTACTTTTATGAATATGTATTTACAAACGCATTTTGTTTATATTTACGGATGGGCTAATGGCACCCAAACAACTTCCAGCGATGAAGAAATTTACATATTTAAGCGGCCAAACTCTGCGGCATTCGACGGTAGTCCAAAAATACCGGGAGCAAGTCGTGCCCAATATATATAGAATCGACTGCATATATATATATATATGTATATATCTAGGAAAGGAACAGTGCCACATGGTGTGGCAGTGGTGCAGTGCACGCAATGCGGCGGCGACTGTGGTTGCGACGGATTTAAATTTAAATTTGAAATGAACATTACGCTTTCCGGGCATTTTTGCAGAGCCGATTTTCCTCACATTTTCTTTCATTTGACCTGTTCTAGTTTTTGCGGTGAATGTGCGGATATTTACTATGTATAGGTTTATGACTGCCTCTGTGTGTGTGTGTGTGTGGTATGCCTTTGTTAAAAACGATTTGTTTATAACAAAGATCGGCTATTACGTGCGACTTGCTATGCCTCGAATGGATGGCCAAATGATGGCAAATGGGGGCAAATAAAATGTGGAAGGCGCTTTGGGGGAATTGAGAGATGAAAAAGATTTACGGCGGTGCAAGGGCGCTGAATTAACCCACACACGAAAATTCAAGACACAAGTTCACAAAAACAAAAACAAACGCAGGTTAATTGTTAAATTCGTTGCTTATTTGCGCAAATAAACGAAACAGGGAGCATTAAAATTACTTTTTAATTGCCACACAGCTGCGTCGTCGCCGACTTTTCATTGGGCCGAGTTGAAAAGACTGACAGAGTCCATTAGGCCATTTTCCGTTTCATTTCATTTTCGCTTTCGTTTTCATATCACTCTTGGCCTGGCTTCGCTTTTCTTTGCTTTACTCTCTCTTGTTTCCTTTTTCCTTTTTGGGTTTTTGGTTTTTGCAATTTAATTGGCTTAAAATTCCAGTGAGAAAAGCCGCAAAAGGACTCGGGCAGGACTCGAGCCTTGGTTTTCTCCCCAGCAATTGTTAATTGAGCGACTGTCGCAAAAACACCTGCCAGGTACACAGTAAGTCAAGGAACTGCAATAATTCCTTGGGTATATATTTGAAAACTATTACAATTTTATGGCCAATTTGAGACATTTGAATAAATGGTATATTTATCTAGGAAAGTCTTGGTAAAAAATTTAGGTATTAGTAAACAGGGAACGAATAAAGGTTTTCACCATGTCCTTTACACATTTCAATGAATGGAAAATAGCTATTTACAACTTTAAAAAGTTTATTTTTAACCAGCATTGGTAATTTAATTCCTTATTTGTAAACAAGAAGCGAATGCTTAAAATTATGTCTGTTAAGGCGAGTTATAAACAAAGCTAGGGGATTATAAATCTCTTATTTTAAAAACCTATTTTAAATTAAAATTTAAAAAATAAATAATAGTACATAAAACATATAAAGGTTTTAAGATGTAATTCAATTTTGAAACCCAGAGGAGTGTGTTTTAAAATTTTTTAAAATCTTAAAGATTTTCTCTATATATTTATATTTAACCGAACCCTTTTCTTGTTATATTTTAAAATATTCTTAATTTTTTCCATGTGTACAATTAACTGCTTTAACCGGGACCCTTGAAACACTCGCAAAAACACACAACACACTCACAAACAATGCGAAGCAGCTCTCAAAAGTTACACGCACACAAACACAAAAGTTACAAGTGAGTTTTGGTTTTTATTTACTTTTTGCCGTCGGACTCTGGTTTAACCGGCTCAGCCGCCACCTGCTAGTGACACGCCTCTCCGGCTCGCCGCCTCCTCCTGTGGATCCCAGTCCCAATCCCAATCCCTACTCCAATCACAGCTGAAAGCGCGTGCATCCGGTGATAACGCCGAAAAACAAACACTTCACTGCGCTCAGGTAGTTCTTTTCTCTGTTGTCTTTTTTCTCGGTCGGTTTAATTTGCTCTGCGCTGTGCTATGTGTAGCCTTTGTCACTGTCACTTCCGTTTCCGTTTCCGATTGCTCGTTGTGCTGCGGCCGACGCGAAAACTACTACTGAATTGGACAGAGCACAGCCCGCAAGCAAACCGAAAACAAAACTCTCAGCCAAGAGAAAGAGAGAAAGCTTTCGTCGACTGATTGTGTTGGCAAATTGTTTAGCTTTTTTATGGTCAAAATGAAGGTGGAAATACCAGGTAGCCGGTCGAAGTTAAACGATTCTATAACCAACTACAGAAGCCCATCATAAGTAATAACTAAAATCATCAGCAAGTATGAGTCTTGGGGTTATTAAATTGTTGTATCATATCATAAAACATATGACTTATAGACTTATTTATTTTAATCTATATAAATTTGTACATATATTTTTACCCAACCTCAACTAAATAAAGTGTTTCAAATATTGAAAGCATCCTCTTCATTTACCTTATTTAGATTGCAAGGGAAGGATTAGGTATGAGGTTTCTCTCTGAAGGATATGTTTTATTCATAGCATCGGTGTTTTGATAGTGTAGCCGACACAGGCTGTACAAACTACCCACTGCACTTTTCTTTACATTTAAACAATATGTTGTAATGCACAATCTCTAGAATTATGTTTAATGAAAAATGTAAAGCTTAAGAATTTATTGTAGACAAAATATTTTGCTTCTTCATTCTACTTATAACACCTTTAAAAATTAATATGTTTATAAGATATATGAAAACTTTCCTGTAACTTTAATACCTATCTTGTAACCCAAACTTTCTGTGAATATTTAAGGCAGAAAAAAGTGTTTGTCTGGCCTGAAACCATTAATCAAATTGTTAAAAAAAAAAAAAAAAACCCCATACCAGTTTGCCAGACCCATACCCATGCCCAAGTAATTTCCCAATTGGGTGAGCTCAAACCATATTGGGCATCTCCAACTTGTAGGATTGTGGACACAAAAGCTCTCTCGTGCAAGTATTTTCCCCCGCTGGGGCAAGAGTGCTTCAGTGAAGAGAGGCCGAGCAGCTTTTCTTTAACTAACAATTCCTTGTGTTAGGTCGTGTTCGCTGTGCCAAGGCGACGATTGTCTTTGGCCTCTTCGGGGGAAATTTTGGGGGATGTGAAACAATATTTGGGGGACTGCCTGACTGACTGACTGACTGACAGACAGACCCATATTCCGAGTCAAAATAAAGAGAAAAAGAAAGGCGCATTGCCAGAGTTCAAGTGCGATGGCTTTTTGTTTTTTGTTGGCCAGGAAACGGGGGCCAATTCCAACGGAAATTTCAGTGTTGTTTTTAGCAAGCGCTTAACTTTGTTTCCGTCTCCGTCTTCGCCTTCCCGCTCATCTGTTGGTTTAAATTAAAAGCATACTTAGCGGCGTTTAATTACTTATTCATGGACGCTCGCGGCCAAGCTCTGATTGGAATAGAGCCTCCTCTTCACTCTTGTTGTTGTTAGGTTCTCCTCATTACGGATGCCATGGAGTTAACTGTCGGGTGGAAAAATAGGCCGAGAGTTCCGTTCCCTAACGGTTCCCAAGTTCCCCAAGTTGTTTGATCGAATTTCAGTACTCTCCTCGGCTTGTCGTCTGTCTGCCTCTCTGCCAGTTTAAATTGTAATCCCGCGCCGTGTACATATATTTTTTATTAAACCAGCAATCATGGATGAGGTAAAGCGACCTTCACTGACCAACAGCACGGTGACGATAAGGCCACGGCTTATCTACGGACTGCGGTCAGATGTGATTGGCAACATTCACTTTAATCTCAACAAGGAGGTCATCTATCCAGTGGAGGGAGTCCTGGCCTTCCACGATTACGTACAGAACAAGCAGAGGTTTCTCAGGTGAGTGGTGCGTATTCTCTAAGCGATTTAGTTACTCCTCATAGTATTTTGTATCCTACAGATTTCCTGAGGATACCCGACCGGAAGTCATAGCCATAAGCTCGCATCGAAAATTGCTGGCGGTGCTGGAACGACATTCAAAGAAGTTAGTATAGGTTTATGTACACAGTTAAAAGGAGGAAGTTGACCTATAAATTATAACCCTTCTTTGTTACTCCTCTCTAGTGGCCGATACATATCCGTTTATGAGTTGTCTACTCTTAAGAAGCGTCGTCATCTAGAGCTGCCCAGCAATCATCGCAATGCCGATATTCAGCAGATGATTTTCACCATTGACTCTAGAGCGGTGGCATTGGTCACCCGTCCCCCAGAGGAAACTATTATCATGTTGGTGCTAGACAAGACAAGCACCGTGCTGGAGGCAAGAGCCACAATACCAGGATCACATGGAGGAGCCGAATGCATTGCTGGCAATCCGGCTGATTGCAGCTTTTTGGCCGTAGGCGGTGATCGCACCCTGCTGTTGATGAGCAAGTCGGAAAGGGGTTTCAGCATAAGCAACAATCTGAAGGTCAAATACAGGGTTACCTCGATGGCTTTCCTCTCGATGGACCTGCTAATGGTGGGCACATCAGATGATCAACTGATTCTTGTGGAGAACGGTGAACAGAAACTGGCGCAAAAGGCCAGCGATGCGGACACTGTGGATCTTATGATCGATCAGGAAATATTCGATCGAGATCGAGAGATGCAGGATCACCGATTTCTGCCAACTCAGACGATTAGTCTGGCGGATAAAAGAGTCCTCTGCATGACTGCCTTTCCCAAAGGATTCGCCTATATCATTTTTAATAGAGCCTTTGTTTTTGAGCGAGTTTCCAAGTTCAAGTTCGAGAGAAAGACTATTCTGACGGTGCCAACGAATCTGTATGCGGAGCACATGTACCAGATCCGGAATCTAGCCATTGATCACAAACAGGAGACCGTAATCGTGACAACGGCTCATTCGCAGATCTATGTGGGTATACTCATAGTTCCAGAGACTTTAAAGACCAAGCAGTTGAAGTTTGAACCCCTGGGAGTGCTCATTCATACGGGGGAAATCATCGCCATTTCGGTGTGTGCCTGGAAACCGATTATTATGACTGCCTGTGAGGATATATTTCCATTTAGTTTCTGTTTCTATCTAATTTAATAATCTTTTGCAGCCAGGGATCAAACTATAAGGATCTGGAACTATGAGACTGCCTTGGTAGAGCTGGTACGCAAATTCCAAGTGGATGTGAACATTGTGGAGCTGGGTCTCACGGGTCAAATGGCGGCCATTGGCTTCTCCGATCAGCTGCGTGTTACCCAGATCTTTATGGATGATCTTAATGTGAGTTTCTCCTTAAAAATATCGCACATTTATTATTTAGTTTAAAAGATTTAAATAGTCAAGCTTAGTTAAGAAGAATTTCGTTGGAAGAAAGTGATCTTTAACCTCTTTTTTTCTCCTTCTCAGATTGTGAAGACCTACAACTTCCCCCATTGCAATGCCGTGCGTTACTCCAACTATGGACACTTGATGGCCGCTGCGTATGACAACAATATAGCTGTCACCTCTGTGTACACGCTGGATGTGGTGATCAACCTGAAGGGTCACAATGGCACAGTCCTCTCCGTGGCCTGGTCACGAACGGATAAATTCCTGATCTCTGGCGGGGCGGAGGGGGCCATTTACCTCTGGGATATTGAAACTGGAGCGCGTGTGCAGGAGATTGTGCAGAAGGGCACGGAATATATCACCGTCTCGTGCAGCTTCAATGAACCTCTGACGATATATGCTGGCACCAGCTTTGGAACGATCCGGGAGTTCCAGAACTCCAGTCTAGTGCGAGAGATAACTATACCATCGAGAAACAAAGGTTCTGTTGCGGACATGTGCCTGGCCAGGTCGGATCTGATTATGTTTGTGTCCGATCATGAAGGCAACCTGTTCAACATGCAGCTGCCGTTCCTGGAGGCAGGAGGTGGAACATTCACCAACTTCCGCTTTTTCGATGGGCCTGTAAATAAGATGCGCTTCTCCTATTGCGGCACCATGCTGTTTGCCATCTCCAGCAAGGGCACGCTGGCCATCTGGGCAATGGACAACATCGAGGGCAAGGTGGCCCACATGGACCAGGACCTGATGCGAAGCCAGGAGGTTTTGATACCGCGCAGCCAGCTCAATGATAAAATAGAACAGATAGCCAACTTGGAGCTCCGACTGAAGCAGCAAGCAGAGGAGTTCCAGTACCAGTTGAGTCAGAACGAGATCTTCGACGGCCAGCAGTTGCAGGAGGTGCACAGGAGCTACTGTTCGGCGTTGGAGGAGCTCAAGGAGTTGAACAACGAAATCGAGGCCAGGCATACTGAGGAGATGAACCACATCACGTTCCAAATCAATGCCCTGCGGGAGGAGCATCGCGTTCAGCTGGACACTCTGGCCAACCAGTATTCGGAGAGAATGCTGATCGAGTACCAGAAGTTCACCAATCTCCGAGAGAACATGTTGGAACTGCGCGAGAGCTACGAGGAAAAGCTGAAGAACTCCACGGGAACGTTGCAGGATACGGTTGAGGCCCTGGAGAACAATTATAAACAGCAACTGAACGAGCGAAAGGAGCTGATCCGCGACCTGATGAAGGAAATGCAGGACAAGAAGTCCGAGTTCATCGAGTACTGCCGCGAGGTGGAGCTGGAGAACGATCGCAACATGGTGTCCACCCAAACGGAGTACGAAAACAAACTCACCACGGAGCGAAATGAAACTCAGATGTGGCGCGGTAAGGCTGGAGTGCTACAGAAGAAGTTCGAAGGCCAGAGTCGCGAGATCGATGGCCTCCTCGAAGAGGTCGAAATTCTTAAGGAGGAGCACCACAAGTCCCAACGGAACATCCTAAAACAGATGCGAAACATAGAGGAACTGCAAAAGGATATATCCGATCGGGACTACGCCATCAACGGCAAGGAGAAACGCATTCAGGACCTGCTGCACAAGAACCAAGAGCTGGACAAATACAAGCAGGTGCTGGGCCACAAGATCGCAGAGCTCAAGGCCCAGATAGAGCCGCGCGAATTTCAGATTAACGACAAGCGTAAGCACATTATCGAGATGGAGGCAGAACTGGAGGGACTCAACCAGAACAATGTGCAGCTAGAGTTGCAGCTGAAAGAGATGCGCGACAAGTATCTGAGTAATATGACCGAGCTCCGGACGGAGCGTCATCGGGCCAAGGCCTCCAGGGAGTGCCTGCATGCCATCTGCTCGGACATTTACTACGTGGCCGGGGAGATTAACTCAACCGAGGGACTAAAGAAAGCGGTACGGGAGCTGTTCCGCAAGCATGCCTCAGACGACGAGCTAAAGAGATTTGTGTCCCTGGACGCGGAAGTTAAGGACGAATTCATGCGTCAGCGTAAGCAGATCGAGAACGTCTTAGCCAAATACAAGTCAGTGGCCGAGGACAAGACTGTGCAAAGGAAATACGACAAGCTTTTCAAGGAGAACCTGGTCCTGATCGCAGAAATAGAAAAACTGACCGATAGCAACAAAGCTCTGCGCAATAAAGTTAAGGAGGACGCCGGACGCCGGCCGACGAAGATTTAATATAAGGACTCTTTCTCTCTTTTTGGTTCCTGATCGAAAGCATAGTCTATAAAAATATGTATTTCACACTGGACATTAGACTTATCGAGATATTTAGTTGAACGGCTATACATACATACATATACAAAATGGCATTTGGTTTCGATTTGATTTTGTGTCTAGGCCTCCACTAGGACTTTCTTGGGTTTGCTGCTGATTGCTTTGGTCTTTGCGGGCTCCTCGACGGATTCGCTTTCCGCCGCAGCAGGCAGATCCTCGGTGGGCACTTCGGGCAGCTGGATGCCCTTCTGCTGCTCTTCCTCTGCTTCAAGGGCATCCAATTCTGCCAAGACATCCTCCTCGTCCTGCGTGGTCAGCACGTCTGTCAGTATGGCGTCTATTTCTTGCTGCTTCTCAATGCCCTCGCGAGTTTCGTCCATGATTCTTTCCACCTCGTCAATGTCCAGCATTTCGTGAACCTTCTTTAGGGCCGCATTACCGGCCTTCAGCCCATCCAGCACCTTCATCTCCACCTGAGCGAACTCCAGGTCGGCGGCCAACTTCTCCAGGTTCTCTAGCTGTTTGTCGGTATTAGTCAGAAGACTTTCCTGGTACTTCTTTTTGCGTAGCAACAGCTTGGCCCGGCTGCAAGAGGATTTCAAGGGTTATTTGAACCTAATATAAAATAATCGGTGATGTATTTACTCCTTGCGACCCTGCTGCAGGCACTTCCTGGCCATAAGTCTGTCATTCTCCAATTGCGTTTCAATCCGTTTCTGGTACTGCTTCAGTCGATCCCTCTGCTGCTTCAATTGCTGCAATGGGAAAATTGTCAGGGTCTTAGAAGCGGCCATCAGGTGTGGAAGGTTCCCTTGACTCACCAGCACCGCCTTGTCCTGGTCGGTAATCCGGCTAATGGCCGGTTTTTTGCTGTTTTTCCCAAAAAATGCCCCCATGACTAATATTAAAAATCTTCTTCTTCCGTTATTTGTTGACATTCGATGGGACGTTATCGTTCGATTAGTATTTTTTCGATAGCAGTAATTCGATATCATGAGTATTATTTAGTATTTTTTGATAGCATTAAATCGATACTCAATAAAATAATACTACTACAAAAAATATATTTAAAAAATATAAGCAGCAATTTAACAGTCCTAAGTTTGTTTAAATAGCTTAAACAACTTGTAAACACCACAGTCTAACAATTTCAAAATAATGGTTTTCCCCCCTTATTAATCTAAATTCTAAATACAAAAAATCTAATCACATCGTCTGTACAGTTAATTATTCCGTTTTATTCGCACTCGCGTGCAAACACCATTTTCAAATTGTAAAAATAGCTCTAATCCAAAATGAAAACCAGACAGAGTAGTTTAACGGTACGACTTCTGGTAGCGGGCACGGGCACCTGGACCGCCGAACTTCTTGGGCTCGCAGCGACGCGGATCGCCGACCAGCAGGGTTCTGTCGTATTGGACCAGAATGTCCTTGATCTCCTTCTTGGAGGCCTCATCGACGTCTGTAATTGAAAGAAGAATAGGAATTAATACAAGGAACATTTCACTAAAACAATCTTAAAGTAAGACATGATTAAGTGTCGATGAAGCCTCAAATAGCAATGGTCAAATCTGCCGATCACTCTCTTTGATTGCGACATGCACTTGTTCTTCCTTGCTCGAGTCCTTCACTGGAAAAGGTTGATAATTCCAACAAAAATCTGGGAGAAGGTGCACAAAATATCTACTAAAGTGTTAAGATGTTCCTGAAGCATCACCCAATCTGCCCAATAATCGGGGCAGATTGGTTGGTATATGCTCATAATGTGGTTCAATCTGCCTTACTTAAATGTTTCATTGGACGGGTGAATATCCAACGAAAATCTGGAAGAAGGGGCTTATATTCCTAATGTTTTTGATGCATCACCCAATCTGCACAATAATCTTGCAGCTTGGTTGGTATATGCTCATAATATAGGTCACTCTGGCCTTTATTGAATCATTTGCAAGAGAGACGAGGTTTCTCTCAAACAAAAACCTATTAAGGCGGCCAGCAGTTTGTTTGGTTTGGTAGGTTCACTTACACTTCTGGTAGAAGGCAACGAGGGCCTTGGAAATGGCCTGGCGGATGGCGTAGATCTGGGCCACATGACCACCACCATTGACGCGCACACGGATGTCCACGCCGGCGAATTTCTCCTGCAAAACATACATTAAGAAACGAATTAATACATGTTTTGGTAATACATAAACTTAACTCGTTTCAGTTTTAATCAGAAACAAATATTAATCTCATTTGGCTTCGAATTCGGGATAAATGTTATCATCACTTTGGCTCAATGGGCTGTGTTTCCGCTTCCACTGTTTAGCGCTCACAACACGAAACGGAAGCGGGAACGTAGCCTCTGGGACCTGGAAGCACCTGCACATACCTTGCCGAGCAACAAGATGGGCTCCTGCAGTTTGTATTGCAGGACCTTGGGCTCAATCTGCTCCAGGGGGCGACCGTTCACCCTCAGGAGGCCATTGCCACGCTTGCAGTAGGCCACAGCGGTGGCGGTTTTCTGCAATAATAAACAAACCACACATTACTCGCCGCTCCAGCATTTGTTGAATCTTCTGCAAACCCAAACAGAACTCTCGCACACACAAACATAACCTCAGCGGCGAAGCGGTCGTCTCCCGCCGACTGACGCGGTTTTCGTCTGCGACACGTGCGAAAGTTTCGCCGGATTTCAGGGCTTTAATTCACACACACCTTGCGTCCGAAGACCTGGACAGCCTGAACGGGTTCTCTGCGCTGCAAAATACAAAGATTTGCAACATTTTAGGCATTAGTAGGCACGAAATCTGCGTTTTTTCACTGGCAAATACCTTCTGCTGCATTTTGCTTCGCGAGTTGGGAGAAAAAGAGCGGAAGTCGCGTTGACAGTTGGCGGAGCTGTCAAATTATCGATAGCGCTATCGATAACATCGATTGGGCCGACGTTATCGTGTTCGGCAACAGTGGTCGCTTTCTGTTAACGAACATTACTTCCTACATGGCAATTCTACTTCCGACATAGGAATTCTACTTCTACATGGGAGTTCTACCCCAAAAATGGGAATTCAACCGCATGTAAATGTAAAAGTAAAATTGTTATCTTGACGGTTAAGATGTAAATAATGTTAAATAAATGTTAAGTGTTAACGAACAGCAAATTCTTCGAAACATCGATAGTAGAGGTGGAGAAACATCGTGTCGGCGGCCATCGATGTTTTCGATGTTTCACGAACGTCGATAGCATTTGGCATCGATGTTTCTCCACCTCTATTGTGCATAAGTATCAGTGAATCGCCAGAAAAAAAAACTGAAAGTGCTGAAAATTGCAAACTTAAAATGGTTGTCTGCACTGCCACCATGCCAATGAAAACGAGGCAGAAAGCACAGCAGATGAAGGAGCCGCCCGAACTAATCGATGGGCCCGCACTCACAGTCCCTGGTGACCAAGGCCAAGGCGGGGTCGATGAGGACGATCGCGAAGAGGGCGAAATTGTAGACGACTTTGAAATGATCATCTCGTCCGAGGACGAGGAGTTCAAGTTGCGTGCTCGCATCAAGCAGCTGGAGGAGAACAACAAGGATGTGGAGCGGATGGATATGCTGTCCGCAAATTTGGCGAACCAGTACAGTAAGCAACATGTAGTGGCTTGTGTATGTACATGTGTGTGCGTTTGTATGTGTGTGCGAGGTGATAGGGCTTCTCCTGGGGTTGAACTTGAGATAAATATATGTACTGCGTGCTGTTCAATTAGACTTGCTCGATCACTCAGTTCTTGAAAGTAAAATTTGTATCTTTTCAGATTACTCCAAACCTGTGGAGCGTTCTCTCCGATATCAGAACAAGCCTACCATATACGTGTTGTCGGATGTGTCTAGCCAGTCGGATAGCGAGATTCAGGAGCAGCGCAAGCATCGCAGGCACAAGATACGCCGCCTAGACTTGCCTGAGAAGCGCCATCATCGCACATCGAACGGCGGAGAAGACTATCGTCGGAATCCCTTAAGCAAGCGCATAAAACACAAACACTTATCTGCTTCGCCATCGCCTCCACCGCTGCATCGCCGACGACACGTATTTAGCAACCACCAGCAACGTCAACTCCATCAGCAGCTGGAGCAGAAGCAGCATTACGGGAACTTGTCGCCACACCATCAGGACAGCATTTTGCTGGCATCCCTTGACAGTGCCAGCGATGACGAGTGTGACGTGAACGAGGAAGACGAGGTGGCGGATCTGCGAAGGCTTAAACTCAGCAGGCATAAACTGCGCGTAGCCCTGGCCTTGGAGGAGCGACAGGAGGAGCTGGGTCAGTACAAAAATAGTCTGAAAGAGCGACTTCAATGCCGTTTGCGCAAGTCGCCCAGTCCCAAGTACAGAAAGGAATACCCTCGGGAGAACGAACTGCAGCTGTTGCCACCGTTGCAGGCGCTTTACGACGGTGACGAGGACGAGCCTGTGCCAAATCACCAGGAGCCTCGGAAGCAGGAAACGCTTACTGAAGATCCTGTTGAGTTGAGGTTGCGACTTATAGCTCTGAAATCGGCGGTACTCAAGAAGCATCTGGCACGCAAGAAGAGGGATGCGGAGCGAGCCTACTCGCCCACCGATATGATCAATCGAGTGCATCCCGCCACCTCCAATGACGATGACATCGACGACCTAATGGAAATCAGTCCAGCTGCCTCGCCAGAGCGCATACCAAGTCCGCCAAGATATTCAATAGATGATGCTGTGGACACGAAGCCAGTGGACATGGATCTGGCTGAGACGGACAGCGATGATCAAAACAATGCCTGGGATTCGTGGACCCACAACTTGAACTCAATGGATCACGCCGGCGGCAGTTGGCGCTGTTTCATGCCCAACTCACTGCCGCCCGTATCCATGCCCATTGTGATAGACGATGAGGATGAGGATGTCAAGATGGGACTTTACGACGGGAAAGCTATTGAAGTTTTTAGCGACGATGAAGTACCGCCACCACCTCCACCATTTCACATTCCACATATGCACCTGGAGGACGAGGATGCCCGGGACGCTATGCATTTGGTCGATCATCATTCCAACCACAGTTCTTTTACGGACATGCAATCCGTTACCATGGACAATTCGCAGACGCGCAGCAAGAGTCTCGACAAATATCAGCCAGAATCGAGTGATGACGAGGCCGGTGCCTTGCGAGCCATGCTTTTGTCCAATTTACGGCCAAACAAACAGCCGCCGCCGCCGCCACCGCCACCATCTGCAGAGCATCACTTTTCGCCTGTTACTCATTCTGTTTCCGTTGCTGTTCCCGTTCCTGACCCTGTTTCTCCTCCTCCTGCATCTAAACTTAATGAAGAATCTGACTCAGCCAGCGACTCTGATGATCCGGAGGAGTTGCGTTCACTGCTCCTTTCCAGCATAGCAACCAAAAAACAGATAAGCAACCCGCAATCCAAATCAGCAACAAGTCCATTAATCCTTAAGAATGCCGTAAGGCGCTTCCAGCCGATTAAAACTGAAGAATCTTTAGAGGATCAGCAGCCAGTTGAAGGAGAACACATCATTGAGCCGAAAGCTATTGAGGAAGTCTTCACTGACCCAAGACCCGGTGACGAAGAACTTTCTCAGGATCCACAGCCAGTTGAGGAAGATCTTACAGAGTCAAATGTTGATAACAGGATTGCGGAGTCAAGTATTAGGGAAGCTGCTTCTCCCACCTCAAAGGAAGCTGTAGAAACTTCACAGCCACCAGTTGTTGCCATCCAATCATCCATCCAGCCCACAAAGAACACTTCACCGTCCACCAAGATCATTAAAATTGTCAAGCCCAACAAGGTCATTAACAAGATAACGACTAAGCGAAAGCTGCCAATGGATGAGCAATCCGAGTCTAGTTTAAGCATTAAGCGTCCAACGACATTAATGATTAAGGAGCCCAGTTCCCCGCTGCACCGTAAAAATGGTATCTCATCTAGCACCCGCCTTATTACCAGTATGGATCCGGCTAACATCAAGGTGAACAAGTTGGTGATCAATCTGGCGGAGGAGTCGGCTGCCAGCGATGATGACCTAGAGCTGGGATCACACTTCGCCTATGCGAGTTACACGGACATTGCCAGTCCTTTAAGCATGGCCATGGGTGGTGGTCCAAGCGGATCCACCACCCGATCAAATACTCCCATATCAGAGATGGTAGAAACGGCGCCCAGCGATAATTGCAACATAAAGCGAACCTTGATCAATGAATTCTTTGAAAAGAAGATTGATGACTTCCTAAGGCAGGCGAGATCAAAGGCGCCAGCAAATGGCAATTTGTCAGAGGCGACGACGGAGGCTCCTGCTCCAGAGAAGGTTCCTGAGGACCCCAAAGCGAACGGGAAGGTGCAGCCCGCAGTTACTATTCCTAAGATAAAGCAGCCGCCAAAGATTACGCCAGTGGTAAGATGTTGCTGAAGATAGACTTTGACAATCTCTCACGTAATTTTGCAGGCTGTAAGGCATTTGCCAGTGGCGTCGCAAAAGGAGTACCTTCGACTGGTAGAGCGCATGCGATTGCTGGAAAAGAAAAAGAATCAGACAGCGAAACCAGCACTTCCTTCGGTATCTGTAAGCAAATCGTCCGCGGTTGAGAAGCCTTTGCCCCCCAAAAACGGGTTCCATCAGCGTCCCAAAGTAACCATAACAGTAGCGCATACTTCTACCAGCAGTAAAGCAACTATGACGGCAGAAAAGCCTCAGGCCAAGCTGTCTCAAAGCAAAGTAAGCAGCCTAAAGGTGAAGCTAAGCCAAGCGCCCAAGGAGAGTCGGCTGGTAGCCTTTGAGAACTCTTTTGCCAAGATTGGGTAAGTACTGGGAGAGACCGGGCTACTTATCTTTAGTTTTTGGGTTCTTTTGCAGCGCCAGCATGATATCCAATCTGGACAAATCGCTGCAAATGGTCGAAGAGGCCAAAAAGTCTAAGGCCATTCGTCTGCGCTGTTCACAACGCCTCAAAGAGCTCTATGCCGAAATGCAGTCCGTGAAGCTGGCTGCCCGACAGGAGGAACTGAAGCTGTCACAAATCCAGCCGGAGATTCAAGCCACCCATGAGATCATCAGATCACTGAAACAGAAACGACTCAAGCTCCAAGCGGCGGCCATGGACTTGGGCCGAGGATTAAGGGGCGATGACTACAGGTACTAACCAGCAACTATCTACCACAACGACCAACCAGAACGGCGTGGGAAAGCTGGAACAGAGCAAACTGGCAGAAAACCAAATCAAAGCAATGCGGGAGCTGAGAGTGTTCTATGTGATTATAGGTTTGATTCTCTTTCAGGTTACGCGACGACGGCAAGGCGGATATCAGCCGCAAGTCCAAGCAACTCACCAAGGAGATACGTCTCTACAATTCCATTGTGAAGTACGACGACCTGAACAAACTGACTGAAGTGGAGGAGGAACCAAAAACTGTGATTGAAAATGCAGGAGATAGAGAGGAGCAGCCAGATGAATTAAAGGAGAGGCCGAGTCCCATGGAAACGGCAGCTCCACCTACTGCAGTGACGGAGACGGAAACCCAACCTGAACCAGAAGCAGAACCAGAACCGACGGCTGTAGAGATTCCAGATGTGCGTGGATTTCCATTTGTAGAAATTGCTTCAAAAACAAACATTTTGCTAAGAAATTCATTCAACGCGACCAGCATCCCTTTATGGGGATGTTAAACATCGAGAATTGTATTAAAAGCCCGCACTAATGAAACTGTTGAGTTTATTTTCAGAACCCGGCGCAGGACGAGGCGACAGAAGTTCCCAAAAACGACTCGCCAGGGCCATATACGATAAGCACAATGCGGCAGCTGTGCGAGGAGAAGATGGAGACAGAACCCATGCCAACTAAGAGTTACTATCTTCCGACTTACCAAACTCCAATGCCGCAAAACTACAACAGGTGAGTAAGGCATCTAGTGATCTCTGCCTGCTTGGAGAAATGTGTATTTGCTTGTGTTTATCATTTCTCCTGTCTCTCTTTCTATTTCCAAGTCACCTCGATGTCCATGCGACCATCTGTCCGTTTGATCTGATGGGTCGCTGCGAGGATACAGACTGCTCCTACCTGCATTTAGCTCGTACCGATGCCCCCAGCGAGCTGCCAAAGACAAACCTCTCTCCCATTCACTAACAAAAAATGAAAAACTAAACACTAAAAAGTAACCAAAAAAGATATTTAATAGCGTGCTTGAATTCTGGTAAGTTGAACTCTTCACGCAACTTAATATTTAAATGTTGCTTTCAGTCAACAAACACAAAAAAAAGAAAAGAAAAGAAAAAATCAAATGCCAAGCATGTGAAGAAGAGCCGCAGCAGCCGCCGCATCGAGTGCAAAACCCAAACAAAAAATAAGAAAAAGAACAAAGAAACCCAATCGATCGTTACTTTGTTGTACCTTGTTTGTTATATACATTTATACAGAGTATATCCCGCGTAGTGCAAGTTCAATGTTCGCCGACGACGACGACACGGCAATAATGTTCGGATGTGCATTATCTTTACCATTTTTCCTTTTGCTTGATTTTTATTTTATATAATTTACCCCTCGACTTTTAAGCCAACTCGCCATATCATAGAATACCCGAAGCAGGGTATCACAGCTTTAAAATATATATTTTCGATTGCTAATTTAAAACTAGTAGCCAACATTTATTATTTCATTTGCGAAATCAATTTTAAATAGCCCTTAGATTTCTAATTATTATAAAGTTTTCTAAAAAGCCAAAAAACAAATGATTTTACTAAACAAAAAATTCGCAAAAAAAGAAAACAATGAGAAATAAATAAAAGAGATACATTTAAAATTAAATAAAGAACGTTGTTTCTTCTTCTTTTGGGAAAGGGTAAGACAACGAATATGCTAATTTAGCCTTGTTTATTCCTAGATACATAATTTATAATAAATACAATAGGTTATCACAGCCAATCCATTGCGCAGGAGTACGAAATAATTTAATTTTCAATGAGTTTGCTTCACTGCTAACTTAGGTCCTTTCTATTCGATCCCAAAGAAGACGTACTCCCGGCACCAATCCTTGATGCCATCGTCATTGCTACAGCAAATGGGATAGACTATATCCGACTTGGTAACCTTGGCACACCGCATGCACAGCTCCATTGTGGGTATATCCTTCTCGCATTGCTGCACCTTCCGTATGGTCTCCGCCGACAGGTTGCCATGATATTCGCTGGGATCCACCGGCGGCGGTTGCTCCACACCCGACGTCGAGGGTCGGGCATTGGCACTAAACGGCAGCAGTAGAAGCAGGCTTGCCACTAATATATTGCAGAAGATCTGTCGAAAGTGGAATTATTTAGAGTTAATTGAATTTTCGACTGTCCAATTGAGTGGGGGATGCGCTTTAGTCCGGTTCTAGCTCAATTCAAAGCATCCTGAGCCAGATCAAACGGGTTTGCAAGCAAGTCTTTGGAATTTATTTGAACAAAAGGACAATCAGATCGGACAGACACTAGGTTTGGGAGCATTGACACAGTTTTGCATGTTTCCAGGAACATTTATTACTTTAAATAAATCTGATACACTTTCGATTTATTAGTTCCATTCACTTTACGAGGTTTTGCGGCCATAAATCATTGTTGAGTGTAATTGTGCGAGTGAGTACTAAGGTTTATTTCGATTTGTTGATTAGTGATTAGCCTGGCTTTATCACGGGGTGGGTGTTTTTTTATGTATTACTTCAGACTTTGGTGTCAAACAATTAAATTTGAAGTGTGCTTACTTTCTGAGCCATTTCTGTTGCTTTAACACTAATACTTTCTCCGCACCGCCACGAATATATATTTCTTTATATATAAGACACTCCTCCAAGTGCTATTTGCTATAGCCGGTGCTGCGCGTTACTGGGAGCAGGCGGAGCTCGAGCATTACTTTTTATACTTGGGAACCCGAAGCACCCAACGCACAGATCGTGCCGAGATCGTGCAGCATTCGTGACACATAATGGTTGATAGGCGAAATACCAGGTACCGCCACTATCTCGCGCGGACGTGCCGCCTTGGCCAGATGGGCAGCCAGGAGTGGGCGAGATATGCCAGGGCTTTGCCCACTTAGTTAATCAGATCGATCGGAATTTACAATGTGCTTTTCGGCTCTCGCCGATCGTCGTATAACACACACTTTTTTGGCAGGAAGCTCAGGGCATGACTGCAACATCAATCACTTATTATTAAGCAAAGTTTACATGGAAATTCTAAACGAGTTCAAATAAATAAGGGTTTGTACTTCATCAATTATTTAGCAACTAACTGAGTTGCTTCAGGAAAAACCAATCATCGGACTTCTAGTGATAGGGCTTAGGGAGTTGACTTCAAAATAACTGATTAATGGAAATTCCATATGCCTTCTAATAAATAAATATATTATAAGCTTGTGATTTGGAAATAGTTTAGGAAATACACACATTGCACAATAGGGATTAAATTATAGGAGTCACATGACAATAATATATTATATATAACAAGGATATTCACAGGTAACTCGAGTTTTGGAACATAATTAAAAGAATGATTAGGGTCCTCTAATTTAGCTTCCTTTTTTGATAACTATTTAATTCAGAATATTTTAAGGATTTTCAATAATATAAAATAATATTTACTTATATTTTTAATGGTTAAAAATTGTGGTATATCCGAGACCCTTAACGGTAATTTATCTAAGTCTTTTCAAGAATTTCACCTTCCGAAGTTCGATTTCGTCTTTAGCTTTTGCAAAAATATTTTGATTCAATTGTCAAAATGTGAAAATAGCCTGTTTTTTCCGCTTTTAAGGCGCAAACATTCGACTTTGTGAAATGAAAAATAAGTACAGCTAAATCTAATCTTTAATGAAAAAGAAAAAAGTGAAAATTAAAGCATTAAGATTAATGGGCCACCCCGTATAGAACGAATTACCTTGAGTCTATTTTGGAAATCATTTGTCTGTGATCCTATCTAAATTTAATTTGGAAATAATAAAATAATTGAGTTGTCAAAGATTAAAGGTAATCAATAAAATAATTGGATGACAAATTGTGGCATAGGGGAAAGGCTTAAGTACTATTAATCAAAAATTAAATAGTGAGAGGTACTTAAGAAATCACTTGGGTTTTTGAAAATGTTTTAAAAAGTGTTTATAAGTATGGAAAAAAGGTACCCTGATTAACTGAAAGCTAGAGTCTGGAGTTTGAAGTCCATAAATGCATATTAAATTCATTATAGATTTTAAAAATATTATAAAAGTCCTAAAAAGTATGCAATAATACATTTAAATTTCCGAGTTCAATCTTATAATCAAATCATATCTCATTATTTATGGTATCACACTGATGATAACCTATTGGAATGCCAATCATAGTCGAGGAATTGAAGGCTGATGAAGAAGTCAAAGTACATAGCGAAATGAATTTATGTCTGGATAAGAAAGTGGTGAGTTTTAAGATTAAAATTATTCAAAATTATTTTAAAATTTCTTATCCTTATCTTATGTCTTAAAGGTAAAGCTCAAAGTTATCCATTTTATTGATTAATTTATCTAAATCTAATATTACAAATTGAAAAGACAGCTAATTAGGCTTTAAGGATTTACTAATCAGAACTAATATATGCATTAGGAAGTACTATAAAAACTATGAGACAGACGCCACTTGTTTACCGAGAATTGCATTATACTCAGATTCCTATGACGATCGAAATAATATATGTATGTATGTATGGCAGGGTATACTGGCACATAAAATGTTGCGTACACACTGACAATTAGTAAAACATCATGTTGCTGATAATGGGATTTCATGGGCGCCCAACTGATTACAAGCGATCATGCTGGATCCAACCTTAGTAGCTACGCAATTTAATTGTGCAATGTCTCGGCCAGTGTTTACTTCCGGCAATAATGCGAAATCAATGGGAATTCCGGGAAAACAGACCAACTTCTAGATGACCTCACCCATAAGACTTTGATGCATTCATGTCTATGCCCTGCGAGAAATGCTAATTAATGACAATCTAGCAGTCACTGGAATTGCATATCAAATTCTTGGAATCTACAGCGGTTATTCCCCTAAATAAAACAAGGCTGTGGAAATTTTTAATTGGTTTATTTTTCCGCAATTTAAGTGTCAATAATATGAATTATGTAACCTTATTGAAGGTCTCTTGGTTGGTAGGAAAAATAATATTACAGGGGAATATGAATTTACAGAGTGTAAGGGGTTTCCCTGACTCGTCAGGTTTTGAGGATTATAAATATTAATTAGTAAATTACTTTGTTTATTATTAATCTAAAGCAAAATACCCGCTTTAAGTTCAATTTTACTCAGCCTTTAACACAACCTTGATCCTTTGATAACACTTGATTGATTGCAAACAACAACACCTTTGCTGACCCAATCGAAATAATAATCCATTCACAAACTAATCGAATCAGAATTTCCTTTCAATTTGTATTAGAGGTATATTATACAGTGAAAAGGAGTCCAGGAAATCAATGACCTTAGTCCCTGGTTAAGTTCCGATTAGTATTTCTATATTTGAAGACCTAGTTTCAAATATACTAAGCAAACAAACAATGCAAAAAGCTGATTAGATTGAGATCACATCACATCTGAATTGCGATTGATAACATTCAAGTATTGCAAGTTTATTGAAATGTCTATATTTAATTTAAACATTTGTTTATTTCCAAGTAGAAGACTACTGATTCATGCCTAGATTTTAGTATCCAGGGCATTGCCGCGACTTCACTTTCTACCTTTGGCTATAGAAATTTAAAAAGAAAATCATAATAATAATAAACAATTCCTTGGCCCAGACAATGAACTTTGGAGCCGAAGATTATGGCAATCAGCCATCGAGTACAAATTGTGTGTTGATTTCATTCGTTTTTCAGTTAATTAGTCCAATCGAATGGACAGGGAAGCACGTTACCCGCCGCTGCATATATAGTATTTCGCCAGACGATCAAAGTAATCAGATCGACACGAATCTGGAAGCATAAATCATCACCTCACTTATTTTTCGATTTTTTGAAGAGCATAGCGATGTCCCAAGTGGTTCCCTGTTGCCAAGTGTCGCACCCACTCCCCCACATGATATGGTCTTCTATATTTATAGTTCTTCAAGATGGGATGAGAAGATAGGCTAAAGATTCCCGATCGGAGGCTATAAATATAGCTTGGATTGTTTACAAAGCGACTCTCGGTCTCTCAATCACTCTTATCGGTGAGAGGTCACCCACCGCCCCGGGTTTGTTTGTCTCCGTCCTAGATGATGGGCCCGGGCAGTGAGTAATGTCATCAGCCGAATTATATAGTAATCACCTTGGCCAGCCCCATAAATCATGCCATTCTTGCCAACCCACCAACCCACCCACACACTCACACAGTCTGCGAATGATCTCGGCCCCAAAGTCCATCTTGATAGCTCTCAATGATCCCTGGCATGAGGCAGAAGTGTGCCATCGATCGGGAAAGGATATAAAATGATTTCTGGCACCAATATGTTATCATTAGGGGGCGGTATCATTAAAGTCATTTGCTAATTAATCCAAATTGGGTCTATAAACATGACTCTTTGCTTTTTTCTCAAGTGTTTTGATTTCAAAACGCGACTAGGTAAATTCATGGGTATTATTTCCCCATCTATAATTTACCAAAATATTACTAAAACAGTTTTGAGCACCTAGATTGTAACTGGGAGCCTTACAGGACCTTTATCCTTTTTGATATTCTTTAAAGCATATTTATTTATTTAAATGGTATGTTAAAAATGAATTAATCAAAAAACTTATTACCCATGTAATATAATTTACTAAATTAATTTTAAATAATAAACCAATTTTTAGATTTTTTACATTTTACCAGGTTGTAAAAAATGATTACTTCATACATGATTTTACAGATACAAAAGCTTGACATCGTTGGTTTCTGTATAAATAGAAATTTCGAACTTGTGTAGATTTATATACACAAATTTCTACATGTATAAAATAGGCAAAATTATAAATAAATTTAATTTATATTTATATTCTTGTAGAGTATTATTATTTTACTCAGAAGTCTGAAACTTAGTAAAGGAGTCATTTCCGACCCTATAAATCATATATATTCTTGATCAGCATCAACAGGCGAATTTCACTAGGCATGAGAGAAACAAAATAAATAAAATAAATTTTTTCAAAATTTTAAAACTGTCAAAAATGTATAAAAATGTTAATTGTTTAAAATCTTAGATTGAGTATGCTGATTTATTGACCTAATTAAAACTAACCTAGGAAAGCTTTCCGAATCGAAATTAATTAATTATTGTCTTAGATAATATTTATATTTATTTATTTATTTATATTTATTTATTTATATTTATATATGAAACTTATCTTATATCTATGTATATAATAAGCTGTAACTGTTTGCAGTTACTACCAATAGTAATATCAGCTAATAATATTAGGTAGCAATAAATGCAATTATTCTTTTATTCGGTGACCCTTTTGTGTCACTTCATTTACCCAATCGGTAACTAGGTAATTAGGTGGCCCTTCATTTGCACTCTCTTTCCAATTTAATAATGTTTGTAACCGCATTTAGCTGAATAACATGTTTCTGTTTGTCGGCTAATTAAATTGGTTGCAAGAATATGCAATCCACATTTGTCGAATTGGACACAGGACCTATGTATTTAGCCATCCCCATGAGGCGCCAGATTTGCATAGTTTATGGCAGAAGTTGTACAAATGCAATTCCGATGTCGGGCCAGACAGTAAGTATTCCCCATTATCCCCCTCGCTCCTTCCGGCCCCCCTTGCGACCGCTCAATCATTGTCCGTTGTCAATTGCCGATGCCCAATGGCCATCGATGGCCGGCCGTTGCAGTGGTATTGATTTTGTGTAGCGAAACCCCTGATGGACGGACCCCCATTACGGGGAGCACCAACCACATTATATGGGGTAGGGTATGTCGGTCGTAGCCAAGGTCAGTTCTAGTCGTCCACGCAAACCCCATTATTGGGGGATTTGTGGGGAACGTGACTACCGGGGGCTAGCTGCCCATTACCACTCAGTGTCACCTGTGTCACCTGGGTCACCTGTGTCACCTGACCCCATACATAATAGCATATATAGTGGCCAACTTATGCAAGTGCAAGTCTGTTTGCCAAGAAATTCTGTGCATTTCGCAATAAGGCTTCGCTTTAGCTTTGCTTTACTCGATCGTCCTTTCGACTAAGGTGGACCCTATTAATGTTACGAAACAGAAGTTCATTAATATAGGTGCCACGATCATGGAGTTTCCTAATCAACTTAATGAAAATAATAATAATAATAATTTCAAATATATAGGGAAATAGGAACAGCGTTACAAGGTTCATAATAAAATTAAAATTCTCTGAAAGGGTATACAAAATTAAACAAAAATTATAAATAATAATTATAATTATAAATTATATAAAAATAAGTTAACAAAAATATTAGGAATAAAAATTGAAATCGAAATGTAATACAGTTTTTATATTTTCCAAAACTTAACAAATATTACACGTAATTCGATACGAATCTCTTTATCCACCCCATCTCGAGATAATAAATCCTTCAAGTATAGTTCTCGGAGGTCCACCCTACACTTCCACAGAGGACAACGCGATGGCTCATTAGTCTTCGCATTGTGCAGGTCGCTTAAACAGAAAAAAAACAAAGGTAAAGATAAAGATGAGACGAACCAGAGTGAGCCATAAGAGAGAGTGGAAGATGCATAAAAACCAGAAACAGCTGCATTTGCACTGGAAAGAAAAGAGATCTGCACATGCGCTCAGTGCATTCTTTTGGTGATTTACCTGCATTTCAGTATTCAATGCGGCGAGCAGAAAAATCTGATAACAAAAGCCGAGTGTATAAGAACAACAACAATGGCAGCAACAGCTGGCTGGCAGAGAAGTTGAATGAAACAAGCAGTAACAGCTGCCTCTTATGGGCTCCACTCTCGCCCCCGCAAAGCAAAGAGAGAGTTGAGCTAAGGTGAGTACGCCAGAGGAGTGTGGTTCTCTTTAGCCCACTCTCTTGCTGCAGTGGAAGAAACTCTTAGGGTCTGTGAGCCGATGTAGCCTTAATGAGAAATATATATACATATAAAATAAATAAACAAATTACAATTAATAAAATGTTTTAAGAATAAGTAAATATCTCAAATTGAATCTAATTTGCAAAAGCAAACACTGCTCACCCGCACACATATACTCACATATTTTTTTCTCTGTGTAACTCTTTCTCTTCGCGGTAGCGCTCAAGAGAAAGTCGGCTGGCGACGTTGCCCGAAGCGAACTAGAATTGAGCGAGCCGAAGAGAGCGTCTGGGAGAGCCAGCCAGTAAAAGTCTATTTAAGCAGCGCGCAGCGCTCGCTATGTTTCAGAAATTTTTCGGCAGCGCTAAAAAACACATTGAAAAACAGAAAAACCAAGACAAATATCCGTAAAATCGCCGGGAAAAATATCGCGGAATGTTATTTTGAATCTTGTTACGGAAAGTTATAAGCGGCGCACTTTTGATATATTTTTGAACGGACGGCAGTGGCCTGCCTTAGCTTCCAAAAATACTCGGTGCGTTTCACAAATCAACCAATATATATATATATATACATAAATATATACCTGCTGAGCGTATTAAAGGCAGGCAGGCAGACAACATAACAGCAAAAATCAAAAATAAAAGCAAATCAACAAATATATACATATTTAACTGTAGCAACAACAATCAAAAGTTAATGCGAAAGACCGGAGAAGTAAACAACAAGAGCGTAAAAAGCGTGCTTTTGCGTTCGTTGCCGCGTTAATAATATAAATCAAAAAACGAAAAAAAAGTGAAGGAAATGTGTATGAAATTCCAAAAGTGCAAATTTATTTAAATTACACCGCCGCAGTGCTTAGTGCTCAACGTTCAAAGTTAACAACAGACGGAGAAAAGTTGGCTAACGAACGGCATTTGGCCCTAGACTTGGAACACAATTCGCGCGTCTAATTGAATTTGGTGCGCGAATCGCGAAAACAGGAAAATAAATAACGATAAAAAAACCCCGACCCCGGTTTACACATTGCAACAAACAACCAAACAACCAACCTGTGGCTCCTTTTCAATTCCAATTCCGAATTTGTATTTGGATTTGGATTGTGATTGTGTGATTTTTGTATTTGGTTTGTGGATTGAACTTTTGGACGCCGGGCGGTCAGTCAGCCATCCGGAAGCCAATCCAAATGCAATTGTTTTAAACAAAAGCTGGGCCGAGCTTTTCTACCTGTTAGACAACAAATCAAGCGGCAACTGCAGCAACAGCAACAACAACAACAACAGCATCATGTGGTGCATTGTTAACCTGCCCAACGGCACTCAACAGGCCGTCAAATGGGATCCCAAAGCCAATGGTCAGGAGTGCCTGGAGAAGGTAAGTTATCGCTTAGTTGGTAGTTTTCCATTCCAGTTTTCTTATAAACAATGTTTCTTTGAAGAAGTTTCTTAAGTTCTAAAGTTCATAAGTTAATAAAAACATATAATGTTAATTGTCTTTGGTACTTTTCCATGGCATTACTTTACACAATGCCAATGAAGGTTTGTAGACTTCTATTTCCAAGAGTTCTAAATCAATTTTTGCAATTTATAATCGAAAATCTTTGTATATATTTTACAATTATTAAATTTTTGGAATTTTCCACTATTATACAGTGATCTAAATGACATTTATCTAAATTTTTCAAGTTCTCAACAAAAAAAAAAACAAACTCAAGTGTTTTCCCTTTTAAAATACAATGTTTTTTATTTTGATCAGACCCCAAATATCATCAATTATAGCTTACACAATATTTTGCTCCATATATATACATTTATATTTCCTCTTGAGATTTATTTTTGGGGATTTTCCATCAATTAAAAATTGGAATTACTTCAAAAAGGTTACAAAATATCCATTACAAACTTATCCCATATATAATCATATATCCTCAATAAATTTATGATTTATCTATTGATATAAATAGATGTTTAAAAAACTTTCCATCGATATGATTTACAAGGGAAATATATATTTTCCCTTCGTATTTAAGACTACAAAAATTACTCATTACGAAATAAGAATCCCGTTTGGAATTAATCTTTTTAAAGAAAAGAACCTTTTCTACATTATGACTAATCTCTCATAACAAGTACATATATCTCAATACTTTGTATGACCTTCTCTTCAATCGATCCTCTATCTAATAATTTCTGCAATTTAACACTCTACAATGCTACTCAATCTTCTATAAACGAAAGCAAGTTCTATTAAATATGAAGAGCTGAAACCTTAAGGTTACAGAACACAATAGAAAGTCATCACAACTCAATTATTGCAACACAGTCCTTTGGCACACGTCCCGATCAAGTAGTTTGTCTTGAAATTACCGCACAATCTTTACAAGCTTATCGATCTCCAATCATATATTACACCATATTGGCACACGTGTATCGTATTCCCATCAAAAATTACGTATCCCTGGGGAAGAGGATATTCTGTAACCCTGTAAAGGGCCTTCAAGTCACTTGAGTCGCACCAGAAAAAAAATCAGCTATAGAAATTGGTTTTATCTTTGGAAATAAATAACTAAAAAATGATTACATTTTTTTTATGGGCGACGTGCAAAGTTGTTGACGACGACTCACCATGCCAACGGAAAATGTTCTCATTTCATTTTCTTCATTTTTTATGGGGAATTTCGTTACGGCTAATGCCAGAGGAGAGGCTTAACTATAAAAAATGAAAATAAAATAAAAAAATTGTTATGAAAGAATCTCCATTTAGTAGCATTCAACATTAAAAGTACTTGATTAAGTTTCAATGAAACTTTTGTTTAAGCGGAGCCCCTGGACCTGCAGTCTGTTTGAAATTCTTTTCACGCTTATCAGTGATTGTATTTTTTTTTTTAATTCGAATGGCATGCCCTTATCAGCATAATGCCGTGTCCAATTTCATTGTCTTGTTGTTTACTAGTTTTGCGCTAATTCATTTTAAATGCCAAATTGCCAAAATACCCTTGACTTCCAGCTTGGCCCCCCCTGCGATAGTTTCGTTATTTTTACGCTTTTAGAACATCCAAAGGTGTCAGGAAAACAACACCGATAGCAGGTTGTAGTATAGATTGAGAATATTTATGGTATTAAGTGATAGGTACACAAGGGGAAAATTTTGTAAATAATATAAATGAAATAAAATCAAAGATTGCAAGAGGTTGTACAACTTTTAATGACAGCTCTTCTAAGATCTTGGTTCTTTTTATATCTCAAGAGGCTTATGTAATAAAACCATTAATCCCCTTGGTCTTAACTTAGTTTATAGCACCTCTTTTATTAGTTTATATAATTTCTTTTTTTTTGCGGTGTAGCTGGTACTCCGCGGGTGGGTTCAATGTCCAAGTGGCCGCCACTTGAGGAGCTTAGAGTAAACACTTGACCAGGCCGCTTCTGTTCGGTTTCTGTTACTATGAGGGGGCGATGATATACATACGATTATGCTTTCCCCAGGCACATTATAACCACCTCTTGAGTTGGTAATTTTCATCGCTTTGCCGAAAGATTAAAGCCAATTTCGGCAATTCCCCTTGTTTGTCAGGCTAATTAAGACTTTGGCTTATTTGCAACCCATGCATTAGTGTTTGTGCAATCTAATCAGGGGAAACTTATCAAATAACCCACACACACACACAGGGGCATTAATATTCATGTGTATTTGTCCCAGTCCCAGTTCCAGTTCCAGGCCCAATTCCGTTGCCAACTTTATTATCTCCAAAGAGAAACGAAAACAAGAACAAAGGCAAGACAAGAAAATATGCTTCTACAACTTGTGTTTCTATCTTATCTAACGACTATGGCATTATCAGAGAAGGTGGCTAATTTGCTATCAACATTTACAGCTTTTGGAGTGAAAAGTGTACATTCGTAGTATATATCTAGCGAAAAGTCAAGTTGAATTGGGGCCACAACGTAGATGGTTTTTTATGACGGGGGCTTAGCTCTTAAATCGGTTGCAAAAAAGGTTACGATGTGCTTTGTTTCCAGTTAATGCACGATTAATGATTGCTAATTGAAAGACCTTTTATAGAAATATATGACCTTGTGTAATGTTAAGACTGGACAAGACCAAAAACCAGTTTTAGTTCTGGAAAATGCAAACACACTTTGCCGCACTGTCAGGGAGATAATTCTTAATTTATTGTAAAGAATAACATTTATAGATAATGGTATAAATTAGTCACTTGGCATTGAGATCATCATCAATGACTGGAATCATTGGTTATATATATTTTTATAGAGAAAGAGTACTTTGTCAACTTTGTCAACCTTTGGTTTCAAGCTTAACTGTTGCATTATTTCCCCCCATTGACATTGAAATCTGAAATCCGAAACGCAAGCATTATCAATTCTACATATATGTACATATGCTCCTCATCACGTATGGCCGGGACTTTTATATGCTGCAGCAGTCCAAGGTCCAATAACATTCGCTATCACCGCAGTTGATCTGGGAAAACATCTGTCATATGTACATAATATAATTTATATATGTTTGTATAGTATCCCATGGGGGAGGGAGGACCCCCCGTTTCAGTGGTCATCTGTGATTCAGTTCGTCATTGGATTAATCGAATTAATATAATCATTTTTTTTTTGTACTCGCTGCGATTTAACTTTGAGCCATGCGTCAGCTTAATCTATGAGCAAAAGAATACCAATTGGTGGGTTATCACAAAAAAAGAATGACGCGCCTCTTGTAAACCCAAAGATAAGGAGTGTCTGAGCGTTACACACTCGTCATCGATGACAATGAGAAATCCTGGCTATTAATAAATAGTCAGGTGAGTAAATTTAATTAATTATTTTTGAAGGACAGAATGCCGCTGATGATTCAAAGAGTTTGTCAATGTCACCTGGCTGCCGTTGGCCTTAAGGGTTCAGGTGACAAGGGTCCCAGCGTCTTGAAAGCAAGGCTCTTTGTGATAATCCCTCTCGGGGTGTAAACGAACTCGTCTCCAGATAAAGGCGTTTACATAACTTTTTGAGCTGAGCTGGTCGCCTTATCGCGGCGGCTAATGAACCCCATCGAAACGGGCAGAGACTAGAGGCTAATCCAAAGGGACCTGGGAGGCAGTTGCACATTTTAATTACTGGGCTCGGACAGGAGCAACAAAGTTTTCCCCCCTTATACTACATAACATACAATCGCAATCTGGAAAAAGTTTTTCCTTGACGTCATTTAGAAGGCCGACGCTTTCGACGAGTTTGCATGTCAAAGGAGAATTACATTTTCGTTACCCCGATTTAACAAATGTATATGGTACTTGGTAGGGTCGGTTCTATATATATATATACATATATTCGCATGCAAATAAGCCTGCTTTCCTTGGGGTGTGTCTGTGTTCAGTGAGTCAGGGCGATTTATCCAAATTTTTCCTGCCACTATTAAGCCCATCTCCATATGCAACAGTTTTATGCTCGTTAATAGTTACTTGCAATTACCAGCTACTTGTAATTGCATTTAAAATTGCCATTGCCATTGCCATTTTCATGTGCTTGTTTGTTGTCGTCAGAGAGTTTTGGAGTGGCCCTTTTCGAGTTGTTTTTGATTGCTGGGTTTTCTTTGAGTGTGTGTAGTGGATGGATTGGCTTTTCGAGCATGTTCCCAAGGCCTGACTGTTACATGACCAAAGTCCACAAACCGGGAAGAGGAAAACAACTGTCACGATAGTGAATAAAACTGATAAATTCCCAGGCTTTTGAGTTTTGTGCAAAAAAGGTGTGATGAAATTGTAAGGAAAAGGTTTTCTCAGAAACTATGCAGTAATATAGGGTCTTAGCTCATACTTAAATGGATTGATTAGGGTTTGGGATTTTTTAATAGTTGGGAACTATTTCATTTAGCATTGTAATCTCTAGAACTTGGTATAATTAATTTTGAGATTAATATGATTATAATGTAATCTTTTGCTGATACATTAGGTGTTTAAAAACCATTTAAAAGTTGTCTTAAACTATGTTATATAGCAATTTTAAATAGGATTTTGTATCTGTAACTTTGTATTGCATACTTTTAAGGTGCCTTGAAAGGACTTTCAAACCTCTAGTAAGTTTTTTAGTTAGATCGAAAGTTCCCTTCCAATTTCAATAGATATCTTTAGTTACTTTTAAATGAATCTCCCTCTATTTAATTATTTCCACCCAGGACGCATAATATAATTCCATTCACAGCCTTGACAGTGCGTATAATGGTCCTTTACCCATTGATTGTGATTCCTTATCGGATTGCCTGTCAACAGGCTGCACTAATCAGATCTTTCTACTCCCGGCGACACGACATCTATTTTCTAGGTGTAATTATATTTGCGAAGGCTGCCATTGCCGCTCCCTTTTGTGAAAACC